CACACACACACACACACACACACACACACACACACACACACACACACGCACACACAGCAAGCATGTGCTGACCAGGATAGCCACGGCGACAGTCCCGGCGCCAGATGGCCCGGCCTGTTCCTGCCTTCTCTCAGAAACTCGCTGAACATTCGCATTCGCATTCGCATTGGCATTCCGTACAGGGTGGCAGATGCAGATGTAGATGCAGAACAGAACAGCCAGAGACTACTAGTATGTACAACCTTGGGTTCATCTTTTCCTTTCCTTTCCATCCAATCGGATGCAGGCGCGAGAATTCAATCGTTTCTCATTCATTCATTCATTCAACGGCGTGAGATGGCCCGCTTGATGGACCGGGTCCTTACCAGAGTAGTCTTCGCCCATGGTTTCCAACCACCCACCAGCCTTGGATTGATTCGACACGAATCCGCGGATACTCTTCCCATGACTCGTATGATACTAATACGCTCGTAGTAAGGACAGGGAAGGGATTGTTGGATGAATACAGTCTACGGTCTGCTAGGACGCGAATATCTTATTCGGTGCATGGAGATGGATAAGGTAATAAATATATCAGGACTGCAATATGCCGGGAAGTGGTTTATCGCCAATCAAACCAAACCAAACCAGCCAACCCGTGGCGTGGACTATAGTATGGGAGACCAGGATAGGGATAAGGGGACCCTTTCCTTCGCCTTTCACGGGCCTACAGTGCGCGATGAGGGAAAATGCTCGTCATATATTATGGTTAATCAATTCATCGTCCTTCCTATAGGTCTTTATTGAAGAGGATCTAAAATAAAGGACACTGCAGTCGTTGTCTCCATTAGACTGGTTTACTCTGCTGCTGCTTCTTCGTCGTAAACATATATTACCCTGTCCACATTTCATTTTGACCAGTCGCCAGTGTCTCGTCGAACAAACGCCCGTCCGTCAGAGAGTATCCAGCCCGGACTCCCGAACAGAGGTTGTCAATAGACTGTCCTTTTCGGTCTCGGTTTTCTCAAAGCCTTGACGGAGTTGTCACCATTCAATTGGTACTCATCGCAGTACTAGTAATCATCTTCTGGAAGGGTTCTTCCTTTGGTATATTGTGCCAGCCTCGAAGTTCCCGACGATTGCGATCGATCAGAACTGTTCAGGACAACAACCAACAACCACACTGTTCCAGATATCGCTCATCAATCATGTCTGTCTCTCCATTCTCGGTCCAACATGACTCTGAAGTGCAAGAATACAACAAGCTTCGCGCGACATATCTGGCTGCCGAGAAGCAGAGGAAACAAGAGGCGAAAGTGATGAAAGAGGCTTCCACAAGAACCTCGAAAGATTCCAGAGCCGTGGGATATGACAAAGGTGAGGGACAGCTCCGTCGGTGATGTGAATGCATGCCACTGGAAGCCGGCCTGTGCTGAGAAGTGGCATGTTCGTTCTTGATCGGTCATGCTAACTGCCAGTTATAGGTGGCCGAGGATTTCTGAAGAAACTCCTCACTGCGCGACGACGAACTGAGGATAAGGAAGGACCGTCGCGGCCGGATGTGGATGTCGATGCAAAGACCCTCGTGGAGGAACCAGACTGGGACTCGGATCAGGTGTCCTTGAAGACTGCATTGGGATGAATGCGGAGAGCAAGGTATTTGCCATGTGTTGTTGCGTTGCGGTGCGTCGCAGTATGTCTTCTTCCGGCGTCTGTCCTTGTCGGTCGCTTCACCGCGGAAAGGTATTGTCATGACTATTGGAACAGTCGTAAACATCGTACCAGCTTGAGGTAGCTGGGGTAGTATAGGTGGTCGGGATTGAACAGATTTTTGTCGTCAAAGTTTGCGCTTGCTCGAATGTCTGGTCGTCGTCTCGAGATGAAGATCATCTCTTTGTCGTGGTTGGTGGTCTTGCATCACGGCCTCCCGGGTTGGGGGGTTTTTGTGTCGTCTCATCTCGCTTCGCTTCGTGACCCTTGAGTCATGGTCGGCTCTGTTCACCACAAAATTGCCTGATATAGCATCGTCCCTCTCCAAATCCAGTGCCCAGTGCATTGATGTTGCCACTCATCCATTGGTGGCTATATTCCATCTAGGGTCAAATTCAAGCTTCCATCGTCCACAATCCGGCATCCTTGTCGGCCTTTCTCGCAAGCACTCCGCCCAACCAGCTCCCTCTGGCCTCGATCCGGAGACTGACGCCCCTGGCACCAACCCATTGACTCAGAGCGGCGGTCACAGCAATTTCATCTTCTCTCGGCACTCTGATCCATACATTCGAGTCTTCGACTTTCAGGATATCTATCGGGACCGCCGTGCCCGTGAGGCCAAGGTACTGCTGCAGCGCGGCGAAGAGGTACGAGCGCGCGCCCACTTCGTCCAAAGGCTGTGTCGGGTGCGACGGGACAGTGAGCAGGGAAAGATGCAAATATGTGTATGGCGGCTTGCGGATGGTGAATGCCATGTTGGCTTGTCTTGGGGCAGATTTGGATTTGGTGGTGGTTGGCGCCATTATTTAATTGATTCTCAGCTTCAGGTTTAACCGGTATGGATGGTCTGGAATGTCAGCCATATCTTGAGCCGAGTCTTTATCATTCCATGCCTGATTGCAGGGTAGAGCAGATTCGGGTTCTCGGAGAGACTTTGATACTTTGGTGCGTAGAGTGTAGAGTGAATAAAGAGTTCGAGTTGATATTATTGAAGGAAACCCCGGAAAACTTGATCCGCCTTTTCTCCGATTGGTCCATTGCGACGTCACCTCGAGTCCGAGTCTCGAGTCTCGAGTTCATCTTCCACTTCATCTTCAACTTCATCTTCATCTGCACCATGGAATACTGTGATACTGTAACATAGTGGACAGACCTGACTTTGATCGATTGAATACTACAAGCGGACCAGACTCGATGTACAGTCACTCGTCGTGCGACCAAGTCATCAATCCTCCAGCCAGCTCGCGCATGTAGCGAACAAGCAAAATCTCCCGCTCCTCCATGCGCTCGAGACTCAACCACCTGGCTCGCCATCTCACCACTTCCAATACCTCAATCCTCAGAAACCCACCGTTATCAGTACTTCCCAAATCAGTCTCCAGAACCAGAACCATGTCAAAATCAGCGCCGTCGCCGTCGACAGCGACATTCATCCTCCCCAACAGCAACCCAGACATTCCAATCACCCATCCCACATCACTAAACCAAGACCAGATCCTGACCTTCCCAGCTTTCAAGACGTGGCTGAGAACATTACAAAAGTCGCTAGCCCTACAGCAACGACAGAAAAAACACCCATTCCACGCGGCGCCTTATTCTCTCAGATCCATCGAGATCCAAAGCGTCGACTTCTTCTCCGGCCACAGGCTCGGGTTCTTGAAGATGAAAGCCACTGTGGCCAATGGTCGAGGAGAATCATTGCCCGGGTCGGTGTTTATGCGTGGTGGGAGTGTTGCTATGATGATTGTTCTGACGCCGGAAATGAGACGTCCCAAACCTAATGATAACAAGACTGATACTGATACTGATCCCGATACTGATACTGATCTCGATACCGCTACCGTTGATGGAGGAGGAGGAAGTGGAAAAGCACAGGTAATCTCAGGAGGCGAAGAATATGTGATCCTCACGCTGCAGCCACGTATTGCAGCCGGATCCCTAAGTTTCGTCGAACTGCCCGCCGGAATGATCGACGACAGCGGCTCCTTCGCCGGCGCCGCGGCCAGAGAGATCCAGGAGGAAACAGGTCTCGAGATTGCCGCAGAGGAACTCATCGACATGACACAGCTGGCTTTACGGGCCCGAAGACCTACGACGGTGGATCGGGGACAGAAGCCAGCCGAAAGGGATACCAACGACACAAACCACAGCACTGATACTGATCTTGGACCTGATCCTGAAACCCAGGACGCCACTGATGCCGATGAACCCCACCTCCAAGCAGCAGTATACCCGTCCCCCGGCGGCAGCGACGAGTTCATCCCCATCTTCCTCGTGCGGAAACGTCTCCCGCGCGCCGAGATCGACCAGCTGAAAGGGAAATTGACGGGACTGAGGGATGACGGGGAGAAGATCACGCTGAAGATCGTGCGGCTGGACGAGGTCTGGAAAGTTGCGGGGAGGGATGGGAAGACGTTGGCGGCATTGGCGCTGTATGCTGGATTGAAGGGCGAAGGGAGAATATGAAGAGTGTGGATGTGACTGTGACTTTGAATGGGAATGGGAACAAGCATGCCTTAGGTTCACTCACCACTTACGATTTCTCAGCACGGGCAAACTTGACACACGAACACCGAAATGCACACCGACATGAACATCGACATGAACACTCCAATATCAATTTCCTCAGAAATAGATGTGCGACCTGTTGGCATGAACGTCTGCTTCAACAGGTGTTGTATTATGCATGCCAAAAATGAACGACCCGTGTCATCTGAGAAGCGTGTCCATACCAGACCGACGCCCTTTCTCAAACAGATCTTGATTGAACAGGTGAACCGGGTATCTAAGAATACGCCTCTGAAAAGAGTCTGCATGACCCAGGCCCTGATATAGCCCCAGCCCAGCCCAGCCCAGCCCAGCAAGAACATCTCTTATACCACGCTACCCTTATTGAGCGGCAGATCCAGATCGGTTCTGCACAGTGGCCAGATACTTTTCATGCGCCTTCCTCTGGGCCTCCCATTCCTTTTTCAACTTTTTGGCCCGCGACGCCGTCAGCGGCGATCCATCCTTGGTGGCTGTTGGAAACCCATCTGGATCCCAAGCCGAGAACTCGGTCGAGTGCGGCGGCTTGAACATCTCGCCCGGGCTGAGTTTCCCCTTTTGCAATCTCTCGAGAGCTTCTTGTTCTCTCTTCTTCTTGGCCTCCTCCTTTTGCCGGATCTTCTCTTCGCGCTCGCGCCGAGCGGCCTTCAGGCCCTCGGTGACTGGTCGCACAAGCGCCGGACCGTTTTCGCGGTCTTCCAGATAGATGTTGAGATGCCAGAGATCGACGTCTCGGACTCGGTCGCAGAGCGCCAGGATCTGTTTGTTGAGATCGCTACTCTCGACGGGCGAAGCGACCTCCAGCGCACTACGACTGAAGTCACTCAGGGCACGGGCGTAGGACGGCCTGGGTCTTCCACTAGAAGGAGGTTCTTCCAAGCCCGGTGAGGTGGAGACGATCTCCTGCACTTTCTCCGGCGTGATTGTTTTGGCGATTGCTGCTTGTCGAAGCTCGTCTCTTATCCTCGCCAGCGGGTAGACGTATTCTTTCGCTGCATCGGGGATCTCGATGCCTTTCCATCCCACTTGCTCTGTATCGGCCGGCTCTGAGCCGTTGAGACCAAAGATATTCACCATCCGTGTCACATAGAGAGCGATGTTTCGGTGGTCATCTGGCGTCAGGTCGGACTTCTTCGCACTGTTGTAGGTGTTGATCAGGGACGAGATGGTGGTCATGGCGATGGGAGTATTGAAGGAATCCAACAGTGCAAGTCGAACCTTCTCTTCCACCTCTGCTAGGGCATCCTGGAGGACAGGCTTTTGTTGAGTCGAGGCTTTCGCGTTCTTAATATTCTCGAGGGCGTTGAGGAAGAAGTTGTCCACCCTGTCCTCCCAATTTCTTCCCTCCGTGACCATGTCATCTGTGATTTCTATACCGTCTTTCCAATTCCCGAGCAAAAACACAATCCGAAGACTCCTGGCCGTCCATTCTTTTCTTACGTGCAACGCTTCCCGAATCGTGGTGAAGTTCTTCAACGACTTGGACATTTTCGAGCCCTGAATGGACAAATGTCCCATGTGGAGGAAATAGTTCACCCACTGTCGTCGGCTGCCATCGGCCCAAAAGGCTTCACTCTGAGCCAACTCATTGTCGTGATGGGGAAAGGCCAGGTCGATTCCGCCAGAATGAATGTCCATCTGCTCCCCGAGTTTTTCGGAAGCCATTGCCGAGCATTCAATATGCCATCCAGGCCTGCCAGGGCCCCATTCACTATCCCAACTGGGTTCGCCTGGTTTTGAAGCCTTCCATAATGCAAAATCGGCAGGGGATCTCTTAACGCTTTCGTCCTTTTGTGACAGTGCACCTTCCCCATCAGCTTGGAGCTCTGCGTCGTTTCGGTTCCAAGGCTCCAGCCTCGCGTAGGGGTAGCCGGCCGCCTCAAATGCTTTGATGTCGAAATATACGGAGCCGTCCGACGTCCGATAGGCGAGGCCCTTGTCGACAATTTTCTTGACAAAGTCTGCGATCTGCTTGCCGTGTTCAGTGACCCGGACGACGTCGTCTGGATCCATAACATTGAGATCGTGCATGTCTTGAAAAAAGCGATTCTCGTATTCTTTAGTGAGTTTGGTGAACACCTCATAGTCATCGCCCCGGATGGTTTTGCCATACTGTTCATCCAAAACGAGACACATCGGATCGCTCACACGGCTGTAGAACTCATGTGGTGTCAATGTCTTTGGGTCTTGCAGTAAGGCTTTGGCTGTCGTCCTGGCCGTGTTGACGTGCATTTTGATCTTGGCTTCCTTGTCCCCTGGTTTTGTGCCCGGCTCCAAACTTCCGCCCGCGAGTATATCCCCGTAAGTTTGCTCGATCACGCCGTCGAAAGTCTCGGGGGTCAGGAGGGTTTTGGGGCCTATCCTTTTGAGGTTCTTGTGGATGTAGTAGTGCCATGCTTGCCGCACGTCCTGACGGACTTGATCATCAATATATCTGTACCACAGTCAGACCTGTCATGCGCCGTGCGTCATGCCTTTGCGCGAGAAGATGTACCTATGCTTGTTCTTGTATTCGTCGTAAAGATGCCGCTGTCTGGCCCGCAGGATAATTTTGTCGTCGACATCGGTGATGTTCATCACAAAATTGACTCGGAAGTGGAAATAGTCTCGTAGAATGCGGCGAATGATGTCCGTCGTAACATAGTTGCGGGCATGGCCCAGGTGTGCGTCGTCGTAAACGGTCGGCCCGCAAGCGTACCACTTGATCTTCTCTCGTTCTAAGGGGATGAAGGGCACTTTAGATCGAGTCAGGGAATTGTAGATCTTCAAGTCAGGCTGATGGGTCGAGCCGGTGGGCATGATCCATGGCGGTTGAGAAGACATCTTGGGGGACTTGAATGGCTTGAAGGGCTTGCGGAGGAGTGACACCGATGAGCAAAAGGTGCGTCTCAAGGGGTTCATGAAGCGACCTCGTTTGAGTCATCAGTTGGGTCTGTTCGGGCGCACAACGACAACGAGGCTGACCAGGGATATGATATGGTCACATCATCTGAATGCGCCGCTGCAGTGGTGATCAAGGAATAAGTTGACGGTTGACGGTTGACGGCGTATGAATTGCGATTCGCGATGGAGAGGGAATGCCAAGGCAGGAAAATGTGGCCTACTGGTTGGATGCAGTTGCAGTTTAGTTAAAGATGGGCATCCCTTAGGCGCGGTATTAGTGGAGCGCCCGGTTAAAGCATGCCGCTGTACCAAGGGCCCCCGACACTCTGGGCATCATTCTACGCCTATACCCTTTAACAAGGACGAAGATAGTTAGGGTTCGATTCCAGGGCAGGTTACCCGTGTTCATCGCTCCTTCGTGACGCCGTATTCTATACAATATCAGTCTACAAGCTTCTGATCTGGATGGTGTTTGGCCACTCTATTCAGCCCGCTGACTCGAGGCCATCAAGATGAATTCTCATTGAGAGCAAACACATAAGCACCAACATCAGACCACGGACAAGACACGACGCTCCTCCTTTCGAGCAAACTGTTCTTTAAGGGCTGTGCTATGTGAGCAGTTTCTATCTGCCTTTCTCACCGACTGCTTCACTTAGACCTTGGTGACTGACAAGCTGAGACTGAGCAATATGGCCTATACTGGGACGGCTAGTCGATCCAACCCGCATCTGCTCTGCACCTCTCCGCCTTCCATCTGGACGAACTCTGGTGGTATTTTGCTACCCCTAGCCAACGAGGCGAACAGTCCCTTGTCGGCATTCTTCGAGAAGTGCAACCCCTTCCTCTTGAAGCCCAGATACGGCAGGTAATGACCCGGATGAAAGACAATGAAGACCAAGACGACGAGGAACATCAGGACCGAGTCGAAGACATAGAAGAACCATTCGTGGTCGAGGAGGTAGTTGGTGTCCCCCAATGCGTACTCGATCAATCGCAACGTCGTCCGGATCAAGATCAGCACATTGGCCACGTTGACCATGAACAGGAACAGAGGCCAGTTCCGGTCGCGCGGCAGTGCAACGTTCAGCAATTTGGTCTTCAACATGAACATTAGCCGCAATGCCGTCACGACGAAGAAGCCGAACGTCGCCAATTGCAGCGCCAGGCCGACCAAGACCACATCTCTCCCCGTGTTGATTTTGGCGTGGGTGTTTCCTGACGCGATCATCGAGCCGCCGGCGACCTGGATGAAGAAACTGAGCACGTCGCAACCCGCGAATATCGGCGTCACTCGGCGTGCTGGCACCCAGAGGGTTTTGGCGCTTTGGTATTCCCGAGGAATTACCCACATCACCACTCGACCAAATGACATGTAGCATGCGGCGGCCATGACTGCGGGTGCGACCAGGACCATGACCAGCTGGACGATGAAGACGTTTCTGCTGCCGAGGTCCTTGACTGAGATCGCTCGAGTAATGTATCCGACCAATTCCACTGGTTCACGGTTAGTGTTTTCATGAACGTGGCTACCTCTCCATGCTTTTACTGAAGCAACGGCCCTGGACGTGGCCATGGGCCTGGCATGGGCAAGACTCACTGGCAACGGCAAAGTTCATCACCCACCAGAACCAGGCACGATGACGAACAATCTGCACCAGATTGGTCGCCATGGCGAGGCCATAGATGACGCTGAAGACCACGGCGGCCGCGAAAGACGGAGGATAATTGTATCGGCCTTCCTTCGCAAAGTCGGCCAGCGACTTGCCGCCTGGCAGGTCATCGTTGTTGATGGCACGAGCTGCGAGCTCGACAAGTTGAGAGAAGGCATCGGTATGGATTTCCACTGCACTGGCGCCCATGGTGGAAGATCTGAAGCGTTGTCAAGGAGACAACAGCTGTGTAAGGTACTACCGTACAGGAGAGGCTGCCGACCAGAAAGAGAAACAGAACAGAAGTGATGAGCACGGAGCAGGAAGACACTGGTTTCAATCTTGAGATTCGGAGGTCATCCGCCGACCTGGGCTGTGTTGCGAATCTCGATGAAACACGTTCGATCAATAGTAGTGAATCAATCTCAATCGATTGCGAAGAAACAAGTCCAACGAAGCACGAGCGCTCGCAACTCGAGGCGATCTATATACATTGGATCCGCTAGGGATTCATTCCCCTGAGTCACTCACTACAAGTCCACTACCTTGTTGGACTCTCGCGAGCCTTAGCCCTCAGTGGTCGAATATCATTGTGGTTCCTGGTTCCTGGTTCGAAGCAACCACTGCAGAGAAAGAATATCGAATTGGCCGCAATCAATATTGGGAACAGAGTCGGTGGCCGCGGGCTCCGATGTCGGTTGTCTGGGGATGGCCTCCCTAGTCCCTAGGAACTTGCGCAAATCAGCGTTCTGAATTGGCCCAGCACAGCCACTTGCTCCTTCGTATTCGGATCCGTGTCCGGTTTAGGTGGAGAGAGGGTGGGGTTGGGGATGGTGGATGGGATGGTCCCGTCGAGATGAAAATGCCCGGATCCGTTGACGGTGAACACGCTCGCAGATTCTTTTTCCTCTTCCCTCTACAAAGCATCACGGTGGTACCTCTGCTGGCTGACTGCTGCATCAAAGCCCACACACCGACCGTCGATACCTTGTCATTTGATGCTGCGGCGTTGGTGCGAAGTCCGGTCGTGGGCCTGGGCCTTCTGTGATCTTTGATATAAGACACTGCAAGCACGGGTCTCGGAGCGGGATGCTCCGTACAGATGATTTCGCAAGGCTGCAATCTTATCGTCCGGCCCTTTGCCCTTTGATGATTCGGTGATAACGTCCCGACCACGCCTCGCCTAGAACACGCACATGCTGGAATCTCACAGAAAGCTGTAACTTAGACAAGGTCGCTTCCTCTGTCGTCCGCTATCAGGTTGGAACGTCGTCCGTATTGCTACTACCATCCTTGAAAGCGATACGCACTGTCTGGTGCAACGTCAGGTGTACCTGATTGCGACGCCCTGCTTCGGTTCGATCTTCGAGTCTTCGAGTCTTCGAGACTTGATACACTTGAAGGGGTTTCGACGATTTCAGTTCGATCGTGGACGGCGCCGGCGAGGGGTAAGCCTCATAATGGCTGATCCATACGGTAGCGACTTTCCAACTATCCGATTTATTCCTTTGTGCTTCCAGCTGCTTCCTCCATCACTTCCTCAATCGCCTCTTTCGCTTCATTTCCATTATCCACTCCGTTCTGCGCTTGCCGTTGATTTTTGGCTCTCAGCTTAGCCTCTTTCTTCAGTTGTCGCTGGCTCTTCGGGACGTTGGATGCAACCGTGACGTGTTTGGACCACTTGGCCTGCGCCGCAGCCTCGTCCTCTTCGGACCACGCTCTAGGCAGGACGGCGAAGACCAGATACGAGGTATGGGTCTTGATTTCGGGCTCTGTTCTATGCACGAGCTTGCCGCCGTCGAACGGCAGCTTGCCACCTCCGTGCTGTTGTCCACCGTTCGCCGGTTTGCGGTCGGCAAGGCTGCCGGCATGGAAGTCCCTTGCGCGCCGTTCGACCTCGCGCAACTTGGCCAGGGCTTCCTCCACATCTACGGCATACGGGTTCACACCGCGCATGCCCTCGTATGCGAGACCCGTGTACTCGCGGCGCACCTCGATCCGCTTGTGTTGGACCTCGACCATCTCGATGTCAAGCCAGTCATGTTGCCGGAGCGCCGACACGGTCTTTTGGACCTGTTCGATGCACGGACTGAAGGTGCAGATATGCACAGCAGAGTTGGGGTCGAGTGCAGACGGCGTACCGTCCCGACGGTCGCGCGTCAGATGCGGTAGAGCCTCCCATGGCGCGGGAAGATCCAAGAATATCGCGTTCGCCTCGGGAGAGGTCTTCTCCTCGCTCTCGTCTTTGTAGACCAGGAGTCCATCTGCGTAGACGTCGCGATGCATCGTGTGGACGACGCCATCCAACCCGTGCTCCACCATTTCTGCTTTGACTTTCTTGTGCCGCTCGGCGTGGAACTCGTAGGAGAAAACTTTGCCCAAAGACTCGACATCGCCGGCGGCTGTGCCTTGCTGCTCACTTCCTGAATCAGAAGCGGTCGGGTACCCATTGAACACGGCTCGAGCTGCAGCATGGGTGAAGCTGCCACTGCCACTCCCGGCCTCAATCAGCCTGGACCCCGGCCGCGCCCGGATCCGGTGCAAAATGTAGGCGTAGTCTGGCGTGTAGACGACCTGGGTTCGATGCGGCAGAGAAATCGTCCAATTCTCCGGCGTGGGGGGCAGTAAATGAACGAAGCCCGAACTCGCCGCCTCGACAGCCACCACAGACTCCCCGTTCTGGCTGTTCGTCTGACTCTGCTCCAGCACCTCCGCCTTCCGCTTCTTTGCATTGATCGCTTCTTTGCGCCCTCGAGACCCGGTGTCCACCTTGCTCGCGCGGATCTGACTGCCCCACGGCACCCCGATCATGGTGGTATGGGGGAACGATCCGAAACGGGTGTTTGTGACCACGCCTTCCGCATACCCTACATGTTCGGCGCTGGTCACTTCTGTCGACAGAACAACTGGTAGTGACTGGTCACGTCGGAGATGCAAGGATGCCAGGTCGTGCTCTTTCGACACCAACCCTGGCGACAGGAACGGGGACACCATGGCGAAGAAGAATTCGCCAGCTTTCCGACGTTGGACTGGGTATGGAGCAAGGAATTCGCCTCTTATAATGAATCCTGTAGCTAGAGGATATTACACAGAGCACAAGGCGCACGAATTTGGTATGGAGAAGAAGTTTTGCTGTGAGAGTGTGGAAGTGACCAGAGTTCAAGTTGTGATCGAACTGATCGAACTCTGGGAGTGAAGGAAATTTTGATATCACGTGACATCGTGACCGCAAACAAACTTAAAGCGCCATCATGCGAATTCATTTTCTTTGCTGGCAGAGTTTTACTATCAAATAAACTCTTATGGAAGACATATTGACTTTCAGAAGATTGAGAAGAGTGTCACATTGGATCCTCGGAACCCTTTCATGGTGCATGACAAGTATTGTCACTCCCACTACCAATATCAATATTGTTGTCCACTGGCTGACACATTCACCACGCCTCGACATAGCTATTATGACCACAATATGCATCATCAATCATCCCACGGTCTGCGAGAACCTGCGCACACCAGGCCCGGTTTAGGAAGTATTCCGTCTCTGAAGAAGGTTTTCAAAATCTCAAACGTGCAGACGCTTGGGTTGACATCCCCAGCGCAGTGACCCGGCACGTCCTGCGTGACCACTACACTCCCTTCGTGGCGTTCAGACATCTTCAGTGCATTCCGCAATGGTGTTACCGGGTCAGCAGTGTTCCCGATGAAGAGCAAAGGGCTCCCTCGAGGGTCGTAGTCGGAGAGATTCGATTGGAATGGTCCAGTGAATCGATTCTCGGGCGCAGGCCGAACCGCTGCTGGCCAGTGAATGCAGTGCAAAATGATCTCGGCCCAGATGGATCCGACCAGCGGAGACTGGGATTGCAGGAGAGACAGATACTCCTCATATTCGGCCTTTGTCGTGGAAGTGATGTCGTCGCCGTCGCCGCAGAGAATGGAGACCCCGGCTTCCAACTGCCATGGGTACCCGGCGGGCAAATCGTCACCAGTCTCGCCGTACGTGCTCTGTGGCTGATACTGGGACAGCTGGAACGGCAAAGCCGGTGAGAAGCGGTTGGAAGTCGCCTTGCGCCATTGTTCTGCTGTTTCCTGGAGGGAGACGAGTGACAAGAGGTTGCCGTCCATAAGAGACTTTAGCGAGACCGCCAGCAATGGCCAGAGCTGGTTGGGGAGGTACAAGCATAGGTGGATATTGGCTTTCATCTCAAAATAGGTGAGAAGGACGGCATTTCCATTGTAGACCAGTGGTAAAGGATTGTCCTTGAGCTCTGCAAGGAAGCTGTCGACCTGGTCTCGAATGTCTTGCGGTCCGGTCGCTGATGGATCGAAGAGGGCGCATTTGGGTCCAGCTTCGAAACAGAACTCGAAGAACTTGGCCCACGTTTTGTTGTTGTCCTGCAGGTTCGTGGTCCATCCAGTGGCCGTATAGTCATCCGCGTCGACAACTCCATCCAGCACCATGCGGCCAACTCGCTCGGGAAACATGCTGGCGAAGGTATTGCCCAAGTATGAGCCGTAGGAGAGTCCCCAATAGTTGAGAAGCGCGGGAGGGTCCGACACCGGGGCCATGATTGCCTGATGACTACGCAATGATTGCCTGCGCGAATGCACCTCTTTACGAAGGTGCGCGTCGACTTGATCCACGATTTCGACCATGTCCCGGGCAACTAGAGCGGTACTCACATATTGGCGGATGTCGGAGCCGTCAGGATAGATGCCATTGCTGGCAGAGTCACACAGGCGACCTAGGCCTTGATCGATGCCCCATTTGACGTCCATGGCGTAGTGGCTATTCTCGAGACTACCGGCGCCCACGCCGAGCACTGCTAACAGATTTCTTGCGGCATTGTCCTGGAAGCAGGCCAGGCTAGGGGTCGAAAAGGCCACTCCTCGAGGGTCAAAAGAAAGGATCTCAAAATGCTTGTCGCTGTCCACGATCCTTTGGACGCCTCTTCCAGATTGAAGGACAATTCCTACCCCTGAGCCGCTGGGGCCACCTGGGTTGATGACAATAGTGCCTCCGAACGACTCATCTGTAACGTCGACCACTGCCGGGAGCTTGACGATTGCGAGCGTCACATTGTTGGGATTGGATTGGTTTGACCAGTCGAGAGGCACCTCGAGCCTAGAGCACTGGAAGGAGCCGTAGCATTCGTGGTATTGGAGTTGACCGGTCGCTGGAATCGTGTCCCAGCTAAAGCCTCCTGCGGCGGTGCCTGCTGGAGCACCTGTGGCCGAAGCGGTACAGTACAGTCCTGTGAACAAGGCCGTGAGGAAGGTTGCAATGTTTGACTTCATGATGAGCCAAGTACCACTGCGAAGCACCGATATTCTAAGATGTCGACGGAGCTATCCTATGGCTCTGGGGAAGTGCTTGTCAGGCAGGTCGGTCTTCGAAGCTAACATCAGGCACCTTTCGACGCAATGATCTGTAATCACTCTTCCCCCTTAACGTTCTCGAACCGTCGCTTCAGAATCGCGGATCTCTCCGGTCCGCATAAGCTCGAACTATCGGCGCATCTGGAGCTCTGCAGTGGCCATAAAGTGCAGTGTGCGATCACTGGTGGCTTGGAGATTCCCGTGTCAGGAGAAGGTGGAGGTCCAGTAATTGCACTGCATTCGGTCTCAGCCTCGTCAACACGTGACATGTATAGGACGACATCGAAAGAGAACACTACCACAGTCTTAGGGGTGATATCGGCGTCAAACATGTTGTCACTGTTCTGCTCTCGATGAAGATCGAGCGCGAGCTGTCCACATGGCAGAGCAATCGCTAAACAGCAGTATTATGGACGTGCTACTACGGCGTCTGCTCTCGAAACAGGATCTCAAGAATCCGAGAGCGGCAAAGGTCCACTGAAGTCTCACGCCATAACAGCTACAAAGAAGGAAGATTATCTCCATCGGAATACGAGTTTGTGCTCTACCACCATTTCCCATCCATAGACAATGAGCGTCTAGCCAGCACATTAGCCTTAGGAGCAGCAACCTGACCGACTAGGACCTTTATCTTGACGCTCAACAAGCCGCTTTCTTGTCGTTCAGATATTGCCGAGCTTCGAGAATAGTCTTGGCCATAGACATCTCATTCGGTGTCATCGAGTCAAGCCGAGCCCCAAGTACATGATCTTCATGGGACATCCGTGCCAATCGTCGTCCTCGGAGGAATCTGACTTGGCGACTGCCCCGTCCTGCGACCGTCCGAACGTTGCAGAAGTCGCAAAATGGTCAAGCAATCGTAGTTGCGTCAGTGTCTTGCATTCGTGAAAGAAAGCCCGTGCTACCGCTTCCTCGTCCTCGTTATACGGGGATATTTCCTGACGGTAGTCGATTTCGTCGAGCAGTCTATCATCGAGAAAATGCTTGCGCAGATAGGTTGTATTGATCCACTGTTGTTTGGTGACTGCTAGCGACTCCAGTTGTTCCATACGATTGAAGCTGTGGACAAGGTCCTGATCGTCGTCAGCTCACTGGTTCTACTGTAAAAGGAGCACCCACTCTCACGGTCAATTTGACTAGGTGAAGCTCCCCTTTGAAGCACAAACTGCGGACATGCATCAAATAATCGTTGACGTCTGTCGACTGAAGCGTCTAGTATGGCTTCCCTTACCTTCGAGTTGCTTTGGCTTCCAGCCCTTGTAATTCTCCAGTTCAACGTGTTGAAGTGCTGACTTTTCTCGCAAAGCCTTGAATGTCTGTTTCCACTGCTTGTTCGGGTGGTTTGTGACAAACGTTTCCAAGTGAGGACATGCGCGTAGGAGAAAGGCTGCGTTGGGCACATGCTGGATCTGCAGCGTGATCACGGACGGGAGCTGTAAGCGGCTAGTCCTGGCTGCAGATCTCAGTTGGGAAGCAAGCTTTTCACCGTCGTCCAGTTTGATGTGAAGCTCGGTTAGACGCGGCATGGCAACGACTGCAGTAATGAAGTCGTCACCGATTTTCCAGGAGGAAGGTACGACGTCCTCATCATGCTAACGCAAAGTCCAGCTGAATGCCCTACATCAAGTCAGGGCTCCAAACTCAGGACTCTAGATAGGTGACCTACACCAAGTTTGCAGTCACGATTGAGTGTGCTTGTCTCAGAGTCTGCACATGACGATGTAGGTCGGTCGCAGACTCGTAGTACCAGCGTAGTTTGTCGGACTGGAACACGAATGGAAGGGACAGTTGTCGAGTGCGTTTGTCGACTGCAGAAAACTGCTTGATAGGCGTCGGAGCACCCCAAGTTGGCGCCTTGAGTTTGGCAACCTTTTTGATGATAAGCCAGAGGCAATCGTCCGAAAGACGGTCGATGAAGTTCAAGAGTGGAGGCGTTGTCGCCGTGACGGCTGCAGATCTCTTCGCCTTGGCCATGATGCTGGAGAAGCAAAGATCGAGAGAGAAGGGGAACATTTAGAAAAAAAGACCTAGGAAACCAGTGCAAAGATGGTAGAAGAATTTTACAGGAATTGAGAGAACACAATCAGTAAAGACCTGGAAACGCAGGCACGCAACAGCACAAATTGGAAGCAGCACGCGCGCAGGCAGCAGTACACGGAAACCGCGTCCGCCTCAGACACAACCACCACTGTATACATTCATCATCGGTCGTTAAGCAGCATGGCATACTAGACTGCGTATATTGACTCACTTGTCCCATCTCTAGGTAGATACCCATATTAGACCAGGAAGCAAAGGGCGTAAACTGTCATGGCGCGGACGGTCCCCCACGCGCACAATAAGATGTATCATGTAGAGGTCCAAAGCAGATCGCGAGCACAAGTGCTTGGAATTCTAAGTCTTCTTGGGCGGACCCTGAGCCACCTTGGGCCTGCCCGTGATACAGAGTGGGAATGCACCGGTAGGCCATCGAGGATCGGGGAGAACGTCAAGATGCGTGAGGAGGGACTTGAGATGTGCAAAACTTAGGAAGGATGAAGAAAAGGGAGACATTCTCAATTCATATCGGCTGGTTGTGGGGCAGAGAAGCCAAGAAACCCACCCACAATAATATTGCTATACTTATAATAAACTGGCAGAAAATGCATTCAACAATCAGCAATCACAAGCATCAGTGGTTTAGTGGTAAAATCCATGCTTGCCAGCAGTCGCAATCTTGCATGGGCCCCGCGTTCGATTCGCGGCTGATGCATCTGATCTACCTTTGGTTTCTTTTTGTCTTTTTTTTGGTTTATATTGGGTTACAATTATTCTTGTTCCCTGCTACCTACATACCTACTGGTAGATACGCTTATGCTACTAAGACTGTCTAGGTACCTAAGGTTCGCCTGCCCAGTAGTACTACTGGTTACTGGTAAGTCAGCGAGAGTACATAGGGAGGTCTGCAGAATTGGACCGTTGACTTTAAGCTCGTTAACCATTTTTTTGACTCGAAGATCGACAGCCAGCAAAGAGCAACCTATATTCCTGCAACAAGCAAGGCGGGAGCGCTGACACGTTTGGACACGCCTTCCGTGTTTCTTGTACCAAGAAGTATCGAGCTTCTTACTTATATACCCTTCATTTAAGGCACACCCCGCCGAGACGCACCGACTCCAGTAGACGTAGTTACAACTTGGCACCGAGGTTCTTTCGGGCCTCTCTGTCTTTGTCTTTGAGCAGTCTTCTCAGGATCTTGCCGGAGGGACTCTTGGGAATGACCTCGACGAACTCGACACCTCCAGCGAGCCACTTATGCCGAGCCTTTTCCTTCTCGACATGCTTCATGATGCTGCGTTTGACCATGACGTCGCTTTCTTCCAGGCCGACAGACTTGGATTTCACCACATACGCCTTGGGCAGCTCACCAGCGCGATCGTCTGGCACGGAGATGACGGCGCAATCAGCCACGGCGGGATGATTGAGCAAGCAGGCCTCGAGTTCTGCGGGGGCAACTTGATGACCCTGGAGAACTACTTAGTAAAATCCAGAAGCAGCAGGAGAGCGTACTTACCTTGACTTTGATCAATTCCTTGATGCGGTCAACCACCCAAACATGCTCATTACCCTTCGAGGACACTCGGATCTCGACTTCGTCTCCAGTCCGCATGAAGCGGCCTTCGGGCATGTCCACAAAGGTCTCCATGGTCGCCTTGTCGTTCTTCAGGTATCCCAAGACCACACTGGGCGATTTGACGAGCAGTTCTCCGCGCTGGTTGTAGCCCGTGATTTCATTCCCCTCTATGTCGACGACTTTGGCCTCAATGCCCGGCAACAGACAGCCAGACGAGCCGAACCAGATGTCCATCGGACTGGTCGAGCACACGACCGTACAGGTCTCGGTGAGGCCATAGCCTTGTCGGACTTTCCAGGCGGGATATTGCGCTGCCAGATCCTCCGCCGTCTCTTTGCCCAACGGCGCCGCACCGGTGAAGATGGACAGGACACTGGTCAAGTCGTATTTCTTCAGCAGCTCCTGGTTCTTCACCATGGCGATGATGATCGGCGGCACGATATACAAGGTGTTGATCTTGTACTTTTGGATGCAGGTCAGATATTGCTGCAAGTCGAATTTCGGAAGCACGACCACTCGGTCGCCGCGGTATGTTGAGCAATGGCAAATGACTATCAAGCCATAAATATGTGACTGAGGCAGTAAGCCGAGCGCGGCGTCGTGGTAGCCTGGAGCAATCGCATCACGGGCCATTTGATCGTAGGTCGAAATCTGGACCGTGTTGGCGATCACATTATAATGGGAGATCATGACTCCTTTCTAGTGCTATGTTAGCAATGGTCCGCATTTGACAGCAGACGAAAGACATACAGGTAAGCCAGAGGTTCCACTCGAATAGCATAGAAAGGCGGTTTGCCTTGCGCCTTGGCCTTTGGTCCACTTGACAGGTTCCAGTTCAGGTAGGGACTCGCCTTCCTTGATCAGTTGAGACAAAGTCTTGAATTCTTTTGGTATGGGAGGATCATTAGGCATCTCGCAGATATAGATGTTCTTTCTGGGGATGTTGGACTTGACAGCCGCGTCGAGGGCAGTCTGAAGAAGAGGCATTACGGTGAACAGCACCTTGGCCCCAGAGTTCGTGAGTTGATGTCGCAACTCGTCGGCATTATAAGCGGCGTTGGCTGGGGACGAGACGCCGTTCAGACGATGTATCGCCCAGGAGAGAGTCATGATATCGATCTTGATCTATCAGTCGTCTCCTCACACAATCAATGCTCAGACACCAACGCACCGTATTAAGAGCGAAGACACCGGCAACCTTGTCATATTCAGTGCCCTCGTTGACCTTCCATCCAAATTCCTTGGCCAGACTCCGAGCCAGCCGGTCAACACTTTCCTTCTGTTGTCGTGCCGTGATGCTCCTCCCACTGAGGCCACAAGTGTAGGTGTCCCATGAGTCTGCATAAGGACGTCGCCCGTATTTCTCATCGAGCATAAAGTCGCACAGAGGGACAGTATCTGGGATTTTGGGGAGTTTGGGCAGCCATGCTGGCGGATGGAAGACCATGACTGCTAGAGAGGAGAGCTATAGGATCGCAGGGCAGTGGAGGAGCGAGGGAGTTGACGAGCTATGTCACAATAGGTCGCAACAGACTGCTATCGTGCTATCGTGCTGTTGTGCTTCGTGATTGAAAGCCGCGGACAGCAAAATCAAGTACAAACGGCAAAGACGAGAACTCACTGGAGAAGCATGTAGATTCACCACAGCTGAGGTAGGTAGAAAGAGATCTTGACGCGACAAGCGGCACGCCCGCTGCATTTGGATGCGCTGAATGCACCCTGCGGTGCGCTGGGGAAATACCCGAGGTAAGTCGAAGCTCAGGGCGATACTTGGCGTCTGGTCTTCATGTTGGAGAGTGGCAGTCGAACTTGAACCCCGAGTCCGGCTTTCTCGGCCTAACGGCGCCCCAACCTTTGCACTCCCGAGTCTGGGGTCCGGGACACCGCCCTCTGGAACCACAGGAGCCGTAACGCACCCCTGACTCGTGAAGAACTTGAACTTTGATCATCACGACAATACCTAACAATGAACTCCGGGTCCTTCGAGATTCTAATAGGCAATACAAGTCTGCAATCGCGACCGATTGTTGTCCTCCAGGTTGAATATAAATAAAATGACAAGTGCAGGGGAAACTTGGTGATCAAATGTGCTCTCCCATGTCCTGGAGTCTGTCGGTTGCCGAGTTGCATTCCCGGCTGCGATCGGCGGTTGGTGCAACCGACTGCAGCACTCGTAATGGTTGTCAGGGCTGTTAAGTGGGAATTTCAGAGAGAGGCGACACTATTCAATTGATCCTGGTGCAGAACTTCAATCTCTAGGCCTGCTGCTGGGCAGTATTCTTCTATTCTAGCAAGAAGCTTTGATATGGTAAAGAGAGTATAATAATCTCAAGTCGGTGTTGTTGCTGTGGAAGAAATCTTTGCCGCTTGAACCTGATCACGTGCACAAGTACGTGTAGGGGCAGAAAGAACCCTCGTCACGTGCCAGCCTTGTATTCTTGGGGACCAACAAGGCTGAACATTTATCATTAGTCTGCGGTTAGTCTGCCTGCATTATTACAGAATACAGAATACGTACAACCAAAGCACACAGAATTAGATAGACGAGATTGGATGGTCCGTGAACTCAGGGGACGCCTTCCGGCGGCATCGTTCAAGGATGGACTAGACCTCGGCGAGGATAGATTCGTCTCTCAGTGCTGAGCACTACCACAGTCGGTGGGCAACACGTACGTACAACCATCTACAACCATCCACCTTTTGTACAGATCTGCTAGCACATGAGGCTTTTCGCCGCGTTTATAATCCTTGCGCCATCCACCATAAAAGTCGCAACGAGTGGTCTCGCTAGAGAATTCCCCGTCCACGTGAATAGAACGGGCCTATTCTTGAGCATGGCACAAGGGCCACCGCTCCACGGATGATGTTAGGCTTCCCTGATGCGGGTGCGTCGGAGACGAGCCGAGATTGACAACTGAAACTGCAATCAAACCGAGAGGCCGATGAGGCTGAGTAGCGCCTCACCCACGTGTCACGTGCACCCGAGCGGAGAAGGAGTGACCGCTCACAGAAAGAACAAAAAATAAATGATAATATTAATATCACAATCGAGATCGTCAAAGTCTCGTTTCCCGCAGATTGAAAACAGCGTCTTGAAACAACCTAATGGCCTGTGTTTCGTCATCAAGGCATCCCGGATTCGTTTACAGCACCGGGTAATCAACCTCTGGACTTGGTCAGGTACCTACGGTATATGCAGTGAGGCTGGTTCCCAACATTTCTCAAGTGTTTCTGCTTTGAAAAGACATTGTCAACAACAAATAAAAAGCGACGGGACGGACAATAACTCCAGGGCCAGGGTGGAAAGAACCATTGCATCACCATATCCGTGTCCACAAGCAAGGACTCCCCTGCACGTCAGATGGTATTGCTACCTTATCATTGACATCCCGCGGTCGACGGCATTACTATTGATGTTTGGCCGTTGCTATTTACTCCACGTCCGTATCCAGTTTTGCAAGAGACGCGAAGTGCTGGTATCCATTGTGATAAATTGCTAATTGCTAAATAGGTGTAAGAGTGGCTTCCGCGGCGTGCCGGATAGCAACAAGGATATCATGCCCGTGATGCCACGGTAAACGAAAAGATATGGAAGCTGACAGCGGACTATACAAAACTATCGCCTTTTAAGCATCTCTTTTCCACGCGGTGGTCTGTAGAGGATGCCTTGGGAAAAAACCCGCAGTAGGTGTCGAGGAGCGAAGTCCGTGGCTGGAGAAGCTTTCGGTCCCAGATCAACTGCCAAACTACCAGTAGTTGACATGCATCAACGACGGCTGGTAGATTCGGCATTAACCAATCCTGTTGCAATGGTGACCTGATAGGACTTTGGTAAACAGGGAGGTATCCCGATGTTGATTTGCTGGTGAACAAGTTTCTGGACCTGGCGAGTGTAGGGGATGCATGCATGTCGAGAATGCAGCTTGCCCGCATGGATTATGAAACCCTGACCCTGCAGCATATCCCGGCGCAGTAGACAGTCGACGACCTCATGCCAAAAAGGCTGTTTCGGTATTGGGTGCCCCAAAGTCATGATCTAAGGGACTCTGGCCGGGCATGTTCCGTGGGCGGTATACTCTGTCCACCTCAACCTGCAGACGAGTCAACTGTCGAGGGTCAAAGTGTCAAGGAAGCTCTACACTGCAGAGCACTGCATCCTTGATCGTCTCCGATGTTCGACCAGAATTTTCCCGGATCCCCGCACTTTCGAAGGCAACAAGCAAATGCAAGCCGCCATTTGTTGTACGTACTACAACTACTACTTATCGTGATGCTCCGTGTCCTCTCGCTTCGTTGACAGGAGGACTATCCTATCTCAGGTGAGACACCTGGCCAGTGGTCGAGCATTATCGGTTCGACCGTCAGATAAGCGAGCCAGTAAGGTCAATTCCATTGAGAGGACGACAGTCCCGAAGAAGAAGAATGGGCGACAAGTACCCTGGTATACCTCTAACCCCAAGAACATCATCATGGGAGCTACTCTCACGAGATGTCAGATAGTACGATACTGGACAGTGACAAACACGTGGAGCCTAACGAGACGATCAAAAAGATGCCTTTCCGGCCACAGTATTATCAGCCATGGTGGTACAGCAGTCCGTCAAACGTGGCGGTGAGTATCGTAGGAACGGAGGTGTCGGGACGAGAACTTCAGCGAGATCCTACCTAAAGGAGGCTTGCAGTGACAGGAGCGAGATTGGTCTGCAAGCCATGCCGCCGTGTTTCTTGAAGCGGTCCCAAACAAGTTTTGTACACAGTAGGCTTGTGGTACTGCAGGCCGCCATCTTGGGAGCGAACGATGCATGCATGCATGCGTGCTGCTGCTACTGCAGGCCAGCCAGCGTTACCGGCTTTCAAGTTGCTGGCTCCCAAATGCATCAGCCCTTTCGGTTGGGGTGTATTCAACACACCCACCACCATGTACTGTACGTACTATCCAGCAGCAGGTGCATAGTTCCGTCAATTCCCAGCAGACCGGAGGGCTCGGCAGCGCGTCAGTCCATCATGATGTACATGCAATCATCGCAACTTTCGAGAGGATCAGGCCCGAACAGCGCACGGGATAATGGAGTGGATCTCTCTGAGGTGGCACATACTGCACTGCGTGTGTACGCACGATGCAAGAGTTTTGTTGGTGTACATACATATACATATATATATACACATAATACTGGAGGAGAAATATTAATCGAGAGGGTTAGGATATCTTGGGGAAAGATCGACAAGCCCTGCAGGAGAGGGTATAGATGTGAGCATGTTCTTTCAGAGTATCAGTATTGTCCTTTCGGATACTGACCTCGCAGCACATATCTGCTCTCAAGTCTGCCTGCATACCTGCACAGTGTTGATCAGAAGCCACACGACGCGCCTTCTTGCAATGTTTCTGCTCGGAGTTTCTCGCATTTGCCACAAGCGGCCCAGAGCCGCGCAAAGAATCTAATAGTCAAAATAGTCAAATGGCCAAATGGTCAAATGGTCCACTCTGGAGACCTGTGAAAAGCGTAACGTCGGCGGCTCCGACACCCGAACCATCTACCACAATGCATGTTGAAATTGGTCTCATGCTTCTCTGACCAGTCGGAAAATGGTACAGAACTTCCTGTACCATCAGAATATCAAGATAAAAGCCGCATATTGAGGATAACTGGCTGGAGTCCTCGAGGTGGCATGGACTAGGCGTATCATCCATCCTGAAGAGTCCTTACACCTAGTAGTACAGACCCCGGAAGTAAAGGTACCCGTATTGAATACGTGATCCACACAGTGAGAGAGACGAGGAAGTTTCAGGGAAGGTTTACCAGGTACCTCAGGTTATGTACCTTAGATAAGGTGAGGATTGAACAGCGAGGAAGTCCGAGCACCGAGTTGAGTTCATTAGTGGCTGAAATGAGAGACCCTGTTGTTCGCTTGTAGATCAACTTCAAGTGGCAACGTGGTAGCGGGAGAGACAATTAAATGGACACCATGAAGACGACCACTCGTGGGGGCGGTTGCTTGACGATCATCTTTTTAAGGTAAGAGGGAATAATACTAGGATGACAAGTCACCCGCAGCGCAGCGGTAGGCGCTTTTAAGGTGACTGTTCGAGTTTGCTGGGGAAGGCGCACCTAAGGTCTAGGTACCTACCGACCTAGGTGCATTAGGTCTGCGTAAACCTGCATCAACGCTTATAATATAATGCATGTTGAGATGTCTACCTACCTTAGCCAGCAATAATGATGATATACCTTTTCAGAACCAGCAGGCATTGCTGCTGCTCTGAGTCACCAGTTACTTCTTCTCTTCCCACGTAAAGCACATACAGGTCGGTCGTAGGCATAATTTTCTCCAGTAGAAACACTCCAAAACACCAACACACATTGTCAACATTAATACACCGTTCTTACGTTGTATGTTACGGGCTCCGCCCACATTCATCATCCCACTACTACCTGACCTTGACCTTAAATGTGGTAGTTCGTTCGCTTCCCTGCTTTCCTGGCCCTTGATACATCCCGCATCCAGCTCAACTTCCAACCATTCACCGCACAGCGGCTCGCACATCGGCCTCTGACCATTTGTCCCTCTTCTTCCGCGACTCCTAGTACTACTAGTAGCCCATTTGCCGGGCCAGGTGCCTGGTCTTGACTTTCGTGACATGTTGATCCTCGAAACAAAACCCGTGCATGAGGTCCCAACCCAACATCGACCGCCTTCTTCCAAACGCTTGTTACCCGAGTCCACTTCAATCCTCCACCCTTGTTCCACAAGCATCCACTGTCACTCGCTCGGCTTGCACGCCTCTTGTTCAAGTTCTTCGCCATTTGCACTTGCCGACCCGGGCCCTTGCAACCGTCTACCTGTCTATCTGTCTGTCTGTCTGTCTGTCTGTCTGTCTGTCTGTCCTGTCCGCTGTCGCTTTTTCGTAAACTGAACTGTATCTTCCTCCTCCTCACCCACTACCGCCCGCATCTCCGCCTTACAACACCAAGACCGCGGCTCATTCATTGACATTAGCAGAACTCTCCTTCCAGTATCTACAGTCTGTACGCATAACTTGAAAGGCTCCTATGGCCAGATAGACATACTCCCGCCTCGCCGGCCATATCCCTAATTATCAACTTTCGCTCTTCGAAACCGTCTTTGTCTTGTCCTGTCCTGTCGTCCTGTCCTTTCAGAATCGCACAAGCACGACGAAATACACTGAGTCGTCCGCACCTCTCTATTGCGCTGAGCCTACCTTTGTCCAGGAGGCTTGCCTGCACCAACCGCCTCTTCACTGAGTTGGTTCGGTGCCACAAACCACATTTTAGCAGTCACCGCTGTACATCGAGACAATCACATTTCCAATAGCAAGCCTTCAATGCCATAGTCACCGCTCGACCCAGCTCACGCCCATCACCCTCGGATATCATTGAGAAAAGACTTGGGCACAGTTTCAAATGCAGAAATAGTGGGAATATCCAACTTTGGCCGCTGGCGGATCCGTTGTCCTCTCAAGATGTTCTTGACAGCTTCTTCTCACTCACTATGGACCAGCTCCCTGCTGTGGGCGGTCATCCTTCTGCTACTAAGCACACGGTCTAATGGACTCGACATCTCCTACTGCTCCCCGGAGAACAATGCAGGCTCTTATCCCGCATGTGAGTTTTGAACGATACATATGCTGTTCATTGTTCAACCACTGACGCCGGAGACCAGACTACAATATGTACCAGTCCAATGGAGCATGCCAGGTACACTGTCAAGGCTCTTACGTGTTTGCCGTCATCCAGGGATCTTATTGCTGGTGTTCCAACTACATCCCCGCGGAGCAGGAAAGCACCTACAACTGTAACCAAGAGTGTCCCGGTTACGGTAGCGAATGGTGTGGTTCAACCGATGCTGGTCTCTACGCCTACTTCGATTTGGACGGCAAGGCGCCCTCGGGCACTTCTGGCGGATCGGCCGCCAGCACAGCAGCCAGTACAGCAACCAGCACCGCACCCACATCCTCTTCTCCCTTGGTTAGTACTTCCCTGACCGAGTCTGGATCACCTACCCCCACTCCCGATATCGAGACCACTTCTCCCTCATCATCCCCTGCCGTGTCAAGCGCAGGATTTCCTGAAAGCTCTTCCGACGAGGCTACCTTTATGACCTACTCATCAAGCGAGTTCCTTGCCACCTCAGCGATCCCCTCTGTAGGACTGTCCCATTTCCTTCCCTCTGATCCAGTATTGTACCTTGAAGCTACCCATCCACCCCTTGTTTGTCCATGTAGATTGGTCAATCCGGCTTTGCTCACTTTTTTATAGACTAGTTCAACCATCTCTACGCCCACCTCCGCCGAAGTTTCGACGACTCCCAGGCCTACGCCTACGCCCACTTCCGCTCCCAGCTCAAGCTCGTCTTCGACTCCGACTCCGACTCCGACAGAGGTGTACACCAGTGTCACCACCGTGACTGGCGAAGTTCGAACCGTCGTGATCACCCCCTCTTCTTCGACCAATGCCACTCTCGGCCAGTCTTCTTCCGGTGGAGGCGGAGGTGGTGGAATAAGCACTGGCAAGGTTGTGGGAATTGTGCTAGGTGTAGCTCTGGGGATTGGCGTCCTGATCGGAATTGGAGCCTGGCTCTGGTTCCGGAGACGACATCAAAAGATGCAAGCGCAGGCTGGGCCGGAGACGACTTTCGTCCCTCGAACTGGGGAAACGTCCCCGTCGAACAATATTCCCTCACGGCAAGTCAGTCAACTGTCGTCTTCCGGGCTACTCGGGAACAAGACCCCCCGCATCAACACGTCTGGCATGCCGATGGGCAATGATCCAAGAAGCGCAGATACCACCGTCTCGAACGGCTTTGATCGACGAAGTCTGGCGACGGATCAACGATTAAACCCGTACGCGTTGTATATCCACGACGAGAGCCGCCTTAGCAATGTGTCTCTTCAGGATAACCAGGACTACTCCAGGCAGTTGCGGGTGAGTTGCGCTTCTTGTCTTGTTGGCGTCTGAGCTAACCAGAAAACAGGTGGCGAACCCAGATCCCTGAGGACTCTTCTGGACGAATAAAACTTGAAAAGTCCACCACTAATGTCTAATCGTGCTCGATCCATCGGCGCATGACTGCGTCCGCTCATAAGTTGCAGATGACAGCTGCCCATTGTTCGCAGCATGCCGACCACTCGTTTCTGCCACCAGTCTCAGAACTAACCCAAGCACGAGACCGTCTCGCGCGGTCATCTGAATGATCTTTACGACGAGACGTCCCTTCTTTCCTCCACCTACAACGGTTCAGTCCACAGCATTTCAGTTTTGCATTTCAGGAGTTTGGGCCCAGGGGCATTGTACATTTAGCGCAGGGTAACAGGAGCGCATTACCACCGGTCTGTGGTAGCGGGATTCGTCCTGAGTGATGATCAAGGCGTTCGGTCTACGCAGAAAGGAAGGAGAACGTGTGGGACCTCGGATGACTACTGACATGGCATCCTGCAGGGTTTTGTTGGGCAGGGTCGCCCCGTGGCGATGGAAGCAAACGATGATAATGAGACAACCAAGTCATCTTGTACAGGACTCGGTGTTGCGTGATCTTGATATGTGCGAGCAGCTTCGGATCGAAGAGACAAGGATCGATATAGACGAAACAAAAAGTTGTGATCCATCCTGTTCCTGGTCCGGTTTGCTCTACGGACCATAGAAGACTACACAATGATGAAGTAATAACGTAACTTTGATGATGGCAACACGGGTACCTGATCGACGATGTGCCCAAGGCAGATCCTGTTCTTCTCCACCTTACCCAGGCAAGGCTGTGGTGGCTAGGTAGGTACCTATAGTATTGGGCACCGCCAGCGCTGCCACCTCTTACGAATGAAGTTGCTTCGATCATCTCTAGTAGGCATAGTACTACTACTCCTGTATGACTGCAGTGTCGTCCTGGGGGTTGATTAGGTCTCAGTCGGCACCACGGGTGCCCGGGAGCGCCCGTCCAGGGCAGCACTGCAGTGCGGCGTAAGTCTTCTCGGCCTTGGATTATGGGTGAAAATTCGTCCCATGCACACGGTGAGGGGTGATGCTGTACTAGTAGGCCAGGATTCGCTCAGGTGCATCACTCACTACCTGCGCTGCTTATGCTGCTCGAACCCAACAGAATCAGCCAATCTGATATACAGAGCAACCCAGCTGTAGTCGAAAAGAAGTTTCTGGTAGAACCTGATGCATCAATGCCCTTGCTGGCGGTTTGTTATTGAAGTTGTTCAATGGTACTCCATAGCAAATAGCGTACCCAGTTCCGTCCCATCTCTCGTTGTTCTCTGCCTTGGTTGAGATGCTGTGGTGGTAGCTGAATACCACGATTATGATGGCGGGGATCCTTGGGAGTCTTTATTGGGCTGCAATGCAGAAATCGACGTCACCCGGCTGATTCGTCTCGGGCCTTTCCTCTCTTCCTGGGGCAGGCGCCGGCCACTAACCACCTAGCGACTAGGCACCTACTGTACTATAGTAGTACTAGTATGGTACCTAGTAAAGGAGGTTACTCACTGGCTGCGCTGACCACGACCACTGCACGACTACCACTACGTACTACGTCTAACTAAGAGAGGCGGTTGCATGCTGTGCTGCGCTGGGCTGGGCTGCGCTCAATCTGCCTCCGCCTCTGTGACAACTGGCAGCAGAGGGCTGATTTACAGGGTGTCCTCCCACATGTGTGCTCATCCTTCTTGTTCGTAACATCTAACGGGCTTCCCACTCTTCCCGTTCAGAATCTGTCTTCGCTATTCAGGATAGACAATTCATCTCTTCTTCTTCTTCCATCGCTTATCCCAGCCTCCTCAGGTGACAGCTCGGGCTAGTCCGTCGTCTACTCCTGAAACGACCCCAGCCGCAAGCGGACCGCCCGCTGGCTCGTGCCAACACACTGCAAACTTGGCCAGTCTCTCCTCTCACTTCGGGGCCTGATCGCACAGGCCAGTTGCATCTACCATGGCCGGACGTCGTTACGCAGATGATGTCTCCATCGACCGCTACGACGACCGAAGAGACTATACCTCCCGAAATGGTCGTCGGGTCTATGATGACCGCTATGTGGATGAAGAGGTAGACTATCGTCGTGGTGCTCCCGTCCGCGAACGGGAAAGAGAAAGGGAAGGCCTCGTTCGGGACGATGTTCGGGAACGCCCTAGATCCGGTCTGGATTTCTTACAAGAAGGCTATGGTCGGTCTTCTGCTGGGCCGGTAGTCTTGGCCAAGCGAGAACGAGAGGACTTCGAATTTGTCCCTCGACCTCGCCGGCGGTCACCCTTGCCGGAGCCCGAAAGGAAGTTTGAGAAGGAGGAGATCATTGTCAGAAAGAGGGATGAGTCGACATCGAGACCGCCGCCGCGGACACGGGAGAGGGATCGAGGATATGACAGAGAAGAAGTCATTATCCGCCGAGACGAGAGAGAGACGGATCGGAGACCCCCTCCCGGTCGTGAGTGGGACCGGGAAGAGATCATCTTTCGAAGAGAAGAAAGAGAACGGGACGTACGATCTCCCCCCGTACGCGAACAGAACACTTCGCGGGAAGAAAATGTCATTCGGCGGGATGAAACTGATCGTCGAGTTCGGTATGATGCAGACTACGACAGGGACGACGTGGTCTCTCGAAGGGGTGACTACCCGAGGTCGGTCAGAGGCGATGTCGAGAGGGATGAAATTATCATCCGCCGTGAGGAGCAGAACCTGTCTCCTCGTGGCTACGAAGATTATCCTCTAAGTCGATCAAAATCACATGAGCGAGCCAGATCCCGTGGGCGACGCTCCAGCAGCGCTTCCGGCCAAGAGATCATCATTCGCCAGGAAGAGCAAGAGGGTCGTGGCGGTCGTACCCGTGACCGACAGGAGATCATTATCCGAAGGAATTCTCGATCACGGTCACGCTCGCCCTCGGTTGCTTCTGCACCTGTTCGGGCCCCAGAACCTCAAGTCATCAAGGCTCCTACCATTCATCAGGAAGTCGTTACCCATCATCGCCATATTGACCATGGATTCGAGGTCGCCATTCCAACCCGCCCTCGGGTTATCTCTCGACCACCATCTCCTCCAAGTCCTCCGCCACCTCGTGCTCCTGCGCCCCGAGCTAGGTCGGAAGAGCGTATCCAGATCAGTCGAACCCAAACCAGGAACGGCCATACCTCAGCTGAAGACATTGTCATTGACCGCAACGAAGGTCCAGCTGCTCCGAGACCCGTGGCGCCTTATGCGCCGCCTCCTCCGCGAGATCCCTACTACGAGCCTGTTCCTCCTCCTCGCCGTGATTACGGTTATGACCGAGATGTCCAAAAAGAGGCTGAGTACTACAATAGCCGGGCGCTGGAACGATCGTATGTCGGTGAAGGGTACCACGGCGCCACGCGGGATTGGGAGATTGTGGATGTTCCGCCCGGGACCCATCGAGTACGCATGGATGGAGCAGGTGGAGGAAGTCAGGAAATCACCTGGCAGCGGTACAACGGTGTACGACGAAGCAAGTTTGTGCCAGATGGAGTACTTGACGACACACGTGCAAGGGGTGCAGTCCGAACACCCCCATTACCCGCCCCGGCACCGCTGCCTGCATCGAACGGGGACATCGGCCGTCGGTATGGCAGAGAGCGAGATCCCACCGAGGGCTTGTGGACCGAAATCACCAAGGATCTTGTTGTCAAAGAGGCCATACAAGAGATGGGCTATGAATTCGAAGAGACGGAAGATTTCTACTACATTATTGCTTATTTACGATATGTGAGTGACCACCAGTCCACGAGCCTACCTACCGTACTGACATTAGAGCAGGAAGACATAGCCCGTCTCGTCGGGCTCTCCGAGGACATCCGCCGAGAGCGGAGGAAAAGAGTCAAAGAACTTGAATGGGAGAATCGAGTCTTGCCGCCTCCTGTGGTCGAGGAGATTCCGCGCCCCCTCGCCATTGAGCCACCGCCACCACCTCGGTCCCGTCAACCTTGGGACCGAGAAGAGGAGCGGTACATTGAACGAGAAATAGTCTATAAAGGGGACCGTCCTCCCCCACCAGTCGCCTGGAGGCGCTAAAGCGATGACTCGGAAATCATCAGCATGTTTACACATTTCGCGAGCTCCCTTTCCACGCTGGGCCTCGAATCCCGAAATCGAAACGAATCTTCTTTGCTGCGTTCAATCACGAAATACGATATATGAGATACGGCCAACATGAAGGAAAGACCTTTGAGGTCGAAGCGTCAGACGATGCAGACCATGAAAGATACGAAACCAAGCGGTGTGAGCACCGAAAACTGAAAGCTATCTTCCGAATCCTTGGCCAGCGCGTTGGAATATTGTCGCGTCGATTGGGTGATTGATTGATGACACATTTTCAGCAAGCGGGCAGACTATGAATACACAATGTTGGATTGAAGCATTGTGAATGAAATTGGACTGGGGGATATGTGGTCTTCCTTTGAATCAGTGAACACGAAAACACACAGAATTTGACACTCTGGATTTTCAAGTGGACGCGCACTTGTTGATGGAGGGCGGAGAGTGGAGGGTCCTTCCAACACATGAAGAGATTTCGATGTCATAGCAGGCCAGGCAGGGTAACGAGGATTGATATGATATGATGCAAGTCTATTGGCTGAAAGAGAGTAAGTCTCTCTTTCTGCAGGTAATAGTTGCATAACGAAATCACGAACTTGAATAGATAGATGGCAGGCAGATCCACTGGGTGACTGAATCTATGTCTCTCTCGAGCTCCTGTTCTGGGACTGTTTCCATTATTGACATACTACCAGTACTGGAAGTGAAGGTACTATATATATAAAGTACGTAGCATTGGTAGCAACAAGATCCATGCGATCATCCATTCGTCCCATACACCCCTGCGGCGGCGCGGTGTGCATATGAGGTATATGAGGTACTAGTATATAAGATATAGGTAGGTATAGGTATATTCAGGTCGTCACAAACCATTCCGCTGCGCCCCATGACCGTGGTATCTTGACCGCGGTATCTTATTCCCGACTCATGCATCACCGGCTGCCCTCCCTTTCCGTCGCAATGCAATTTTATCTTATATCACGAGACACAATCCCATCTCCAGAAACGCGCTGGCACCGGCTCCAACCCCTCAGTGAGGACTGCATAGCTCTTTCACTCACGACAATGCCGTTTGCCGTTCGCCATTCGCCATTCCCCGCGGTGATTGACGCGAAACCGCACTTGGATTCTGGTCCCACCCTACCCATGATCATCTCGCCGTCGTAAACAAGCGGAAGAACTTCACACCGACATTGACGACCAAAGCGGCGCTGGCCAAGACGACGAAGATCTGACCGATTTCCATCCAGTTGTTGAGCGTCATTTCCGTTTCAATGTATCCGGCCTTGGAGATGCCGCGGGATGCGTCTGCCGCTTCGGCGTCGCCTGGAAAATAGCCCGTCTCGTACCACTGCTCCAGGAGATCGTCCTTTTCCCGCCAACGGTCCAGTAGCCATTTCTCGAACTCCTTTGCGTCGTTCAGCGGGATGGACGACACGGCGAACCGGCGCCAATGCATGTTGACGCATTTCGGAGGCCGGCCTTGTAGGTATGTAGATCGGATGGTGAAGTAGTCGGGAGCGAAGCCACCTTTCCTGTAGCAATGTTGTTAGCTCTCTCGATATTTACAGAAGTTGGCATTTGTTGGCTATGCTGCACTTACGGAGTCCCCTCGTACGCTATGGTACAGTCGTACATCCATTCCACAGTACCTTGTAGTTGCTGTAGACAGAAGAAGAGACCGGTGCTGCGTGGGAGCAGGACATGCTTCGTGTTAGGAATGCCCTGTTTTTCCGCCCATCTTGTACTGATCCTTTTGGTGTTGGCAGACAGGTTGGTGCCTTCCGGGAAGATCAACAACCACATTGGATCCAACCCTGCCGAGCCGGACATTGGACCACTGTGGCGGGATTTCAGCTTCTCCAGACGATGTTCAAGGCGGGGTTTGTCTGAGGCCCATTTCCTCGCCATGAAAATGAACCCATAGAACATCATGCCCGGGCCCAGCACGGGGACGTACTTGAGCGACTCTTTCAGGATGATGAAGATGTGGCCATGCATTTTACTCGTGTACGCGAACCACCATAGGTACAGCCATTCCGTGTAGACCTGGTGGTTCGCCAGGTAGACCAGCCGTTCGGGGAACGTGGTTTCCAGCCTTCCCGCCGTGTTTTTGTGAAATTGTCCCCGCAGATCCTTGTCCCAACTGACGCGGATTTTGGTAGGTGTGAACCATCGTGTGGCTGCGATCCCCAGAATAGCAAACGACTGCTTCGTCAACGCCATGTATGCATAATAGTAGTCTTTGTTCCACCAGTAGAGCGGTGCCCCGAGGAATTGGGTCACGTTGATGCAGACCGCGCCGCAGTTGAACCATGTCAGAAGAAGCATTGCGCGCAGGACCTGACTCCACGCGCCATATTTGATTTCGCCGGCTGGATGGTCACTCGTGCCGGTTCCTCCGTCGCCGAAAGCAGGACTCGTGTCGGTGGGGGACGCCGTTGGAAGATTTCGCTTTCGTAGAGTATCGGCCGCCATGGTTGGATTGGGGAGGGAGGGAGGGAGGCAGGTCAGGAAACTTGTGGCCACGCTCTACTGCTGGACTCTTGTATAGGAGCGGTAAGCATTGAAAGGAGAAAGTGACTGGAGGCGAGATGACGGCAGCATCAGCGCCATCGACACCGGGTCGAGGCAGCGTAAGCAACGAAAAACGGAAGCCGGCGGAATGGCAGCGGCGCCGAGAGTCCAGTTGACCTTTGAGGGACACTGGAGACTGACAGTCCTGAAAGCATGTGAGAGCAGAAGACGAGGAGCAACTGTGGTTGGGGAAACGAGGACTTATGAATAAGGCCCAAGCATCAATATTGGGATCTACAGAGTAGTAATTAATAGTTCTGTCTGCCTCCAACGCACTGCAGGTGCCTGACTGACGCTCGGAGTCAGCAGCGAACACATCATAATAATTATTCACATGCACATGCAGCCGAGGGGTTAAACCAGCTAATCTACTATCTAATCAAGATCACAATCTAGACCCTTTAACTGGCCTGAGTATGGGGAATTCTAGCCAGATAAGGTAAGTTTAATAAGTCTAATTCTGAGCTTAAGTCTTAGCCTAAGATCCTAGTGACATTCCATGACTAAGCGTAGTCCATGTACCCCATGACGCACGTGACTCATAGCACGTGACCACTTCTATCATGAATGTCCTCACGAGGCTCTGCGCATCACGGAATCCCAACTCCTTTCTCTCATCACCGGCAATTGCATCCAGCAAACCTCTGTGGGTTTGAGCATTCATTTGACACTGGTTGCTTCTTTCACTCTTGCTTGCTGTTTACCTTCTGGGATAAACATAAAGTCATCACGACAAATCCATGGCAAGCTTAAACAGATAGTATTCTGTTCTTCATCTTCCGCCTCCTGGATAAAAAGGTGCCCGTCCATCATGGCAGCAGTGTCAACCTTGAGATGGACCACATCTTCCAGAACGACAAGAACTTGTCTTTCTACCTTCAAATCCATCAGCAGTTCACTCCAGAGCAAGCCGGATGGAGCTGGAGGTCCCTCGTATCTAGGTTTGGCCTTGGACGGGCACGGGCGCGCCTTTTCGTCAACAACAAGACACCCACAACGACAACCAATAGAAGACCTACCAAACCGTAGAGGCTTTCGTCTCAAAGATACCCCTGCTCATGAACTTCTTTGTCTTGAGTGGTCTCAACCGCCGCACAATGTGCTCCTGATCAAGAAAGAGTATTCCGAACAAACCACAGAGGCTGTCAAGGAATTCAGCAATCATGTCATGACCACCTATCCGGATGTCAACATTCTTCTGGAACCCCAAGACTCTGCTGAACTTGGCGATACGCTGCCTGGGAATCACTTCAGTCCCAGCAACTCACATCTATCAAGACGAGCATACCACAACAAAGTCGACCTGGTCGTCACCTTCGGTGGCGATGGGACCATTTTACATGCGGCTTCCATATTTGCCACGTCTCCCAAAGTCCCTCCGATCCTGTCATTCAGCATGGGCACCCTTGGTTTCCTGAGTGAATGGAAGTTTGCCGAATACAAGCGAGCATTCCGAGAGGTATACATGTCGGGTGCTGCCTCTGAGCGACATGCCGTGATTCAGAGCTCTCCTTCCACAGAGCAGGGCTCCATAGCCGACTGTACGGGCTGGTCATCCATTCGTGGGAAATCCATGGGTCCAGCAAGGGGGGCAAGAGTGCTAGTACGACAGAGACTAAAAGTCGGTCTTTTTGATGCCGCTGGCAAGCGACTTGGGAATGGAGATCTGTTGGAAGACCTGCATGCCATGAACGAAGTGATCCTGCACAGAGGTCAAGACCCACATCTTGCCATTGTCGATGTGTATGTCGGAGGTCGATTCCTCACCGAGGCTGTTGCAGATGGCATGATCATATCCACACCTACTGGAAGTACCGCTTATAGCCTCAGCAGCGGTGGAAGCATCATACACCCACTAGTGCCGTCCTTGCTCCTCACACCTATCTGCCCTCGCAGCTTGAGCTTCCGCCCTTTGGTCCTGCCTGCCTTCACGCCAATCACGTTGAAGTTGAGCGAGAAGAACCGAGGGCGAGAAGTGGACTTCAGCATTGACGGCAAAAGACATACCGATGGTATAGGCGTTGGCACTGAAGTCCGAGTTTCTGGAGAGGAAATCAGGCCTGGCCCTGAAGGGTTCGCCGGTGGTATCCCCTGCATCATGCGCAGAACCATTGCAGGCACTGAAGGAGATGATGGATGGGTTGGCGGACTGAATGGCTTGCTGAAGTTCAATCATCCGTTTGGTGAAGACGGCTGAAGGGGCCGTGACCTCTATGCTTCGAGATTGAATTGTCATTGTCCATCTTCCGGATCATGTCTCAGACAACACTGCTACCGGCCACTCACTTTCCATGTTCACGCGCATGGCGGCCGAAGATATGTTGTCTGACTCTTCCTTTGTCTATGACCAAGACAGTGTCATTGGTTCCCGCCCTTTCTGTCGACAACGACAGATACCAATGACCTGAACTGGTCACTAACTGGATAGCCCCAGGTCATCTCCAGAATGCCTTCTATAGGGAGATCTCCATGATTGGCAAGGTCGGCATGAGTCCTTGTTTGCGACAATGCCATGTCAGAGGGAATTCAGCTCTTTTTGCATTACCTGAGGTAGAGCCTGGAGATCAGGACCCTTGGACCAGGTGCTCCAGGCTCTGGCTTGCCATGATCTTCATCCTTCTGGAACTTGTCTGTTATTATAATTGTCTGTTATGGAAGTTGATGGTGGAGTTTGAAGCCCGCTGTTAGAAGTTCGGCTCGATTGGCAAGCTGCTTCATTGCCAGATGCCCGTCAACCAGGCTCCCTTTCAGTGGGGTTGATGATGTGTCTGCTGCTCCCGAACATGAAGCAGACCGTGCTTGAAGACGGAGGTGAGTCGATGACTTGGTGCGAGTCCGGTATTGCATTTGTCTCAACACTGGTATCGCAAGGCGGCATTGCCTGCGGCGTCTCAGTATGTCGACTGCTGTTGGCGCAGGCCTCACTGAGGCAGAGTGATACCCTCGAGTCGAGCTTGGGGAGTTTGAAGCAAATGGCGGTGAACCTTGGAACGTTTGAAGCAGACGGAATGAAGAAAGTCAGAAGCAGATCGCGAGAGTGGGAGCGCAGTCTGCAGGGTGCAGCAGAACTGCATTACCGTCAAGCCTCAGGATGTGAATGGCACTTCAGCCTTGCGACTTTGAAACAACCAAAACAGATTCACTGTCGACAGAAACCAGACACTTGTACAAAGACGAAATCTTCGAGTTATTGTTCGATGCAAGACATTCGATCGTTTCTACCACCTTGAAATCATTACCTGACTTTGACAACTGCATCAGCGACTCTGCCTTTACCGACTCTTGAAATATTCCTTTTCAAACCCTTCAAACCTGGAGTTGTTCATTCTCATCTCACTTACGACGCTCTCCTTCGCACACAAGACAAGCGTATTCCACTCTCCTGTCTCTTTTGAATCCACATCCATACCTCACCACGGCCACGCTGTATCCTCCGCTTTGCATCAGATCGACAAAAAAATATCACCCTCAGCGTCTAGACACAGCACTCACCTTATCACGTCTCTCGCGAGTTCAACTCTTTTCTTATTGATTAGATCGACAAAGAAAGACTGTCGACGTCTGTCAATTTCATATCCAGCGCCTTTGCTACCTGAATCCAAGCCCTCTCCCTAGCTTGATCGACAAGAAAAGAAAATATCTGCGTCGTCTAGACACCTCTTGAATCCTCATTCCTCGTCACCTTGATATCACATCATCCTCTTCACGTCCAAATCCAGTTAACTCTACCATTACCGTCGACGGCCTCCTGAAACTCTCAATCTCAATCGACTTTGACAAATCCGCACGGGAAAGCAAAGGCTGTAACCCTTCAGGCATATCACCAGACGACAAACTTCACTACAAAAGAAGCTTTGACTGTCAAGGTTCTTCAAGAGCAGAAAAATGGCGTCACACAGAGTACAGCATCAATTGGCCAAACAGCTTGAGATCAACGCAGCCGGCACTGCGCTCGTAGCCACCCCGAGGCCAACGACTCTTCAAAACCCCACTCCACAACAACCCTTCCCTACATATCATATAGGGTACAACCCCCTGAGCAACGTCGGCAGGGTGGCCCAGGCGATCCCCCCGCGGCCGGCAAACGGTCATGGCTCGGCGCATCCCTTCGAGATGCTGGCGGAAGAGAACCTCCACCCGGTGCTGTTTCGCCTGGAGCCCGGGCCGGACCGCTTGCACGGGGTGCCGGTGCCTCTCTTGGTGGACCAGGCGACTGGTCTCATCGAGCACGGCAACGGTGGGAGACCGCTTCGATTCTTCTCCCACCTTCCCCGATGGATCGCCGCCAACGTCTCGGGCATGTTGATGGAGCTGTGGATCCGTCTGGACCCACGGGTCGAGATGTCAGACATTATCGACCGCGTGAACGCTCAAGCTCAGGTCAAGATGCCCCGAGCGAATACCTTGATCATGAGGAGGATTCGGTTCCGGGAGATCATCAACGTGCCGGCGTTGAGCCCTGGGCGCCAGATGCCCACTGCCAACGAGGTCCAGCTCATTGGCAACCTGAGTCGGGAGCAGATCCTCCTGAACACAGCCATGGCTGTCGACTTGGCAGGAAACCGGCTCCTGCAACCCCGCCTAGTCAATGGCAAGACCATCCTGGGGTACATCGACAGCGGCCTGGCGGTCGACCACTACATCGCAGATTTTTGTCTGCCGATCCCAATACCGTCAGGCCGCATGGTTGTGAGTCTGGAGCTCCGCAAGAGATTGCAGACTCTTGCGCGGCGGCGTGGCCTGGGCAACACCCCGACAGACTACCACAAGCTGTCGCGGGACCTGGCGCCCAGCTGGTGGGTCAAGAAAGGAGAGGCGAGGCCGATGGCCGATCTTGATGGCAAGAGCCACGAGGAATTCGTTGGCGACTTGCTCGGCCAACACCCTCCCGCGACAGCCAGAGCCCGGGTCCGACGACCGGTGCTGCCGTCTGCCGCTGCCGCTGCTACTGTTCCTCCTACTCTGCCTCTGCCTGCAGCGCCGATGGTGCCAATGCAGCCGCCACGAACTTCCGCAGGTGCCGCACCGCCCATCTTTCCTCCTACTCCACTCTCTGGTGCTCGAAACGCCGCTGCCTTGTTCCATTGTCCAGGCCAAGCCAATGCTGCCTCTGGCACTGCGGTTCCTGCCGGTGCCACTGTAAACAGTGGTCTGATCGACCCGCGCCTTCTGGTTGCGGCGTCGACGACGATGGCGACATCAAGTGCTGTTCCGGGAGTGGGTGGTCTTTCTGCCGGTGCCTCTGGGGCTGGAGTGCGGCGGTTTCATGTGGTCACGCCGACAGGCACCTCCAATTACGTGGAGGCGGCCACCGCTGAAGCTGCACGCCAGGTCGCTCGGCCTGCGAGTTCTTCGCAGACTGCCGCTGACCATGGCAACCGCTCTGATCCAGGTGCTGGTGGATACGTCTGGGGAGAGGAGGAGGCGCGGGCGGCCCGGTATCTTCGGGAATTTATTGCGAGAGGTGGGTAGGAGGACGGGGCTTGGAGGGAGATGGAGGAAGGGTAGGAGTACAGGCAGGTGAGAGCTGTGGTGGGTGGTAATGGTGGTATCTGTGCTGGTTTACTGTGCTGGGATTTGTTTGCATGGTGTTTTGGCGCGTGCTGGGGCCTGACCGGTCGGTGCTGGACACTGGGTTCTGGTCTCGGTTGTACTGTGTGGGAGTGGTTTCTCTGCTTTTCCCTGTCTGTATATCAACAAAGCCCTGCCAGAAGAAGGAGAGGAAACCCTGGAGACATTGTGGCTCAAAAGCCATATGAGAGACTTCAAATGGAAACAACATCAAACCAACCTTGTCTTTCTGCATCCAAATCAAGCTCACAGGCTAACACTTATTGCGACAAAAGCCCTAATGTAGAGAGAGACTCCTTTGAATGGCTTTGCTCATACTGACAATGCTATCTTGGCAACATTAGCAAGAGTTGATGCGTGAGAAAGGGACAGAATGATGTCTGTGGTGAATTCCACATCCATACTATGCCAAACTATGCCCTTTGCCTCCTTCTTCATTATGCAAACCAAACTACCTTACCTATGCTACTTGACCAATTAACTCACCGTGGTGACTTAGGTCCCCAGGGGGCATTCATGCCAGAGCATAGTATTCAAGATTACGATGGTTACGAAGCCCATCTCCAAGCATAAACTTACGGTCCGAATGAGCATTCACTATATTAACGATACCAGCGTTAGCTTAAAGTGCTAGTATTTGTGAGACTACCATGGCTAACAGATATGGAATGCTTTTGTATTATTATGTGATACGGTGTCCCAAGAACTAGCCTATTCACCCCTGAATGCCTCAGCCTCGTCACGTGACATGTTATATTAGCAAATACGACAAGAGAGTCAAGGTAGTGAGTGAAGCTGAGGATTGGCTCTTATACACCAGGAATGAGCTGTTATATAGTTATCTTCCAGTGAATTGTATAGGCAAAGTCTTTGAGGCACAGTGTGTCTTGTCATGTTAGCGTTGATGAACTTTCGCTGAGCTATCCGCAAGTCAACACACGGCAGTCCAGACACAGCAGGTTGGTCAATAGACCACCTGGTCATTCCCACGCTCAAGAGTCAATCCGACGACATCATGGTAGAACAGTCCGGAACACTGAGCAGCCAAGCTTTCTGTGACCAAGAGTTGCGCTTGGAATTCACTGTGTATCCAGCAAGTAACACAGGGTCTGTCTTTCTTCTTCTTTTCTTAACCTCCCACTCAAGGACAGAACCAGAATGCACGGTACTGGTTACTCTTCACACCTCTCAAAACGCCGGGTCGACAACGTTCCCATTCGTCTGTGTCCGTCCAGGACTCGAGAGTGGAAGAGTTCTGGGTTCTCCAATCTTCCAGGACGCGGCAGTCAGATCGAAGGTCTTTCGCAAAGTCATCAGGTCGATACTCTAAGGATTTCGCCAACCCGGAGATCGAGACTGTGTTTTGAAAGATTTGAGAGTGAAGCGCCTCGGCTGGAACAACAACACAAGCCCCAATAACAACAACTCACACACTATCGCGCGATCCCAGTGTCTTGCAAGGGAAGCTGCTCGGTTCGCATTCGGGCCTTGGACTCTACAGTCTCCAGCATTGCGATCGAATATTGTCCCCTTTCGCCGTCATTATCATCATCATCATCATCATCATCATCATCATCATGTCGGACTTTGAAGTGCCACAGTTGTGGCTTGACGAGGCGTTGTTCGTCCACAACCCTCCCAACGAGTTGAACAAACCCCAGCAAGATGAGAGTATGTCACCAGACCCCTTACCTTCTTTCCAGGAATGGTAGCTGACAAAAACAGCTTCTGCAATGGCGCCCGGATCCCCAAGTCACCACCATCCTCTCCCACCATCTCCGACATCCGTTACGATGGATCTTGTGGAAGAGTGCGAAGTTGAAGAGGGTGAAGTTGAAGAGGGCGAAGTTGAAGATGTGTCTGACTTTCAAGACCTATACAACGAAGTGTGCCAAAAATGGTTCGGCAAGAACGTTTCGATGGAGTGGATCCAAGAGCAGGCAATACAGGCGGTCAGGGCAGCCAGAAGAGAGGCAGACTCTACCGGTGACGAGACCGAATCCGAGGTCACAGAGTCCGAGGCCACAGACACCAGTAGCTCCAGTGACAGCATCAGCAGTGACGAAGAGGAACCTGGTGCTGTGAAGCACACTTGTCAGACCTATGCGGAGTGGCGGGCCTACCTCAAGGAGCTGCAACTTCAAATGGACCGAGACAAGAGCGGTGAGACATTGCGTCGCTTCCAGTATACGAGACCACCGACTTTTGGGGAGGTGATCGCTGCGGAGCGCACCAAAGCTGTCGAGAAAACGGAGCGTGAGGCGAGGAATGCTGATAGGCGCGAAAGACGCGAGAGACGTGAGAGGGGTGAAAGTTATGAGAAGGGTCAACAGCACCAAGGCCGGCGGAAACCATATTGAGCTCGTAGCTTGGGGGCCTCAGCCTAAAAGTCAGGCCTGCTCCGCAAAGAGCCCAGTATGTGTCGTGAAGGCTGTGTGCTAGAAAGAGAAGCTCCGTCAACAGTCGTCTGTTCCACCGCTATGGCTTGGTGATAGCGATTTGACAATTTCCACAAATGTGGCCGGCATGGTGACGCAAAAATGCCCGAACACCATCCGAGGAAGTAGTCTTGAACATATCACATTGGAGCTAGATATGAGCCGGGCAGCTGTTGGGGTGAGCACCCTGTACCTAAGCGGGAGCTGTTACCATACCTATGAGTGGCAAGCGGTGAGCCTGCTCTAGAACCGTGATCGAGAGATATCATGAAAGGGAGGACTCCGTTCTATCTGCAACTCCGGTCTGGTACTCAATTGACCCTCAAGACACTCTCGTTTGGTATTCCGGGAGCGCCTGTGGCATTTCCTCCATAAGCACCGTCATCACCGTCCTTCTCATCGATGTGGCCTAGGCTTGTCTCAATTGGCACTCCTGCCTTCAAGGTCTGCAATACCACACAGTACCTTTCGCTCAGTTCAATGAGTTTCTTCACCTTGGACTCATGTTCTTCATCCACGTCAATCTTCACGCTGAGCTTGATCTTCGTAAATCCTACTGGAACAGCATTCCCGTCCGGATCTTTGATGCCCATTGTGCCCCTGAAATCCAGGTCCGCCGCGGCTGTTATGGTGCCATTCTTGATGGGGACACCCAAGCTCGTAGCCACGGCCCGCACCGTGACTCCAAAACAAGCCACCAACGACTCGAGTAGCATATCCCCAGAGCACAGTTCACCCGAAGCATCAAATCCTGCACCTCCCGCGGCTTTATGTAGCCCAGCTAATTTCCTTGCCGCGGTGCCTGCGGACAACGAGCATGTAAGGCTTGTCGAGGTGGGATCGAGGGTTCCCGAGGAGCTGAGGGTGACAAGGGCGGAAGAAGGATCGGATCGATACTTATCCTTAAGGGGCTTTTGTTTGGTACGCAGGCTGTTGGCCGCGGCCAAGGCTGGGTCTGATGACATCTTCGAGGAGTAATCGGAGAAAGTTGGGCCTTGCAGAGAGTGGTGGCGGGATAGATCAGTTTGGAGGATTTATCAGCTTCTTGATTAGTTGTCATGCAAAGTTGATGCCATAGTAGAGGAACAGATAGCAGGGGAATGATCAGGGTCAAAGTGGTGGGGAAAGGTGAATTGAGGAAGGAGCCTTGGTGATGGACGACCTGACGTGACTGCTGCCTGGGAAGTGCCTGGGAAGGAACGTTTCAACTCCTTCCAGACCCCGAGTCAATGCCATGAAACGCTTCAAGTTCGGTAGTACGGGCATCGAACAACGTTTGAAGGACAGAGCCATGGATGTTCTTCTCTCTACCCCTCACCTCGTCTGTGGAGGTTGTGAGAACTTCCGTCGGGCCGTCAGCGAGCTTGACGCGTTGATAACAATACCTACGCAGCGCCGCCGATCATTCATCGTTTCTGTTGGCAATGAGGCCGTACGAGCGAGGGCTTACGGCTTCGAGCCTGACATGGGGCACAGATACCTTCTGGCCAGTAATCGAGTGACTGAGAGAGGTCTACAAGATGGTTACCACTCCTTACTCACCTCAGGGACGACGGTAGTGAACACAGGCCTCTGAAAATACGTCGCTCAATACAACCGGCATTCGGCCCCGAACACCGTCGCAGGCTCATGTACACGTGATGTTTGCTAACGTCAACATCCAATCAGGTGTCAACCCGCAAGGTCAAGGTTGGACGGACGCCGTGTCCGTAGATGCGGCTTGATCCTAGTGATGTTAAATAGTCGTCGGTCGTCCCGTTCGGCCACCGGTTCCCGTCTTTCATCTATTGCACTCAATGGTCGCGCGTCTGAGGGTGGTCGTACCCTCTAGCAAGCCATGTCAGGCCCGTACGGACGCGCTTGCATGAACTGTTCCCGCTCCAAGTGCAAATGCGTCTGGCGTCTCAGCAACAACACCTGTGAAAGATGCCAGCGCCTCAACAAACCATGCCACCCCGCCGACTCGATGCGACAACGCAACACGGAGAGCAGGGCCGAGTCTAGAATCGCCCACTTGGAGGGGAAGGTCGATGGTCTTGTCTCTCTGCTGCAATCCGTCTCTCAGTCCTCCACCAGCAGAGAGTCGGTTGCATCGGCCCTTTTGGATCTGGGACACCATGCGAGAGATATCTCGGTCGACCGGGTCCAGGGCACCACCTCCCAAGCTCGTTCGGCCGGCACCGTCTCGATGTCAGCCTCGTCGAGTGCCGTCTCCACGACAGCAAGCTCGTCTACTCCTAACACGGGCACTGACCGGGAACCATCGCCAGAGGAGGCCGAAGAATGCCTGGCCATCTTCCGGTCCCAGATGTTGAAATACTTTGCATTTCTTCATCTTCCGCCGGGCATGTCTGCTCAGCAGCTCCACGAACAGCGGCCCTTTCTGTTTCTCTGCGTCATGACAGTCAGCACAAAGAGCACTGAAAAGAGAATGGCATTGGGTGAAGAGGTCAGGCAAACGGTAGCACGGCGAATGCTGATCGACAACGGACAAAACGTTGACATCGATCTGCTGCTCGGCCTCCTGGCCTTTTTGGCCTGGTGAGGAATTCACCATCAAGCACTCGCTATGTGCGGCAGCTGACTTCGGTGTTAGGGGGCACGATCAATTAAATAACAAGCATCGAAAGATTTTGTTCCGTTTCACCCACTTTGCAATGGTCTTGGTGTTTGAGCTCCGGCTGAACAGGCCGTGGCCGAAAGACTCAAATATGCTCCCCACGGTCGGCACCATCGGCACCATCTGCTCGGGACCCCCCGCGCCGGCTACTCACACGATGGAGGAGCGACGGGCAGTCCTGGCCTGTTTTCTGCTCAGCTCAACGTATGTAGCCCCGTCCCTCTTTGCGAACCCGGAATGATTGACATGTCCAGTGTTTCTATATTCTTTGCACAGACCGACGCCATGCGATGGACGCCCTACTTGGACGAGTGCCTTGACGTTCTCAGCAGAAGCCAGGAAGCCCCGTGCGACGAAATGTTTGCGCATCAGGTCCGGCTACAATTGTTCTCCCAGCGCGCACGACACGCCATGTGGTCGGCTGGAGATCTTGAGCTGGCCGACGCTGCAACTATGCCTCCTAGGCTCTATCTACAGGCCCTTCAGTGGAAGCTAGGGGAATTGAAGAGCGCTTTCTCTCCTCAGCTGCAGCACAACGGTAAGTTCTGCCACCGCCCCCAGCTTCGTTGGAAGGAACCATCTCACCAACAATCATTAGAGATTCTTCTTTCATCCGTGTATTATACCGAACTGAGTATCCACGAGGTGGCACTCCACAAGACACCCACCGGCGTTGACGGGCCCGGATTTCAGCGTCTGGAGGGTCTCTACACCTGTCTGAGCATTGTCAAATCGGCGGTGGACAATTTTTTCACCTTGCCCGTGTCTGAATACCCCTATCTGTCCTTTCCTTACTTCGCCCAGCTTTGCCGCAGTATCGTGATTTTGTTTAAGCTCGCCACCCTCGATGATCCCTTGTGGGATACGGGATTCGTCCGGTCCACGATCGACCTGGGCCTGGTCCTGGATCAGCTCATTCACAACTTGGGCCAGCTGAGCGCCGCCGGTGGGGATTGCGTGAATGGCATCTTCGCCAAAACCGCCAATATATTCATGTCTGTCAAATCGTGGTACAATGCAAAGCGTGGAGCAGATGCTGTCCAGTCCCATGACTCAGCCTTGCCCATGGTCGACGAGAACAGCGTTTTGCACGAGCCCACGATTTTGCAGGATCTGGACGACGCGTGGCTGAGAGAAGCTCTCGGATCTTGGACCGGTTGATGCTCGCGCTCGGGGTTCGGATCCCGTTCCCGACCGGCCGTTTGTTTGCTTTAAGATGGTCGACCAGGTTGGTCTGCCAGGCAGGCATCCAGTCTTTCATTCCAACTCTCAACTCGGTGCGCACCTCACTCGCAGTGAAAAGCATGGAACCCCCAAGACCGGAGTCTGTCGACTCTCAAATCCTTCCGCCCGGCGCTCACGAAAAGCCAGACCTGCCCCGGTCGGCGTCTTCCCAGTCAGATCTTCCCAGGGCCCCCGAGAAAGACACGCTTGGGGCCAACGATGCAGCATACGCAACCAAAGACGAGGAGGAATATGTCACAGGAATCAAGCTCTACATGATCTTGGCTGCTATGGTTCTCGCTCAGTTTGTGGTGATGCTCGATATATCCATCATGGCTACGGTAGGAGCAAGACACTTTCCCAGGCCAATATCAATTACTCGCCCTGACAGCCGGTGCTAGGCCATTCCCCGAATCACGAACACCTTCAACTCTCTTCTCGATGTGGGATGGTATGGAAGCGCATACCAACTCGCGAGGTTCGTCACATTGACCCGGCTTGCTTTCTCCAAGATCGGACTGGCGGTCTAACCTAGACACCAGTGCGTCTTTGCAGCCCTTGACCGGCAAGTTGTACACCATCTTCAGGACCAAGGTATGTCTCTGCATGTCTGACAGTCCCAGGGTCCCCGTCGCTGATGAAGGCATTTTGGAGCATTAGTGGACGTTTTTCGCATTCTTCCTCCTCTTCGAGCTGGGGTCCTTACTCTGCGCGGTAGCGACATCCTCCACCATGTTGATTGTCGGACGAGCCGTCACCGGTATGGGCGCGTCAGGCATATTGACCGGCGGCCTCACCATCGTCGGGGCCTGCCTTCCAAAAGATCGACTGCCAAGTATGCACCCTCTCGTCCTGTTCCCCGACTGGTTGCCCACCGCTCACAAACAAACAGCAATCCTAGGAGTCTTGATATCAAGTCAGTTGGTCTGAAGTGGCCCGGTTCGAAGGCGTCTTTGACTAACCAAGGTTCCCAGTCGGACAACTTGGTCAGGCCTGCGGTCCCCTCATCGGAGGAGCATTTACCGAGTACGTTTCATGGCGTTGGTGTAAGTCTCTCCGGTCTTTTTCCTCCGTTGGTGCCGGCTCCTGAGATAACGGAAACTCATCAGGCTTCTACATCAACCTTCCCATCGGCGGCGTCATCGCCGCTCTTTTCACCCGCATTTACGTCCCGGAACGGATTGTGAAACCCAAGCTGCGAACAGCCTTCGGTACTGTCGTCGAGTCCTTGGATCTCCTGGGATTTGCCATCTTCGCCCCTGCGTCCATCCAATTTTTCCTCGCTCTACAATATGGGGGTAACCAATATTCCTGGAATAGTCCCACCGTCATTGGCCTGTTCTGCGGAGCCGGCGTCACCTTTATCCTTTTCCTCGTGTGGGACTACCGCAGGGGCGACGCGGCCATGGTTCCCTTCTCGATCCTGCGTCAGCGTGTTGTGTGGTCTAGCTGTGCAGTCATATTCTTCCAAATGGGTGTACTGATCTGTGGCTCGTACTACCTTCCCATCTACTTCCAGGCAGTCAAAAAAGCGTCGCCACTCATGAGTGGTGTCTATATGCTTCCCAACATTTGTTGCCAAATCCTCATGGCCTTTGTATCCGGCGGTCTTGGTAAGTGGTCGAGCCCAGTCTCCCCTCTGCCGCACAGGCCGTCTGCCAATCGAGATGGATGTTAACACCGGGTATACTACAGTTCAAAAAGTGGGTTACTGCCTACCTTGGGTAGTGATTGGTACCATGGTGAATGCCGTGGGGTCCGGCCTCCTCTCGATGCTGACTCCAACGTACTCGACCGGCGCACGGGTCGGGTATCAGATCGTGTACGGTATTGGCGCTGGATGTGTCTCGAGCATGGTAACAATACATTCTCCTGTTGCTGGGCCGCGTTGCTGACGGTGTTCGCCCACAGCCCTATATATCCATCCAAAACTTCGCCGCCTCCGCTCAGATCCCGATTGCCATGGCCCTCCTCATCTTCTGTCAGAACCTGGGCGGAGCCATCTTCCTTACCGTTGCGCAGACGGTCTTCAGCAACAGCCTGAGAAATGCCATTTCCACAAAGGCCCCAGGCGTCAATGCCGCAGCCATACTGGCGGCTGGCGCCACTGCATTCCGGAGCGTGGTCTCGAGCGCGCAACTGGAGGGCGTCCTTGACGCTTACTGCACGAGCTTTGACAATGTCTTCTACCTGGTCAGCGGACTGGCGGTTTGCACCTTTGGTGCTGGATGGGGTCTGGGTTGGAGGGATCTGAGGGTCAAGAAGAGCCCGTCTCAGCCAGCGCCATAAACCAGCCAGGCTGTGTCGGGGTCAATCGTCGATGCACTTGTCGCGTGTTTCGACTACAAGAGACAAGAATGCCTTTACAATATTGTATAATATAGCTAGAAGAAGCGTCCACTCCGCCCATATGAAGTTCAAGTTTCCACTCTAGAACTTAACTCTCGCCGCTTTGTTCAGTTCCATGCCAGCGTGGTATGGTTCTTCAGACGCAGACTCTAGTTCAGAAGAGCGTCGATGCCGTCGAGGTGGGATTCCAAGCACCACTACATATATGAGGTTGGTAGGAAATCCCATCATCTCGAAATAGGCTGCCGTCAGCTTTTTGACCCTTTGATTCCGCTGTCCAGCTGCTTCACACCTATGCGATGCGAGGGATATAAGGGGGGTTATAGTAGTAGTAGTCGAGAATAGTCAGTCCTCAACTCTTTTGCACTAATAGCAGTTTAGCAAGCCACTAGTACAGATATGGCTACTCGGGAGCGAGTGATCCACTTAAAGTCACGTGAGAGCTAATCTCGGACATTCCTTCCGAATTAATTTTCGCTCCTGCATTTCGTCTGAGCGCAATTGCAATTCCAATAATGCCTCCAATCCAATTTACTAATGATTCTCTGGTGCAGTCGTTGACCTGACATTTCCTCAGCTCGACTTGCCAACCCTCCATTTGAGTGAACTACAGAGGACGAGTATACGCGTGTTGAGGATGGCTGACCACAGAACAGTCTCTTTTACCGGTCTCAGAGGTAAGAGTCCTACGTCACCTGTCGCCCTGGAGCATCGCGCAGCTCTCTCGCTTACTTCCTACCACGCCACTACAGAAATCACAGGGCAGCCTCTCAGCCCCGGCTTACTGGATGGTGCATGGCGGGACAGGGGTCTTGACCCATACTAACCATGTTCGCCCCGGAACACAATACTCCGTACAAGAGAGTCTGGGCGTATGAGAGATGCAGTGCTTTCCGAAAGCCGCAGGGAAGGCAACCGAGACCGGGAGTATGGGCCAGGGACCACACAACAAGCAGCAAGTGGAGGAGGGCGGAAAGATAGGCATGGACACAAAGCCCTAGCTCTCCGAGAGGCCCAGGCCTGCAGCGCAAACGGTCGGCACCCCTGCACCGTCGCACGACCCTGACCCAGTTTTCGATCTACTGCATCTTTCTCGAACGATGAAAGACTCGGGCTACCATTCTATCGAAATACCGAGCACGCAGTACGTACGTACACTGCTATGTCGCCCTACCGCACATTTGGTCTCCTCTCCTCTCCACCCTGACAAGACATCGAGCGAGGAGACGACTATCATTCTAGTCCTATAAATGAAGCCTTCCCCCCCCCACGGTTGAATTGATCAGACCACCCCAGACGCCAGAATGGACCTTCAACTGCTGGCACTTGGTCGCTTCGTCCCCGAAGGCAAGAGAGGACGTCCCCGACATCCAATAATCAATCGTCCTGCCCTGTGGCGGCTCTGGGATGGGCTGACATGGGTGTGATTAGTCTCTGCAGGGCGCAGGGTGCAGGGTTTTGTCCTTTGGTGCCAGTGACGTCGACCTGCACATCATCACCTTTCGGTCCGGCTTCAACAGACATAACCTACGCCGCAGCATCGATGATTCTTGTCATCGCCAATGTCCTGTCTTGCATTCTCGCTGTGGGAAAGACCAGAAGACATTGCTGCCTTCCTCATCATCATCACTATCCGCGTCTGTTCGTAAAAACCAAGAAGATACTAGTGGCGGCTTGGAACATTGCGCACAGGGACCAAATTGCCAGCCACCCACTCAATACGCAGCGATGATGGATGACGGTGGAGTCATCAGTTCTGTACTCTGCCTACCACTGGGACTATCACAGTAATCGTCCTGCCCCCCGTTTGCACAAGTTGATTCCTGGAATATGCACAGGCGGGACCCGTGGAGTCCCCTTATCCCCCTACTTCTATACCCAAACTCGTCTGGAGTCTGTACCCGTGGGTCATGGGTCATCTGATGAATGGAGTGGAATAAGGTCTAGAAACCGACTTTGGATAGTTTTGATGCTTGTCGCCGACTAGTAGCAACATAAGACTTTTGTAGTGCCGACTACTCGGAAGCCGGTGTATATTGTGACAGTGAGCAATATGCAATGTGGTGCGTAGTCGAGAACACTTTTTCTTGCACATGATTAATCAAGCCCGACCACTTTAAGACCCTTCTTCCCTCATCATCCGCGCCTCTATTATTATTACTAGCTTTTACCTTATTATGATCATTTCTCCATCCTTTCCATCCCACTCACTGCATCCCATCATCTCCAGGATCCCCTGCTACAACAAACTGCCAGTGCTCATCAATAACAACAACATTTACCCCAGCCTTGTTGTGACCTGATCGCAACCACAACAGACCACCCTGTACCACATTTGGTGGTATAGTTGGGCTTGAGAGGTACCCAAGGTATCTACAGAGTACAGAGTATCTCCACGCAAGCCTTGTGCGATACTCGACCACGAGGCATTCATTCCCTCGCTCTCGTCAAGTCAGCCTCAGCACTGTCCTGTCCTGTACTGGACTTTGCTGCTGCATAAGCACATAAGAGGGACTTTTTCTCTCTCTTGGAGTCTATCTACAGTAGACCTCTTCGCCCTCCTTCTTGCTTAGATGGACCCTTACGACAAACCAAGCCACCTCCACGCCGACCACATCGCACCGCGCCACCGCGGCCCCGAATCCTCCTCCTCGCATCCCGGCTCGGACGAAGTGACGGTCACGCACCACGAGCACGAGCCGGACTACGAGCTCGACGACATCCACGCCCACATCGACGAACCCGTCAGAAAGAGAACGGCCAACATGCCCAACGCATCGTCGACGCCAGGCACAGCACCCACCATCTCCGGACCCCAGCAGCAGCCTAGTATGGACCCGGATCCGCGGTCACCGCATCCCTTCCACGCCGAACACGGCCCGCCCATCGACAACGTGCTCAAGTACGACGATGCCGAGGAGGACTACCAGCACATCAAGAGCCTGTGGTGGTCGCGCGTGCGCCACGAACTGCGCGACCCGTTCGCCGAGTTTCTCGGCTCCTTCATCATGATCTTGTTCGGCGACGGGAGTGCTGCCCAGGTGACCTTGTCCGCCTCGACTAATCTGCCGGCCAGTAGTCGGAACAAGGGCGATTGGCAGTCGATTGCTTGGGGGTGAGTTTCTCTCTTTTCTTTCCTGGTTTTCTGGTTTCTTTCTGGTTTCTCTTTGCTTTTTTCCAAGTTTCAGTATCGGAATCATGCAGTGGTTGTTGCGGAGCTTGGCTGTAATCTACGTTACATCACACTGCAGCGTCCAGACACCTCAAGGCAAGAGAAGGAGCGAGGAAGCGAGGACTAGCATGGTTCTGCTTTTGTCAATGTTGCGTCAGGATCCGTGAGGTGCTGGACAAGTTTCTCTCAGACCGGTTCAGACATGTCTTCTTTCCCCACCAGAGCATACTGCAAGGTGCTCCAGAGTCATCAAGGTTGCGCCATATCCGAGAGATTTTGCGTCCATCTGTTTTGCTTTTGATCAATCCTTCCATTGGAACAAGGCTGACAGAACACAATCAGATGGGGCGTCGGCGTCATGCTTGGCGTCTACGTTGCCGGCTGTTCGGGCGGCCACCTCAATCCAACCGTCACCTTCTGCAACTGTCTGTACCGCAAGTTCCCATGGTACAAGTTTCCCCTGTACTTTGTGGCCCAGACCCTCGGCTGTCTCTGCGCCGCTGCCGTCATCTACGGCAACTACAAATCCGCCATCGACGTGTACGAGGGCGGCTCCGGCATCCGCACTGTGCCGGGCTACTCGGACACAGCCACCGCCGGCATCTTCTGCACCTATCCGCAACCCTTCCTGACCAAGACGGGCCAAGCGTTTTCCGAAATCATCGCCAGCGCCGTGCTGGTCTTGGTCATCTTCGCGCTCAAGGACGACACCAACCTAGGAGCTGGAAATCTGGTGCCGCTTTGCCTGTGCTTTTTGATCTACGGCATTGGCGCCACTCTCGGCTGGGAGACCGCATACGCCATCAACATGGCTCGAGACTTTGGGCCCAGACTGTTCACCTACATGGTTGGCTATGGCCCCCATGTCTGGACTGCTGGTGACTATTATTTCTGGGTACGTCAATCCCCGGCTCTCTCGCCTCATCCTCTTGATGCATCTCTGGGGTGGCCGTTCTTGGATCGTTTATTTTCGGACGCTTTGTGCTGACATTGTTTCTTCGTTGTAGGTCCCCATGGTATGCCCATTTGTTGGCGGCACCTTTGGTGCGTTTTTGTATGACACCTTGATCTATACGGGCGAGTCACCTATCAATACTCCTTGGATGGGCGTCAAACGCGTTGTTCGCCCCTCGCGGAAGCGCTTCGTGGACGCCATCACCGGTCGTACAGATAGACAGGTTTGAACGGGATCTGTCGTCGGGGATCTTGGAATAGTACTGAGTTCAACACCTTCGCCCAGAGTGGCTTGAAGATATCCCATCAACTCAATCCGAGCTGTGGCCACCTCTTAGCGGACATGTATATTTGATGACCAAAATGGCGTCGATCTTGACAAGACACATTGGCATGTGCTTGGGGCTTTTGCACACACAGGCACTACCAAAATAGAATATATTCGGTATAAAAGAGCACGAGAATCATGTTAAGTTCATGATCCTCAAGTCCTCGGCTTTTTCTTTTGCGGACCGCCTTCCTCGTCGTCACTGAGATCGGCGTAGATGGTCTTCGGCTGCGTCTTTTTCCATACGTTCGTGAACATGGGATCTTGCTCCGCCTTTTCGGCGTATTTGAGCAGAGCTTCGCGAGGATCTTCTTCACGCATGGAGCTCAGGGGAATCCTCTCCTTGATGTGCCGCTCATCAGGCTGGCTTCGAGCAAAAGGCGTGGTGGCCGGAATGTGCGGTCTCCTGGGATCGCGAGAACGGCCAGATGCGGTGAGTCCGATGGTCGGATGCCGAGACGAAAAAGTACTGCCCTGGATGGCTTCACTGCTCGTACCCGGATTTACGATTGCGCTGCCTGAGATGCCCTGCGACATATCCGTGGTAAGGCTCGGGTCATCGTCGACATGTCGACGTTTGGGCGGCTTGGACATGACCATCACTGCGCCTTTTGAGGAGATCTTGGGGTTGAAAAGCACGTGCGTTTCGGCGTTGGCGCTGCCTGTGATGATTTGGTTGAGTTTGTCATGCCACAACACGCTGATGAGGGCAGATCCGGGAGTGACGGGAGTGACAAGCTCGGGCTTGAGTGTAGCTGGGTTGAGGATATGGAGGTCGCCCGTCTCGGAGCCGGTGACGATGGATGTCGCGTTGGGAGCGAACATGATGTTGGATGTGGGATATGGACTCGAAGTCGAGGCGTGCGAAGTGGTGTTCACGGGTTGCTTGAATTTGCGCGTGTCCCAGAGCTTGATTGTGTCGTCGCCACCCCTCGTGACCACCAACCGGCCGTCGGAGCTTATGTCGATACCACTTGTCCAGGTGTTGCTGGTATGGGCCTGGCTGACCTCGGCGCTAGGTCTGTTGTAAGGACCTTGTCCTCCCCACATGAGCAATGACCCGTCAAGAGCAGTAGCCACGAGGAGGGTATTGCCGCCTTCGATTTGACTGCCCCAAGCCACCGCGGTCATGCGACTGCGGCCAGCCGACCCCGCTAGCTTGGACTTGTGCACAATAACATCCCTCTGCTTGTTTCGGACATTGACATCCCAGATGCGTAGAGTGCTGTCCGTGCCTGCCGTTACGCAGAGGTCGTAGTTATTGGGGTGCCATGTCCCGCTGGTGATCTCGCTGATGTGGCCTTTGGTCATGTGCATGTCTCGGAGGTACATGTCGCCTTTGACGAATTCCACAGTTGTTTCACCGTCGCGGGACAATATCCTCGCTTGGGGTGTGGCGGTGACCACAAGCACTTGACTAGGCGCGTTGGGATTGAACTTTGCAACATGGACAGGATGGGTTTCGGAGTTGGCAGAAGATTTGGTGGCGGTAGGGTCGACAGATTTGAAGGAGCGAAGAGTATTAGGTGTCATCGTTGCAAAATCATGCAGTTTGATCGTACAGTCGGTAGACCCCGTGATCATTCTAGACCCAGCAGGATCTACGGTGATTGTAGTAACAGCCCGGTCATGGGTTTTGAAGACAATCTCGTGCGAGGTGGGAAATTCGTCTTCATCTTCAGAATCATCATCGTCACTGTCAGAGTCTTGGTCTGAATCGCTGCCATCCTTGGAACTGGTTGATGCAGTCTGTTTTGCGTCGGTCTGACCGGGCACCCTACGCCTGACACTCTCCATTTGCGCAGCTGGATCGAATTCGCCGCCCGAACTACCAAAAGCCGCCGGAAGGAAGCTTTGAAGGCCATCCTCGTCAAAGCCAGCCATGGTGGAAGTCTTCAACACAGTCCTTGCGCAATCATATGGCCAACAGGCAGAGAGGGTCGAAGGAACGGTGGTCTCGGCGGACAATTAAACGGTAGTCTGGTCGGTCTGTAAGACGGTGTAGCACCATAAGTAGTAACGCAGAGGGTCTTCCTTATGAATGCAGGGACAGCAGTTGTGAGGATGGTCGGCGACGTTCTTTACATGGACGACTTCAACAACTTGAAGTCCAGGACGTAGGTACTCGACAGGCACCGACCGGCCTTGGCATATAAATTGCATTTGAAGTCATTTGGGTCACCGGATTCAAAATACCGTCGAGTATATATTCTGTAATGCAGAACTACTCCACATCCATTTCTCCACGACATACGGGGTCCTGCTAGGCCTCCTACGGCTGAAGAACAAACAGCTAAGTGATTGAGCGTCAAACGCCGAATGAGGGCAAAGAGCAATCAACTGCCGAGCTTCAAAGCTGCCGAACGGTTGAGAAGACTCAAATCAGGCAAGACCGGCCAATCATCCACCATTTGCTGACATATATTTGCCGGTTTGGGTCCAAGGACATTGATCTATGATCCAAACACCTACATATACTTCCCGCGAGCAGGCTCTCCGGACAAGTTGCAAAGGTAAACCCACTGTGACAACTAATAAGATACAGCGACCACAGCTGCAACACCGATCTTCTGAGCTCGCTTTCCTCAAGCATTTGTCGCGATGGTGTTGCACAGCGTGCTCACGCTTGACGCCGGCAAGTTTGATGCGGCAGCAATACCCCCAGAAGCCGATGCCTTCAACAAGAAACTCGTGGAAATCATGGCCACAGGGCCGAAGTGGTATGAGGTGAGTCTCAAGTACCCACAAGCCCGCGCTACGATGGTCCTCTCCTCTGGGATTTTGACAAAGACTCCTACCTCAGGTGGGCGCTCAAAAATACCGCGAGATGCGAGCCGCTGGCGAGACCCCGTTGCCCAAAGCCGTATACTTGGATTCTGCAGAATCATTCACCATCCCGTCCAGGGACGCCGGACGCACAATCCCATGCCGAATATTGAAACCTGAGAATGGACAGCCCGCCCAGGCCATCTTCCTACACATCCACGGAGGCGGATGGGTTCTGCAAGACGAGAAGTCCCAAGACCCGCCTCTCCAAACCATCGCCGACAATACTGCATCCATGGTCCTGTCGGTCGGCTACCGGTTGGCTCCGGAGCATCCGTTCCCTGCTGGCCCGCACGACTGTTACGACGTTGCAGAATGGCTGGTCGACCACGCCGAAACCGACTTCGGCCTTCCTTTGGCCTTTGTCGGTGGTGAATCGGCTGGTGCCCACCTCAGCATGCTTGTCACGCTGCACTTGTTACAGCATGCGAAGGGCAAATATGCTGCCTTCTGCTTCAAAGGCCTCTTGCTGCATTTCGGTTGTTATTCAATGGTGTGGACACCGAGCGTTTACAATTTTCGGAAACCCGAGGTCCTGGTCCTGGATCGGGATCTGATGGACCATTTCATCGCTGCTTTTTGCCCAGGGTTGTCGGAGGAGGAGAAGAGGCATCCGTCGATAAGTCCCCTGTATGCCGATCTGGAGCCTTTGCGTGGGAAACTTCCCCCGGCTCTGTTCACGTGTGGGACGGAGGACTGCTTGCTGGACGATACTATGTTTATGAGCACAAAATGGCTGATGGCCGGCGCTGAGGCAATTGTCAAGATTATCCCGGGGGCCCCGCATGGCTATATTGGCTTCCCACGCAATGTCAAGGGCAGCGGGTCAGACGAAGGAATGGCTGCAGTTGAGGACTTCGTGCGATCAAAGCTGGGTGCTTAGTTCCGCGAAACGAACATGGGAGGGTGTTTTGCGGATGGCACTTTCAGAGGGCCAACCACCGAAGAAAACGCCTTTCGGTCGGATCTACGTTGTCGGGTCACGGTTGGGCGGAGAAAAGACGTTCGATGCCAGGTTTCGGATTTCCCAAGTGGCTGTACTCCGCCTGAGGTACATACCAGAGTGTGCGTATGTCGACAGCAGGATAGAACACAATGCACACGTTTTACAACCATATCCTCTGACCCGATCACTCCTTTTTTGAGTTGGCAGAACTTTGCCATCGTCAACCGCAGTACATCTGCTTTGGCGAACCTCCATCTTTAGCACACATTGCAGTGTCAGCCCCCAAAAGACCTTGTTATCATTCGATCATGTCAATGTCGTCGCCTCCCTGGGTCGGAGCAGCTTGCGCAGCGGGAGCGCCATTGTTGACAGTCTCTGCTGGGGCACTTCCGGCTGCTCCCCAGTAATCATCCATCTCAGCATCCAGTTCCTCTGCCGTCTTCCGTGGTCTTCCACCGACCAGTTTGTGGCCTTCTGGATCTTTAGCAGTCCGCTCCCGTTTCTCGCCCGGTCTCCGTCCTCCACGGTGACTTGAGCTTCGACTTTCTCGCAGTCCTGGAACGTAGCGATCAATGTTCTCGGGAGCAGGTCTGGTCGTGTCACTTCTCCGATCTCTCGTTGGCCCTCTGCGCGGACCACGTCGAGGTGCCCGATCATCGTCTACCTCCTCCATGGGGCTGGCACTTCGTCTTCGACCGCGGCCGCTGGGGGCTTCAATGCGGTCGAACAGACTCTTGGGATTCTCCACTCGATCAAAAGGATTGTCTCGCCTGGGCAGCGGCAGAAGCGTGATGCGGATTGGCTGCCCCTTGGCGTTGGCACCATCGAATTCCCTGATCGCGGTCCTGGCGTCGGCAACATGTTGATACGTGACGAAGGCAACACCTTCTGAGCGACCGGCTCTATCATAGCGCAGTTTGGCGTCCAATACTGGAGCGATGCGCGTGAACAGGTCCTCCACAGGTTAGTAGTCCCTTCTCTTGATCAATCGAGGCAGCTTACATAGATGTCATCCTCCGTCAGATCATAATGAAGGTTCTCAACCCGGAGTTTAGCTGGAGGAGGGGTTCTAGCCAGTCAGTTTCGTCCAGCCAACAATGTCGATGAGGCACACCTGTCGGGTTCTGCAACGCGATCACCTCCTCGACGGTCGTTTCGTCCTCTCGGTCTGTCATAGTCGGCGCGGCCTGCATGATTGGTCAATTGTTGTCAATCGGTAAGGCTGTGGTAAATCGTACTGTCCGGCTCGTCGTCATATCGATCATGAACCCAGTCGCTGGAACAACTTAGTTATCCGGCACGTGTAAGCTTCATGTGGACGTACTTGTCAAGATTAGTCCGTTCATCTCTTGCAGGCTGTGGTGGAGGAAGATCTAGTTAGCTGTATTGGTCCAAGTATCCCTGGCCTGATTCGCGTCGAATGTCGAAGCAACACTCCGGTACGGTTTCGAGATGATGCGGCGAACAATCGCACCGGCGGCACAGGCGGGAGTTATGGAAGAGGAGAGGAAGTTCGGACCTAGACCAACAAGGTGAGACACGCGGAAATGCACTGGTAAGGTATTGACGCTTACCTTTCTGACTCCATCGCGAGGATGATTGAATTCTCGACGTCGTGGAGGGGGAGGCTCTCTTCGACCTCGACCTAATGTTCGCTAGCCAATGTGAGTCCGTGGAGCTTCGTTCAACAAAGAACAGAGCTACCAACCTGCCGTTCGGCGATTGTCTCGTCTAAACTGCGATCCATGGTGTCGACACAAGGGGGAGTAAGGACAGGGCGAGGAAAATTGCTGGAATGGACCACTGTTCACGTTCGATGGCGCGTCAATGGGTGTATTCAAATGGGTTCATGCAGCGGACAAGAGGTCAATGTATTGTTTTGTCGTAGATTGTTTGCGCCGCAAAACTCGTGGACAATCGAATTCACGACCTCGAACTCGAACTCACCAACAACTTGAAGACTGCGGACTGTCCAAGTGCGAGTGCGTCTCCACGTGACCTCGGCGCTGTTTCTCCCGCCTGTGACCAGTTGAAACTTCGCCGGAGATTCTTGCTGGCAACTGGCATCCGTCGCTGACGAAACCAACTTGAAGGCATTTCGACTTGGACGGGCCGGAATGGCTCGAGACATCTTATATCCTTCAAACATCATGATGGATGCGGTGGCCTCATTGTCGTTTTGGGACTCTTGATTGTCGACGTTCTTCAATGCCGCAACGGTCCTTCTTCCACAGCTCCAGAGATCCCGCATCAGCGACGACTTGAGGGACAACCCCGAGCTCACGAACACGCTCTATTCTCCATGTACATACCGAATCTGCCCGTCGCGCCTGACTCCTATCTGCCGAGTCTGCTGAGTTACCTCGTCCGAGAAGGCGAAACCCAATTTGGAGACGATGCGCAGCGACAGCGGTGGTCGTCGTTGATTGGAATCGTCACGGCTATTGTCGGGAACCTCCTAATATCGTTTGCTCTCAACACTCAGCGATATGCACATATCCTGATAGCCCGTCAACGCAGTCGAGCAAAACGCCGATATGCAAACGGCGGGGGCCCTCCACGGAATCACACTGGCTACGGGTCCGCAACGCACGGAGACACGGCCGCAGGCCGGGAAAGAAAGAACCTCAGCAGAAGTCAAAGCAATGCGGACGGGGCCGACCATATCACTGGCCCCTCGACAGAAGGGTCTCTGCAAATTCCCTCGGACGCGCAAAATCACAATCATGGCCATGAGAAGGAGTCCAACGAAGATCAAGACAGGCCATCTTATCTCAAGTCTCCCTACTGGTGGCTAGGCCTGGTACTTATGGTCATTGGGGAGGCCGGGAATTTCCTCGCGTACGGATTCGCACCGGCACATATCGTCAGTCCTTTGGGCGTCGTGGCCTTGGTTTCGAATTGCCTAATTGCACCCATGATGCTCCATGAGCAGTTTCGGAAGCGCGATTTCTGGGGGGTCCTAATAGCCGTTGCGGGCGCGGTGACTGTTGTTCTATCTGCTCAAACAAGTGAGGAGAAGCTTGGGCCTGGGGAGCTATGGGCGACTATCCGAAGGTGGGAGTTCTTATTGTATGTCATTATTACTTTATTGCTCATTGGGGTTCTCATGTACGTGGAACCGCGTTATGGACGGAGGACCATTCTCCTGGATCTTGGTTTGGTGGCATTGTTCGGAGGATACACCGCGCTGTCCACGAAAGGCGTTGCATCTCTGTTATCAGCATCGCTTTGGAAGGCCTTCACCTACCCCATCACATATTTCCTGGCCATCATTCTCATCGGATCTGCGCTGATGCAGATCCGCTACTTGAATCGTGCTTTGCAGAACTACGATTCGACGCAGGTGATACCGACTCAATTCGTGCTTTTCACCCTTTCAGTCATCATTGGATCGGCCGTGTTATACCGGGACTTCGAACACACAACTGCAGCCCAGGCCGGTAAATTCATTCTTGGATGTCTCTTGACCTTCTTTGGAGTATATCTCATCACCAGCGGCCGTGATGATCATGATGAAGAATTCGATGAACAGGGTGATGAGGAGGAGGAGACAATTCGATTGCTCGATGAAGAAGCGGAGGGTTCTGGCGAACAGACTCTCTCACAACGTGATCGAGAACGCTCGGTCAAGTCTGGAAGCGCAGATATGCTTCCGCCCACCAGTGAACAGGACGAGGCAGATGACCTTCTCACACCCAGGCGTCCGTCAGAGGCATCGTCGAGAGTGCCCTCTATCGCAGTAACCCCGGCCGAATCCACAAGCGCGCCCGATGCGAACCCCTGGAGTTCCGACGACCAGTACATGGATGCGCCACTCCCGCCACGATCTGCACAGCTTGACCAACTCTTGAGCAACTCCGCCTCCACGGCATTCTTCACGCCGCAATCCTCAAACCCGGTAGATCGAATACGATCAATGCCAGCCGGCTTCGACCTCGAAATATCAAATAATCAAGACACTCCTCGACTCCCCAGTCCCATCCTCCGTCCCACCACATCCAGACCGGAAGAACCATCTCCTGTGCCGAACTTCTTAGCACGCTCCGCGCGAGGCAGTATCTCGCGGCTCCTGCCTGTCCCTGGTCCCCTCCTATCGCCGTTATCATCGTCGCTCAGCGCCCTGGTTGCTGATTCCCTGCTTAAAGGTGAAGGAGCGTCCCCTGCAGTACGAGCCGCGAACCGCCGCACGCGATCGGCGCACCATGTGGCCCAACAAAGACGGCGGAGTGTCGCTCTTGGGGATGAGGAGAATCCGCTGGCGCCGGGCTTTGGAGACCACCATGCCGATGGCACTCTCAGACGCACATTTACCCAGGAGACTATGCTTTCGCCTTCGGCCGGATACGAGGACGACGGAGACCAGCAGTTTGGCCAAAACAGAAGCATGCGCAGGCCTAAGCTGAGAGCATTGAGCGAGACTATCTCTGGGATGATGGGATGGCCAAGGGAGAACACGACTGGCAAGAGGAGGGACGATATGGGTCATCTTGGCTGACGAGGGAGTAAAAAGTTCAGTGTTGCTTGACAGTTCGCAAGCCTGCTCAAATGTTTGAATATCAGTGTCGAGCAGGCATTCTTGTTGTTGTTTGCCTAAGCAGACACTACAAGAGCCTCTAGTGTAACTTGTAATTTTTTCAAGACCCTCTTCAGTTATTGATTCAAGTAGAGCCATCGGAGTAAACTGATATTTACTAGTCACCCTGTAGGCTGTGACGGGAAGATGTGGCCAACAACGCAACAGCGAAACGTCCGTTGAGGTTCAGAGGCTTCATGTGTCCCTGCGGTTCAAGCCGCTGAAGGCCCAGGCTTATCTGACGTCTCTTTCGCGTCTCCCTGAGACGTCTTCTCCCCAGCCTTGCTGGGCTTGGTCTCGCGTTCTCTTTCCCTTCTCGCCTTGGCTCCGGCCTTCAAACTGTCCCATTTCTCTCGATACTTGGACAGTGTGTCTCGGAGTTTGGCATTTTCCTCGTCTTTCTTCCGCAGCCGGGCATCGCTTCTGCGCAGAATCTCCTCAAGTTCCGCAATTCGTCTGGCCATCGCATCGTCCGAGCCGGCGTCCAGGGCCTTCGCACTTGTCTTGCCCCGCGAGTTCTGGGGCGAGAGCAACGGCGTGGTGACCGGCGAGCGCTGCAGTGAGCGAATACTCTGGGCCAGGGCCGCAGAGGACGTCTGGGCGGACATTTCAAAAACATGGAGCCGTCGCGATAGCGTATCGGACAGGTGCTTTAGGGCTTGGTTTTCCAGTGCGAGCTCCTCCATGGTCTTGCCGTTGACTTTGGCCTCGTCGCCAGCGGCACCGCGCCGATTGAACCGGCCAGGTCCAGCACTCTCGCGTGCCCTGTGCGGGAGGATTCTGCTCTGGGCATCGACGAAGTCGTCTTCCGATATGTTGGATAAATTCGAGGTCTGTCGGTGATGTCGCAGCCCGCGAGCCTCTTCGCGTTCGGCCCGATTCATGATGTCTGCGTAGGATATGGTGCCGCCGGTGGTCGGAACCACGTAGAACGATTCCGACGGATTGTGGGACGGGCTGCCCGTTCCCGAAACCGCCCGTAGAGCTGCACGTGAAATCAGCTGCGAATAGTCAATCGATGGCGCTGCAAGTGTTGCGCGTGTCGGCGCCCTGGGAGTCTTGGGTGAAGCTTGCGCGGGGGCAGCGGGCGGTTTGGCCGAGGGGGACGCCGCAGTGGTTAGTGGAAGTCCTGCAAATGCTAGCGGGGCGCTGAGTTTCGATATCAGATTCTCAAAAGTGGCATAGAATTGCTGGAAGGGCGCATCTGAGATTTGTCCTTCTCCTTCCTCGCCGGCATCTGGCCCCGCTGCTTCGGACTGCACTGGTGGCGCCCAGGAAGGTCGCGATTGCTTGGACATTGACGAAAGAGCATCATTGCTGTTGTCTATGCTTTGTTTTGATACAGGCTTTGCTTTGGACTCTTCTTGCGCATTGTGTCCGTCTGCATGTTGGTTGGACACCTGTGGCAAGATGGGTGTCGGCCGTTTCTGACGGCCCCTTGGAGGGATTCCTCTGGCGGAAGCCAGATTGCTTACAATGGAGGAGGACAGGTCGCGTGCGCTGGGTCGCAATCCTTTGGGCAGTTTTGGAGGATGGGATGTCGTCTCCGGTGACGGCGGCCTCTCCGGCGCTTCAGATTGCTTCTGCTTCGGTGGTGACGGCGCGGTCACAGGAGTGGGTGTGGGCGCAGGTCCTGTTGGCGCTGGTTGGGGTGCATCTCCGCCAGCCGGTCTTTCATGGCTCGATCTCAATATCTGTCCCAGTCTCTTGTGATGTTGTTCAAGCAGATTCAGTATTCGCACGGCCTCCAGATCCGATGTACTTTGGGCTGCGCTTGCAAATTCGGCCGCTGCCAAATCATGCTCCTCGCTCGCAGCGACGGGGTTGGAGCGTCTAGTTTCAAGGGCCGCATTTCGAGCATGCGTATGCGCCTGGAAGCGGGGCTGGTTAGCCACGCGATATTTCCTGCCATTCACAAATGGTGCTTACGAGAGTCAGAGGTGCGGTCTCCATCTGAGAATGATGGTCGACTTGGTGTGACCGGACCTCAGACGCTCAGTGATTGATGATGCGAATCGGCCGTGACCGTCTTGCGGCTTTCTTTAAGAGTGGAGTGCAGTTCAAGTTCATCAAAAGAGCTGCACAGCGTTGCGATTGTCAAGTGGTTCGTTTCCCAGTCATGGTGCGCCCGTGAAACGAAGACGAGGCTGAGGTTGACGCAGTTCGGAGATGATGGTGATCGTTATCCGAGCGGTGGTGGAGTGCCTCCAGTCTAAGGAGCCCGCCGCAGGGTTTATTTAGGCTGCCGGGGACTAGGGGCCTAAGGAGCCCCGAACGTTCCAGCGGGTCAATGAAGCTGTCCTTTATCTAGTAGGAGATGCGAGGAACAGCTTGAACGCTATTGGCTTCGAACTGCAACCGCGTTTTATTGGAGGCGTATCACAGACTTCCAGGCAGCAATAATGAGGGCGAGTCGGCATCACCATGCATTCAAGGTTGCTATGTCCTCGATTTATTAGGTACGTACTGTTGACCTACTACTAGTACACAGCTATTGTCTAAGGTACCTTAAGGTACCTAGGTACTAGTATACTACGTAGTCCGGTCTGAGCACCGCAACACAGGCAGCGGCGCTATATAGACTCCTCTGGACTGCTGTCCACTTCATATTGGGACAGACACGGAAACACATGATTAGGTACTAGTGCTATTATAACCGCGTGCCAGTGGAGCAACCCCAACGTCCCCAATCAGATCGTGAGTGCCACCCCCAGAGTAGGCTCCCTAGGCTCTCTAGGCTAGAAATCTGAACCCCCTCTTGCCTAAAGGTGCCCTGAGAGCGCGCGGATAAGGACCCAACTAACAACGGCGCGCCCCCTACGCCTGCCCTCAGTGCCTAGATCATCCCTAAGACTAACTCGGATCTTAGCTGTCAGCCTGTCCGTCATCACTCAGCTCTGACCGTCATTATTATTTTGTTGGTAAGGATTTGCCCTAGGCCTCCTTAGCCCATGCTCCTCCTCCACCTTTGCACCGCAGTGCGCAACTTCTTACGTGCTGCACTGCACTGCACCTCGTCTCATTCCCTCTCGCAACATCGCCCTTTTCCCTGTTTCCCCTTCACGCCGTCTCGTACAATCCCTTCTTGCAGTCGTTATATCATCCTTATAATCTACCACTCATTCGACGCTTGCCTTTGACATCTCCTTCCATGCCTCTCCTTCTGCCGTAACCCTTATGCCACGCCCTCCAATGCCTGCGTGACATTACCTTGTCCATTGGCAGGTTGATTCCCAAACAATCAGCATAAACACAATACGACACGACATCTACACCGACTCTTCTCCCTCTCTCTGGCAGCCTGCCGTGGATGACCGCGATCTCTGTTCAGTCCTCGCCTCATGTCGCTCCTACCATGACCGAGCTCTCGCCTCCACTTCGGGGCCTCAAAAAAGTACTCTCCAACCGAAGGCCTTCGTCAGACGTTCCAGGTGATGAGACCTTTCAATCACTACGGACCGACTCCATTGGCTCCCTGAGTATCGAGAAATCTCCCACAAGACAGAGCGCGCGTTCTGTTAGTCAAGATGGCAGCAGCAAATCTGGAGGCAGTAGCATGCGTAAGCTGCTGCCTGGACACAGCAAGCGAAAGAGAAGAAAGCTTCGTGAGGAAGAGTTGAAAGCAGCCGTCGATCAACTTGAGAGGGGTCGTGCTGATTCCGTTCTGAGCGTCGCAACAACTCCTCCAGATGCATTGAGCAGGAGAGCCAGCAGTCTCGCGCCCGAAGGTGACACCACTCTTCTCACAGACGACTCTGAAGTGGAAACACCACCTTTGATATCACGGGACTCTCATGCTGGTTATCTGACGATCTCGTCTCCCTTGGTCTCAAATGCGGCCGCTCGAAGTGATGACGAGCCCACTCGAAATCCTTCCCCAACGCGTTCGCTTGGGAACATACCGGTGCTGGTGGAGCCTGGTCAGACCGCTCCATCTCCATCACCTAGAAGCCCACCTGAGCCTGGACCAAATCCCGCTCCGCTCTCAGCAAACTTGCTTGACCGGGCAGACACACATGAATCAGTCCCTGACTCTGACAGTGATGGCAAATATCGTGGCGTCTCACCTGCCAGGCGCTTCAAAGACGTCTTCGGCAAGACTAGCAGGGACGCTACGAACAACTCGGGGAGAGTATCGACCGACTTAACCAGTGGTACAACCGGTTCAAAGAGCAGCCACAGCCTGGTCACGGACACCAGCACTCTAGCGGAGTCAGGCACTCAACGGACTCCTTCCACGGTCTCAGCCCTTCAGCATCGGCCCCAAAACAATTCCATGCCAAATCTGGAGAACATCATGCGACCATTGACACCTCCTGCCTCTACCATCTCCACACCGGTAACTACGGTCACGCCGCCTACTCCCACCGACACGCGGTTTGATGTTAGACAAGACGCTCCACAGCCAGACAAACCGGTCTCTAAACCCAAAGATGAGGCATCTGGCATCGTGGTCAGCCCTTCAGGAAACATGATATCTCATCGCCGAATCCGGTCCACCTCGTCTATAACACACCAGCCAAGTAAACTATCCACATCCATGACTGCGCCCTTGACCCCAACGATGGAGGAGGGCAAGTCATCACCTGGCAGCGCAACTGGGAACAGAATACCAAGTGGAGGCTTATTCTCCTCTTGGGTGTCTGCGGCTCAAACGGCAGCAACCACCATTACCAGCCTGACTGGCCAGAATCGGGCTCGGTCAGGTACTAACGCTTCTGAACCTTCGATCAAATCAAAGCCTGCCGAGCAAGCCATCAAGGAGGAAGATGAAGATGAAGATAAAGGGGAAGTCCCAGAACCAGAAGCTCCGCGCAAACAATTAGCCATCGAGACCATGGGCACGGGAGATCTCAATTTTGAGCACCTGGGCTTAGAGACTGCCGACAACAATGTACCCAGTACCAGACCTGGACTGACGGAACTGCGAAAGGACTCGACATTGCAACGAGATGAGGCATCTGCCAAGGTGGAGGATTTGCTTGCAAAGCGGGCTGTTTCAGCCGCCTACGAAACCCTGTCCGAGAGTGCAAGCACTGTTCCAGAAATTACCGACCCCGTGGGTATGGGGAGGTCTTCGCAGCCATTTCCGGGCATCCTCACCGATGAAAGGATACCTCGCAATGGCAGTGTTGGCGAAAGTGACGGCACCACGATCAAAAGGAGCAATAGTGTTCGCAGCAAACTTGGGAAAAGACGGTCCCGCGGCTCTTCGGTAGCAACAGGGCAATCCGCCATTGGCGCCATTATAGGTGCAAGTGCCGCAGCGTTGGCCAATCCAGCCAAAGCGCCCCGTCTGCCAGGTTTTACGCTGGCGCCCAAGCCGCGGAATCGCAGCTTCCACCAACAATTCCGCAGCGTACCAGAGGACGACAATCTCATCGAAGACTACAGCTGCGCTCTGCAAAAAGAGATCTTACTGGCAGGGCGACTCTACATCTCAGAAGGGCATATCTGCTTCTTCAGCAACATCCTTGGCTGGGTGACCACCGTGGTGATCTCTTTCGAAGAAGTGGTCAGCATAGAGCGCGAGAACACGGCAGTGGTGTTTCAGAATGCCATCGCCGTCCAAACACTTCACGCTCGTCACACCTTTCGGAGTCTGATATACCGTGAACAGACTTATGATCTTCTCATTGGAATATGGCGAGTTAGTCATCCAGCGAGTTTCCAGAAGAGCGTGAACGGCAAACAGCTGGCTGCTGAAGAGGCTGCTGGCGCCGCAGCGCCCATCGCCGACAATGCTGCCAGCGAGCAACCCAGCGATGGGAGCACGACCGACGAGACAGACTCGGAAGGAGACGACGATAGCGCGGCCAGTTTCCTAGACAGCAGCGCCAGTCATGCCGGCAGTGAGGACGCAGATGGGAAGATGGTGTCAAGGAAGCCTTTGGGCATGAATGCAAGTGCTGTAGCACAAACTGCCGGTATGTTAGCAGGTACTGCCAGTGACGTCCCACCTGGTCTTGCTGCTCAGGCAGGAGTTCCGGAGGCAGCCAAGGATTACCCAGGACCTGCGACTCACCCCCCAACTGAGTGTACGGACAGCGCTACGCATTACGACAAGATCCTGAAAGATGAAGTTATCCCTGCTCCGCTGGGCAAGATCTACTCTTTGTTATATGGTCCCGAATCAGGCTTTTTTGTCCGAAAATTTCTAGCAGACGATGGCAAGTGCACGGATATTGTACTCGATGATGACAAAAAGGGACTGAGTAACGACATCAAAAGCAGACAGTACACATACATCAAGCCGCTAGGAGGAAGTATTGGACCGAAATCAACCAAGTGTATTACAACTGAAAACCTGGATTTCTTCGATCTCGAGAAAGCCGTCAGTGTCACATGCACCACGTTGACGCCGGATGTGCCCAGCGGCAATGCTTTCAGCACCAAGACTCGATATTGTCTGACATGGGCCCCGGGCAACTCAACCAGATTCCAGGTGAATTGCACAATCGAGTGGACGGCGAAATCTTGGCTGAAAGGGCCCATCGAGAAGGGTGCAAATGATGGGCAACAGCAGTACGGTGATAGTCTGGTCCGGATCCTCAAAAGTGCTGTCATGGGTCGCGCTAGAGGGACGACCAATGCCAGCAAATTATCAAAGCCGGTGAAGAAGAAGCGCAAGAGCGATAAGAAGTCCAAAGAGGTCGAGGTCGGGCAAGACAAGAAGAAGGCTGAAGACTGGGGTGCTTGGGACTTTTTGAGAGGCCCGTTGCAGCCGGCGATTTCAATTCTACGGCCGGTGATGAAGATGGAGGTTCTTGTGGCGATCTTGTCGGTCACGGTCTTGATGATGTTGATGCGGCGTGAACCGCCAGGAAGAGCGGTCATGAGCCCACGTGCAGGTCTGTCGCATGTGGAGCGACTCGCAGCTTACGACACTCTCTGGGCAAGAGAGCAAGACGAGTTCTGGGACTGGCTTGAAGCTCGTGCCGGCGTGGACACAGTGTTACTACGGGGCCAGTCCGCCTCACAGCAGTCGACAGTCAATGAGGGAACTGCTGACCCTATCACGCAGAGGAAGAAGCAGCGCCAGCGGGGGAAGGTCTTGAAGGGGGCCAAGAAGGATGTCGAAACCAAGATACGAGAAGAGAAGATCAGCCACCGCGAAATGGAAGACGCCATCAAGATCACGCGTGAGAGACTGCAGGTGTTGGAGGATGTCATGGGGAAGGAGAAGAAGAGGCAGAGCTAGGCTGACGTGGACGGTAGTGACAAAGGACGGTAAAGAAGCAAGTCGAAGTTGTTTGTGAGCGTTGTTGCTGGGGCCTCGTTAGCGTGAGGGTCAAAGGGAACAGGACTGAGCCACCAAGAATGGCTTGAGGGAAGCGAACCGGGCCGTTTGACTCATGGTTTCATTCGATCAAATAGCTGCCGGCGCCGTTGGACACAGCAAGGGTTCTAGTCCGATCCTAGGGTACGCATGTCAGAACCTTAAGTGTGTCTGTTGAGAAGTCATGAGTATGAAATATCAATGTTTTACGAAGAAAACATTCCATGTTGGATGAGATACTGCTTAGCCATTGTAGTAGCCACACAGACTTAACAGCGAACAGGTCAATCGCAGCAGAGATAGACCATTCGTAATCAAAGCTGGAATTTCGTTCTCGTCTTCTCCATTTTCGCCTTCCATTCCCAATCTTGACCACTGCGGCGTTGAATGCCTTTATCAACACGTCTCAATTTCAACGTCATCCGGGGTCCCAACTCCTGCAGTCCAGCCCGGATGCCCTCGACGCCCTTGACCTCCTTGCCATCAGGGCCGACGACCGACTTTTCGGTCTCACGCTTCTCGCGGAAGATGTATCGGTGGCGGCGGACAAAGATATAGTCACGCTGGTTGTGCAGGGTCAGGACCTGCCGGCCCTGCAGCTCGGGCGTTGCAGGGAACAGCGAGCGAAACAAATGAGCGGTCAACAAGCCCAGCGGAGTGGTGAAGTTGTTCAAGATCAGTTCGGGCATGTGTCCCGTCGCACGGCCGTGGCCGGGGATAGCCTTGCCCGTGTACCAGTTCGAAATGGAGAAGTGGAAAGTTGGCCCCTCGGGCAAATGCACGATGGTCATGCCCGACGGTTTCTTCAGGTCCTCCTCCAGCACGATCACCGCCGTGTAGCCGTGGTTATGGGCGAACGAGGAGATCTCGCGCACCGAGAATTTGTAGCCGTACCGGTGCGACGAGCGGCGGATGTATTTGGAGTTGGGGAACAAGGATGTCAGAATCGCCGCTTCATCGTGGAGGGTGGAGTTGATGGACGTCGTGATCAAGATCTTCGGCTCAGGCGGTGGAGGAGCGTCGGGGGGAAGGAACAGCGTCGGGAATTTCGCAGCCAGTGCGGCGGGTGCGAGAGAGAGGTTTGTCGATGCCGTGGACCGGGTGGGCGACGGTGTGCGATCGTGCTGCTGTTGTATTCGTTGTGTTCGAGAAGAATGGCGTAGGATCTGGGATTTCGAGGGTAGAGGGTCGTGTGCGGACTCGTCGAGTTCATCTGGTTCCAGGTCTGATTCGTCTTTGTCGCCTTCGCTCTCGCTTTCGTCTAGCATGGAGTCGTTGTCCTCGTCGTCATCAGTTTCTTTCTTCTCATCCTCCTCTACATCTGCCAGTCCTTCTAATTCAAGCCGCTGCTCCTCGGCCAGCCTTCTCCGTTTTGTCCTCTCCACGTCATAGGCCAATCCTAGACCACCGTCATCCGGCTCGTCTGCAACTTCATCGTAGACTCGTTTCTTGTCCAAAGTCACGGGGACGTTGCGCCGTAATCGCTCTTCTCGTAGTTTCGGGTTCTTGGCCTCCTGCTTTTTGCGGCTGAACCGCTCGGCTCTTTTCAAGGCATCCCGCGCACGTTTCTGCTTGACGTGCAGGTCCTGTCGTTTTTGCTTGTTGGAGGTTCGGAATGGGAGGGCCGCTTTATCGGACAGTCTTGTCGTTCGGGACGGCATGGCTGCAGATGCAGATGCAATATAGGTATGTTATCGTTGACACAGAGAATACATGCACTGAAGATGTTTAAAGTAGCCCTTCAATGGTACGGGGTTGATAGTGGTGAGAAACTTGTCAAGGGCCTGCAGACAGACAATGCAACTCTCGCTGTATTGCGGGCAGAAAAAAGTTTTGGGCGCGGAGGCAGCGATGGAGGTTTGGCCGATCCTCCGCGCGCCCAATCGATTGATTTGATTGAACGACACTGCAGACAAGGCTCCCGTAGTACTTCGATTGTGGCTGGTGCGACAACGACTTAGTCAGCCAGTTATTGTGGCTGTGTGCCTGTAGCAAGTGCTTCCAGTCAACGAACCTCAACTGGTGCTAATTCCCTACCTAGACAAATTTTGTGTGACTCCAAACCCTCACGAGGTATTGAATCATCACCGCCTGACTGATACTTCGAGTCATTGTCCGGTCTGACTCTGACCTTCCGGGAGTTCTTCCCAGGCCATTCTTCGTTTCGTTTATGCGCGCTCCGACTCTAGGTTTCAAAGCGACGACCTGCCACTTTTCGCAGTTTGCGAGATCTTTCACCACCACTACCTCTCTACTTAGGGTCCAACCCGCCAAAATCGACCCCAAGATGGCGACCAGCACCACCAAGACCGGGCAGCCGCTCGACAGGGCCCAGCTCGAACCGGTCCTACGGCGAAGAATGTTCTACACCCCATCCTTCGAGATCTACGGCGGAGAACGTGGTCTCTATGACTATGGGCCGCCAGGGTGTGCCCTTCAGGCCAACGTGGTGGATCTTTGGAGAAAACACTTCGTTCTCGAAGAGGATATGCTGGAGGTCGACTGCACCATGTTGACACCTGAAGCCGTCCTCAAGACCAGCGGCCACGTGGACAAGTTTGCCGACTGGATGTGCAAAGATCCCAAGAGCGGGGAGATTTTCCGTGCAGACCATTTGGTCGAGCAGGTCCTGGAGGCCAGATTGAAGGCGGACAAGGACGCTCGTGGCCAGACGATCGTGGTCGACGAGGCCAAGGAGGCAAGGAAAAAGAAGAAGATCAAGGACACCAAGATCGAGAAGCTCGACGATGCAGTCGTGCAGGAGTATGAAGAGACTCTGGCAAAGATCGACAACTATGGAGGCGACGAGCTCGGTGAATTGATCAAGAAATTCGACATCAAAGGTCCCACCACTGGTGCAGAACTGGATCCTCCTAGGGCCTTCAACCTCATGTTCCAGACCCAGATCGGGCCGAGCGCCGAGAAACCAAATGGCTACCTCCGTCCAGAGACCGCCCAGGGCCAGTTTCTGAACTTCCAGAAACTGCTCGAATTCAACCAACAGTCCATGCCCTTCGCCTCGGCTTCCATTGGAAAATCGTTCCGAAATGAAATTTCTCCGCGGTCTGGGCTTCTCCGGGTTCGAGAATTTTTAATGGCCGAGATCGAACACTTCGTCGACCCTGAGGGTGGGAAGAAACACCCACGCTTCGAGGATGTGAAGGACGTCAAGTTGACTCTTTTGAACCGAAAGACTCAGCTTGCAGGCAGCACTAAGCCTGATGTCTTGACCATTGGCGAGGCTGTATCCACCGGCATTGTCGACAATGAGACGCTTGGGTACTTCATGGTCCGGATCCAGGACTTTCTGCTCAAGCTCGGAATCGACCACTCCAAACTGCGCTTCAGGCAACATATGGCGAACGAAATGGCCCATTATGCGGCGGACTGTTGGGACGCCGAACTATTCACCACCTATGGATGGATTGAGTGTGTTGGGTGTGCGGACCGGAGTGCCTACGACTTGACCGTCCACGCCAACAAGACCGGAGCACCGCTTGTGGTGCGCGAAACGCGAGCCGAGCCACTGGTGATTGAAGAGTACCAGATCGATCTAGAGCGCAAGAAGCTAGGCCCCAAGTTTCGCAAGGACGCCAAAAGCGTCGAGGCCGCCGTGGATGCGCTTTCGCAGGAGCTGCGCGAGAAGTTGTCGCTTGAACTTGAAAAGACCGGCAAGATCGAAGTCCAAACACCCGGCGTCGGAAGCGGCACGACAGAACTCGACAAAGACCTGATCAAGATCGAGAAGAGAAAACGAACCGAGCATGTACGGGAATATACGCCCAACGTCATCGAGCCGTCCTTTGGTATCGGCCGCATTCTGTACAGTTTGATGGAACATGTCTACTGGACCCGCGAAGGCGACGGAGCGCGTGCCGTGCTGTCGTTCCCTCCGTCCGTCGCGCCCACAAAGGTCCTGTTGGTGCCGCTCTCCAGCCATCAGGACTTCAAACCGTTCATCAAGAAGTTGACGACCCGTCTGCGCCGGATTGGGGTGTCCAACAAGGTCGATGACTCTTCAGCCAGCATTGGCAAACGCTATGCTCGCAACGACGAGCTCGGCACGCCTTTCGGCATCACCATCGACTTCCAGACCGTCAAGGACGGCTCCTTGACTCTTCGGGAACGAGACTCCACGAAGCAAGTGCGCGCCAGTGAAGATGACATCATCGCGGCTGTCAAGGCATTGGTTGATGGAGAAGAAACCTGGGAGGATATTTCGAAGAGACTGCCTCTCTTCGAGGGACAAGACCTTGACTAGGACACTATGACATCGTCACGGCAACCAGAGCGGACAAGAGTCGAAATGGACATGGTGACAAGAGAAGGAACAAGAGCTGGATCAGACTCGATCTCGAGAAGAGTCTACCGGCGCCTGTGCTAGACGAAAGGTCCAGAAGGGAAGAGTGCGAGAAACAGCTGGATGATCTAGCTTTTGTTTGGTGTTTGGTGCATTTCAAAAGATACCCGACCCTTTGATGGTGCGATCTCTCTTTACCGCCGAACAAGGCGAGATGATGGCACCTCGGGAGATGATAGTCAGAGCACCGTGGCGGGAAATCGCTGGGTTATGTACTCCAATGAACAAGCGTCAATGTATAAGAAATGAAGAAGATGTGTATGTGTATGACAAACAATCAAAACTAATGGTTGTAACAGCCTATAACGGCCAGACCTAGGCCACCTTTGATGGGCGTAGTCGAGAATCGCGGAGACTGGAAACTGGAAACTGGAAGTGGCCGCAGAATTGCATATCGCACACTCTATGCTTCGCCGTTTGTATGTTTACTGAGGCCGCATTCATCCAACATCCAACACTCTTCGGGCTTCACATGTTCAGGACTTCCACTCCGTGCCATGCAATGCAATCCATTGAAGTCTTCGCCTCCTAATCTAAACACAAAAGCTCCTAATTCTGCTTCCATTCACTAGTTTCTGTACGGCCACTGTCCCTAATAGCGTGGACTTGTTCCATGCCGACCTCACGCCCCCAAGCCGACCTCTCTCCCTCAGCTGCGGCATTCATTCCCTCCACCTCCAACCCTGTAGCGTCGGGATCTGTACGAAGGAACCTGTTCTCAGCGCATCTGTCAAGACGGCCAGCATCTTCTTCACGACCTCATTCGCAGAACAGCTCCCAAAGCCAGTCCAATCCGCAACCAGCCGCGCCACGAACGACTCGAGACCGACAACAACAACAGCAACAGCAACATATCCCGATCCAGACTCACGCCCATGCACGTAACTACGACGACCAACACCAGCACCAGCATCCACATGCCCTTCCCCAAGTACGAACGCACCAGCGGTCCGTCTCGACTCCCTCGCTGTCCCCATCTCCCCCGCGACTGTCACCGTCGAGCCATGTCTCTCCTGAACCGGCGGCGTTCATGTCTGGCTACCACCAGCACCAGTCGCCGCCATATCCGCAACTACAGACTCAACAACAGCATCACGCCCTCCCGCCCTCGGCGAGCCACCGGGCATTCTTGACCGAGGGCTACGATCCGACCATTTCACCCAACCGGCCTCTCAGCCCGCGATCCTCTGCGACACTGTTCCCGAACTCGTCGATCATAGCCCTGAACCCGGTCACGGGCAGACCAGTCTTACATCGAATCCCCAAACTCCCTGGACGACTGCGGCTCTCTGACTCGGACGACGGGCAAGATGCAGGCGAAGACGAAGACGAAGACTTAGACCTCGACGACGCAGACCATTACATCGACGAAGACGAGGCCGTCGCACAGGCGTATCGACGAGGACGCCGAGCCGATCCCGTCGCATGGAGACATAATACGTACGGCCACGCTTCTTCGGTTGCTGCCGCTGCTGCTGGAAATGACCGAGACCACGTCCAAGCGGCCGCCGCCGTGACTGCCGAAGCAGACGCAGAGGCCGATGAAGAACGTCGCGACCGCGAGCGCATCGAGAGGTTACTGAGGGAGATGATGGCCAGACAACGCGCCCGCGCGCAGAGCAAGAGTACCTCCGTCCCCACCGGTCCCGGTGGCGACGCGACTTCCTCGCGCGGCAGTCAGTTGAATTTGAATTCTAATTCTCATTCTCATTTAAGAGGAGGACGGCGCAGGAGGAGAGACATGGGTACGAATCATGATAATAATCGACTACAGATGCAGCGGGGGCAAGATACGGGAATGGACCACGCCGTCGAATCGATCGATTACTTCGACGTCGACCATGATCATGACCATGACCATGATGACAACGACAGCAGCAGCAACAACAACGCTAACATTGGCCCCAGCTACGGCGAGAGACGGCGAGATTCCGAAGCCGAAGCCGAGCGCGAAGAACTCATGGGGTTGATCGTGGGCAGTCTACGACGAGAAATCGCCCGAGCGGATGAAGAGGCCTGGATGTTTGGCGAACAATCGACAATGGGCGCTGGAGCCGGGAGGGTCGAGATCGGAGTCTACGACTGAGCCATATCCAGCTCGATCCTAATCAGAGGGGTCTCTGACATGTACAAAGGGAGCTGGCTGTGCTACACACTCTTGAACACAAGTCTGATTGGAGTGGGACATTCAAAAGCCATTTGGATCCAAGTGCCCTGGTGGTCGTTGCCGGACGACATCACGCTTTGGACACGCTTTGTTCTCGTCATTGTGTGACACTAGCATCCCACACGAACTATTCTTGTCAGGGAATGAACGACTGCTTTTTTTTTTTCAAGCACCCCGAACCTCCCTTGTTAAGTTGATGCAGCAACACATTTTGAACTCACGAGACTGCTGGGCCAACTCCTGTGTGACGATGGAAGGTCTGGACCAATCCCCCAAGGCAACACGGGGTGGGGAGAGAACAGTTAGTGTCAGCTGCGTGCATTGATGCGCCACAAGATCACAGGTCCAAAAAGCAACCTGACCGAGAAAAGAGGGGGCCTTTGAAAATTCATCACGAGCGAAATGCCGAGTGGAATGCCGAGGCTCCAGACCATGAAATGGAACGAGATGGATGAATTGGACGACGTTCGCTTCACGGTCGAGAGACCAAGTAGAAAGGGTCGCTCTCCTTGAGATAATGCCCTGGGGAAAAGCAAGAAGTAATGACAACAAGAGTACTAAAACACCAATGAAGAGCATGAGCATGAGCATGATGGCCACAGGGCGGGTTGAAGACCCAAAGATACAGTAATCATAAACCTATTCCATCGCTGATGTTCGCTGAAAACGTAAACTACGCAAACTGCCCGTCATGTCAACCCGCCAAACACGTCAAGCCAACAAAGCGAACCCGAAGGTGAAACACGGATCACTCAAAGAAAGCCCGCGACCTGAAAGGGAATGTCCTTCTGCAAATCTTCCAAGCCAAAGCCAAGGCAAAGCAGACCGGACGGCATGCGGCATGCTACGACAATGATCAATCCAGATCCATGGTCGGCGGCTTCTCGATCTCCTTCTTAGCCGGAGCCGGAGTCAGCTTGGGCGTGCCTTTCGCGCCAGCACCAGCACTGCCACCTCCACCTCCACCGAAAAGCATACTGCCCATCATATCGAACAAGGGATTCCCACCCTGGCGAGGAATCCTGATGCCGAACCAGATCTCACCGATGTTGGCCAGCGCGTCGCTCCACAGACCCTCTGTGTCTTTGAGATGCGGGGCGAAGTACTTGGCGAGCTGGCGGAACAGGGAGGCGTCGCCCTTCTGCGCGGCCAGCAGGAGCAGGGCCAGGAAATTGAGCAGCGGGATGGACGGGAAGATGCGCAGGCTGAGGCCGGACTTGCTGGATTCCAGGGGCTGCGACATGGCCAGCAGGGCCGGGTTGGACGCGGTTAGCAGCGAGGTGAAGGTGGCGAGGGCGGCGTTGGCGGACGCGAGGTTGCCGACCACCAGGTACGGCAGGACAGAGCGGGAGGCGTAGATGGGCGCCAGGTGCGGCTGGTCCAGTGTGTACCATGTGTAATGTAGCGACGCGAGGATTGGAGCGGACTCGGGGGTGCCGAGGATCAAGTGTCGTTCTGCGTCGTAGACTTGTCCTTCTGAAGACCCCAAACTTGTTAGTACTAATAAAGGAGAGAAGATTCAAGTAAAACATACCTTCAGCATAAACCCGTCCAGCCTCATGATGAATCTCCCCATCCCCCCTCTCCACGTCCCCAAACCTACCAGACCACGCGACGACTTCATTAACAAATCTCTTCCGAGTGGGCTCGCCGCGCGGAAACGCACGCAGGATGTCGATCAGCCGCCTCTTGTTCTCCGCAGTACACTCCCACTCGCCCTTGACGTAGACGTCGTTCAACAGCATGAGCGCCAGGTCTCCGCCGGAGCCGCCCTGGCCGGCGCGCAGAAGGAGCAGGGCGCCATTGTACAGCACGTCGCAGGCGGACGGGTAGTCGCCGGCCTTGAGGTAGCGGGCGGTGATGACGCGGAGTTGTTGGTGTGCTTCGTAGAAGTTGCCTTCTGCGATTCTAGAAACAAAAGAGAAGTTAGTATTGGTCGATCGGATCGAAATGTTTCTGTATCTGGACGGATCTGGGGTATACTAGTACTTACTTCTCCTTTTGGCGGGCTAGAGTCTTTGCGATTTTGCCGGACATGATGTTGATAACCGGTGAAGGTTAGGTGTGTATGTATCCCTAAGGCGTAGGTAGAAGTTGTTATAGAGTTGTAGGATCGCAGTCGTAGGATCGCAGTCGTAGGATCGCAGTCGTAGGATCGCAGTCGTAGGATCGACTGTAGAGGAACACACCGTGTGTCTGTCTCTCTGTCCGTCTGTCCGTCTGTCCGTCTGATGTCAAGAGTGGTGGAGGTGGAATACTAGTACTGGCCTCAGACACTTGAGGTATCAGTACTACTTTGGGTCTACTGGTAGGCAGACAGTTCAGTACCAAAGTAAGGTAGGTAATGTAGGTAGTAGTAGTCAGATCCAGATCCAGATCCTGAATTGCGAGCCTGAACTGAAACTGAACTGCACCGCAGTGCCACTGCAGGCGACGTCATTATTCAGGTTCTTGGGCCAAATGTCCATCGCATGAATCGTCGAACTTTGAAGTGCAATCAATGATTGAATTCCCACGGTCTTGGCATGTTTCGACTCCTTTACTCGCCTCAGCCTTGCGATCGACATATACATACAATACGCAATACATCAGGTAGGTAGATGCCATGACCTGCCTCGAATCATCTATTCGATCCTACCTTGCCGGCATGTATAATATCGTGTATATGCTCTTATGTATGCGGTTCAGAATGGGAAAAATGCCCACGCTGGGAGGGAGCATGTTCAGCCCCATCCATCATCCCATCGAGAGAGATCCATCACCACCACCACCACAAATCAATCGTCTCTGCTCTTGCTCCCTTGCCATGCTGGCTGAAGTTGAGAGTTGACTGACTCAAAGTGATAAGTGATATCATGGAATCAATACATCAATATATCAACTTCCTCAATCCTCAATCCTCAATCCATCTCCTCTCGGCGAGATGAATCCGTTGTAATGCCTTGTAATGCAAAAAGGTCGTGTTCCCGAGTGTATCAAAAAAGAAGTCAAAACTCCTTGGGCCATGCACACACGCTGCAAAGTTGTAATCAAGGATGAAATCACACAAGCTTGGCTCTCCAAGAGAGAGAGAAAAGAAGGCCCCCAATTGAAACCCCCTTTCCATTCGAGCCGGCCATCGTTATATTGACCACTGTTGTCATGATCCCTTTTCGTCTTCCTCCGCCATGCTTTCCAAGCCCCCTGGACTAGCACCAGGACCACTGCCGCTCGGAGTACTTCGAGTGGGTTTCGGGTTGCGAGAACCTGCTCCAGTCGGGCTTGGACTCGGACTCTTCTTGACCGACCCGCTGCGTACAAGTGTGGGAATCCTTTCCGAGGACGTCGACGTCGACGACCCCGTACTGTCCTTCTTGAGAGTCGGCGGAGGACGCGAGAACATGGCTTTCAACGCCGCCTTCGTTTTGGCCTTTTCTTCTTTTTCCTCGGCTGCCTTCTTAGCCGGATCGTCCAGGGCCTTTTCAGCCGCATATTGTTTCCACTTCCTCCATCCATCATAATCGATCAGCGCTTGCATACAGCCCCATTCGGTGACTTTGCGCTCCATCCAGACAAAGTTGACCGGCTGTATATTGTTAGCAACACCATCCAAATCCTACGGTACAGACATATGCTTACCTTCGTCAAAAAGTCGTTACATCCCGCCGCCAATGCCTCGTGCCTGTCGCTTTGTAGACTGCTGGCAGTCAACGCCACAATGATGACGGGACTTTTGAACAAGCTTCGGTCGGGCAACACATCCGCTTCTCCAACTGGACCCCCATTCTTCGCGGCCATCTTCGCACCCGCGTCTATGGGACTGCCGCCAAAGACCCCAATCCCATTGACGGCCTCGAGACGACGAATCTCCTTGGTCGCTTCGAGTCCGTTCATGACCGGAAGCTGGATATCCATCAACACCAAATGGAATCCGCCGGTCCTCCACATAGCCACGGCCTCCTTCCCGTTCATGGCCGACTTCCAGCGCACTTTTAACCGTTTCATGAACGCTTCAAGCAGTTTCAAGTTGATGACGTTGTCTTCGACGATCAGGACATTGATCGGTGGAACCGTGCCATCCAGCAACGCCGCCGCGGCAGGCTGCGAAGATGGCGGCGGATCACCGTTGCTGGCACGGCCGGCGAATGCATTCCTTTTCTTCTTCGACTTTTGTCCCGGATGTGGAGACGAGACTCGATTCGGGGGAGTAATGGATGATGGACCGTGGTCGCTGGAGCCTTGTGCAACAGGTGGTGTGGGCAGAGGAGGCGCCGACGGGGCGGTGCCATTCATCTGTGATTTAGACTCTACTGTGGTCAGTCAAACATCGCATCCTGAAGATGGGGAGCCATCCCATACCTATGACTTGTCCGTTCGGTTGAACCGTATGTAGGATGGTCGGGCTACTAGTATGTTGTCTGCCGTATTTGGGTCTTCCGTGTCTCCTCTGTCCATGCGATCCTGGGCTGGGCAAAGGCGGCAGCTGACCCGTGGTCAAGACCGACATTGCATGAGGAACGCCATTATGTTGGACTTGCGCAAGATGTGGAGAGTGAAGTGGCATGGGAGGGAAATATTCTCGAGCGGCATCGTCGGGTCGATATTGGTCTTGGTAGATGTAGGAAATCTGGCCACTCCCAGATCGGGGAGATGCTCGGGGTGTTCGACGGGCAGGGACCTCAATGATGAGGGCTTCGTCGACGCTCTGTCCGCCCGGATAGTATGCATCGAGAGTGACCCCAATCGGTTCTTCAGGCCCCAAGGCTCGCTCGGTGGTCACGACCTTGTTACTTTGTTCGCGGCTCACGATCTTCAAGATGATGTCGGGAGCATCGATGCTGCGACCGAGGGAGTTGGCATATTTGCGCAGGATGACATCGCGGACATTGTCCACCAAGTCATCTTCGGCCACTTCGACTCTTGTAGGGGAGGCGCCGGGTCGCTTCACCCATATCTTTCTCTGCATTGCTTCGGAACTATCATATCGGGAGCATGGCAGGCTGGGGAGGGTTGGGACAGTCGGGGTGGAGGGTCGTTGGATGACGAGAAGGGGAGGGTCGGAAGCAATGGTTGCTGGACTAGGCGTGTCGGCCGTAGTCGAAAGCGAGGGAGAGGTTGACGTCGAGATTCCTGAAGAGGTGGTGGTAGGATCAAGGCCAGGGCCAGCAATTTCGCTGGGCTTGGAGGCTGTCAATGAAGTCGGGAGAGTGGCTGTAGCAGAAAGTCGCGAGCTGCTTCCGGTGGGTTCGATCGGTGGAAGAGGAATGGTCGATGGAGGTGTGGCTGGTGCGTCTGGAGGCTTGCAATCGGGCTGATCAACCGTCTTATTGGGCGGCGCCGGATCAAGAGGGTCGACAGAATCGGGGGTGGACTCGTTAGCATTGCGACTAACGGCCGTGACAGAGGTGGGAGCAGGAGTAATAGGCGTGGGTTCATTAGATTCCAGCTGGGAAGGCTCTCTGCTCCGGCTTCTTCTGAATCGACTATCCAGACTCCTTCTCTTCGAACCGGATTTCGCGCGACTTCGACGATGGATATTCAGGTTTGCTAGACTCGACAGTGTAGGAAGGCCAAATGACAATGACCCGGATGGAGACCTGCCGGGAATGCTGTCATCGTCGTCGGCCAACGCTGTTGATATGATTGTTGAGTCGGTCGTGGCAGTGGCGGCGGCGGCGGTGTTGTTGTTGGCGGCACTGGCGCTGAGACTGCGGAACAAGGGGAAATGCGGTCCTGTACGCGTTCTTGACAAGGGCATCCCGGATTATACTGGAGTGTTGTCGGGCCTGGAGAGGCAGCGTCTAGGGCTTAGGAGGCCACAGATCCCGGGCCAGAAGGGCTCTGAGGAAGGACATTGCCAATTGTGGTGGGAAAGGAAGGTATGTCTTGCAGGCGGAGGTCAAGGCAGAGCAGAGAGAAGGAATGGCTTAATAGACGGGAGGGGAGGCGAGGGGATGAGACGCAGCGGGATTGAATGAAGGTTAAAACAAGAGCCATGAATTACAAGTACTAGTAATTGATTGACTGATTGATTGATTGATTCATTCCTCTCGCGAGTCGACAGCGAAACTTGACTTTTGAGGTGGATGTGGATGTGGTGGAGGTGGAGGTGGAGGCGGAGGCGCATGCAGACAGATGGAGATGTTGATTCTGTACAGAGGACGGCAGAAAGAGCACCTAAGGGAGGTGTGCTTAGGCTCCTCGGTTGTTGATTTCTAGGTGCCTACAGCCTGTGAACTGCTTGCTTATAGGCGGCGCATGTACCTAGGGAACTTTATCCCGTGGATGTTCTAGGTACCAGCCTGTAGTACCGTAGTAATATTCCCCGCCTATTTCTTACCTAAGGTACCTTAGGTACTACCCATTGTTCGCTGCACGCTCCCCTACAGTCTGCAACCAGCGAGAGAGCTGACACGGCTTCTAACCATTGTTATCTATTACGACAGATGAGGTACTACTAGTAAGGTATATATCATCGAATATCCCAGTACCTAGTAGTGGTCAGTATCATCGGCGCATTATGGCTCACCTGCTCTATCAGGTAGTTTGCCTTTTGTCCTTCAAGGGGTTGTTATAGCTTCATTGGACTGTATGATAGATACCTGGTAGTTAGTTTTCGCCTCGATTGTACTTTGGTAGTAGGTCCTACCACGTATTATCGTTATCGTTATCGGTATCTGCCTACTAGGTACTTAGTGACTACACCTAACTACTACTTTTACATACCTCACAAACGTTTCCAGAACTCCCTTATTGCTTCACTCACAACTTGCTGGCATTGACCTACTACCTAGGTAGTAGCAGATAAGCAAAGACAAGGAACAAGAAGCACCAAACAAGTATGCTCCCTCAACACTCCCTAATGTATTAAATCCAAATCCTATCGACATGTCAACCCTTTGATTACTCAGTACTCCATGCAATCAGCAGGTTGGAATGTCCGCCTGCCATGGCTAGCTAGATAGCATCCCACACAACCAGCGAGTCTCCTTTCCTACCTAGGTAGACTCTCATGCTTGCCAGCAAAACAATGTCCCTCTCTGGTGCAGCGCCTCTAAATCCATGCGTGGCTTGCCGTTGATTCACCAAAGTATCATGCCAGATGATCCGGAAATGACAGTATATGCGCTGAACTGAACTCGAACCATAACATAATGACCCCCTGCCGTTCAGGGGCGTTCCGCCACCAACTCAATCGATAAACGCCAGTTCGCTTCGTCTCCCTGTTTGCCGGTCTGCTTGCCACTTGGCTTGCTTTGGTAGTCCGTCGTCCGCTAAATGGGGAATCTCGTGCTCGAATATAAAATGAAATGAAAGAATGCCACCCTAACCAGCCCTTCTCCACATAAATTCCCATGCTGATCGCCACCCGATCAAAGATCTCAGTAACAAATAACTTCGTGGTGGTTAGACGAGCCGCGCAAAGAGAAAACAGGACATCCTCGATGACAATCACTGAACCTCCTTGCGGTGTACGTGACCGTGGTCGAGGTCGAGGACTCCTTGGAGTGGTTGGGAATCACCGTCCGAGCATATAATCAGGATACATGCTGCCCACACCCTGTCCAACCGGTCCACTGCTGTGTGGTATCCCTCGCAAGCTAGACATGCTGCCATTGCCAACAGCGAATCCTTGATTCATGGGAGGAGGAGAACGGACGGCCCCATTGGTATTCGACATGGTCATATTCAAGCCTGGAGGCGCCAACAATCCTGGTGGAGGCCCATTGGCCGTCGAGAACCCTGCCGGCGTTGTACTGCCAAATCCGTTCATGCTCAAAGGCCCAGAAGTACTCAATGGTGTTGTAGGGGTTGCGCTTCCAGGCTGGCCTGCTCGAACGCCGAGAGGGTTCTTCGAAAAGCTCAGTCGAATACCTCCTTTGACACTGTTGTGAAGTTGCGCCCCGTACAGCTCATTTAGGGCCTTGGTTGCGAAAGAGATGTCCTCAAACTCGACAAAACACATGGGCCCATTATGCTTGGTTCGAAAACACAATCTCTTGTATCCTCTTTGTTTCGAAAAGATCGCTTTCAGCTCGTCTTCCGAAGTGTCCATGGGCAAGTTGCCCACATACAGCGTGTTACATGGCGGATTCTGATCCGCAGGGTTGGCCGGGGGATAGTTGTGCCGCAAGAACGGTTGTCCAGGAGGCGAAAATGAGCCGTTAGATCCCATGCTGGAAGGGAACTGCATCTGCGGAGTACGAGACTGAACCGCTGACCGGGGCGACGCATAGCTGCCAGATGGCCCGCTACCCATGTTCGTGTTCAGGGATAAAGCTGAAAACCCGGCAGTAGGAATACGTAGGTTGGCGGATGTCCTGCTTGTGGCCGTTGCAGCCGAGTTATGCATATATGCCAAAGGGTCTTTGAGCAACTCCCCAGTGTCGTCGTCTCCGCCATCTTCGTCAATCACTTTCTTGCCGCTGACACGAGAGCGGTCGGTTGCCGCACTGTGCACGGGAGAGTGAGAGTGAGGCGAGAAGATGGTTTGCAGCTGTGAGCTCGCATCCGATGACACCTGGTCGGGTGGCGAGCCTGTCAGCGGAGGAGATATCTTGTCCATGGACTGAAAAGTCCCATTGAATCGCGACGACTTCTGGGCGTGCGTGACTGGCGGCGAGATTGACTGTGCCATTTTCCGCCCTGCCATGGGGTCAATCGTGTTGCGCCGGGGCGTCGATGCCATGCTGGAGCCCGCTCTGACCTCCACAATCATTTTGGCCTGCCCAGCCGTGTTGGGTTTGCCATCAAGCATCGCCCGGGCTTCGGAGGCGCCGGTGATCGATCCGAATCGCGCAATGGCCGTTGCGAACCCAACGTCTTCTTCATACTCGTTAGGAATGATCTCCGTATCTTGGAGATCTTTCGCAAAAAGAAGCATCGTGCGAACAGCCTCAGCGGTGGTGTTGCGCGGAAGACGTCGCAGCAGAACAGTTGGGGAACCGACAAGAACCTCGTTTGCAATGGACATCCGGCGGTCGCCCATTCCGTCCTCGAAGCCTGCAGGGTGAGAGGGCATATTGTATGGATTCGACAGGGTCGTGTACAGCCTATTCGCCGCTGGACTGAGGGCGAGGGCACTCATGCTCTTTAGGCCAGGTTGAATGGAGGTTGAACTTGCTCCGACAAGTTAATGCCAAACAGCTTGGAGCGACCAGGCTGTTATTAATATCCCGAGGCGCTTCCGCCTAGTTTGTGCTTCCTTGTAGGATGAGGAAAGGGTATGTGTGTTGTGCCTGGGAGGAAGGGTAACCATCCACTGATCTAGGTTGCTCTAGCAGACAACAGCGGAATAAGAAGCGCCAGGTCATCAAAGACCATGTTCAGGGGCTCTTGAGGTCAGTGACTGGCGCTGGCTGGCTGCGAGGAAGGCTTCAAAATGATTCCGAGCGGGGACTTCGTCCTTGAAGGGTTCAACACAGCAACCCAGGTGATTCCCCGGGAGAATCGTCAAGATTGTTGTTGATTCAAGGGGAAGGCGCCAGGTGCCTTCGAAAGATCCTCGAGATGACGGGACCCACTAGTGCCTCGACTGTGCTTCAGTTGTCGCAAATGATTTTGGTGAAGCGCGAGGATGACCGTATCCGATGAGATGTAATGGATGGCTCGGGGAGTTGTTTGGCACGCAATGCGCATGTAGGTGAGCAATCTGATTGTGGGAAGTTGGGGGAGTGAGTGGGAGGAATGGGAGGGAACGATATCTGAGATCAGAGAGTCGAGAGGCTCCAGGAAGTTCAAATTCCCGGAGGTGGGATAGCGATTCAGCGAGACGGGATATTTTGGCGGCGACAAGTGCCCAGTCGATAGCAGCGATAAAGGTACACTAGGCCCGTGTTTGGCATTGAGCCAGGATGGTCAATCGTGCCAATCCGGTGCCGTGTGGCTTGCAGGGTAGGCCCGAGCACCAAGCTGGAGGCGCAATGTGGATAAGGTGAGCAGGGTGAGATACAAATCGCGATCGCGCGGCCGCCCGGATGGTGGAGAGTCGAACGGCCAGGGCTAAAACAGGTCGCAGGGTCAGCGGTCTGGCAGCCACAAGAGTCTTCCGACCCTGAGATTCGGCCTTCCTCGCCAACCCTCTGAGGTGTTGTACAGAGTAGGGCCAGCACAGAACCTTTAGTAAACGCGGAGGGATCAACGGTGGGTACGGCGGCCTACACCTTTGGGGTATGGGAATCAACGCCGGACTCGACGTGCCCGCTAGGGAGAGTGACAGAGGAATGGAGTCGAAGATGGCGCAAAGCCGTGAGGGGGAGTGCTGGCTGTACCTGGTTGCCGATATGCATGCAGCATCGGCGTGCCGTTGTCGGCCAGGGGTTGGATTGTATAAGGGAGGGGTGGGAAGTTGAGAATCCGGACTCGTCTCACCTAGTTCGACAGTCGAGTTCCAATCATGATATGATGATAACACGTAGTGCACGAACCTGCTCAACCTCTTCCGTTGAGATAGTGCTGAACACGGAGGAGAGGAAGCAAGTCGAGCGCCCAAAGTTCCTTTACGGCCACACGCACTAGAAGGGATATCCGCCGCTACCCATCGCAGAGGCGTGACTGAAAATGATGGCGGTGCCGCCGTCTGTTGGCTAATGATTGCATGTTGGACAGGCCGAGGACTGATTCTTCCTCGTGCGAGACGAGTGAGGATCATATCGAGCCCTCGAAAGAGCCGAGACTTAATTGTTGCTCCTCTGAACAAGGTGTAGCGCTAGAGCAGCTGGCCGAATGCCCATGATCGGATCGAAATGGTCAATTCAACTCATCGTCTGATGGATGTGTCCGTGGGGTTGAGCAAAGGAGGGTTGAAGCAAAGCACGCCGGATGTGCCAGCGACCATTCAGATTCACCACCGAGTCCACCGATTTATGGGGACTGCGCGGACAAGCATGATAAGTGTGGACAAGAATGTCCTTTTAGGTTGCACTCTTTTGTCCAGCGTCCGAGCTAGATGTCTAGGGCGGTTGTCGAGCCCGGGGGACGACGGGACCACCCCTGTTGCACGTATAAGGCTTTGCGCCAACTTGCATTCTGGTCGTGATGGCTGTCTCTCGGTCGAAAGTCTGATAACGACGCTCTCAGGTACGTCTGCTTCATGTCAATACCATGTACGCGTGCGTGAAGCCTCCGCCCGCCCTCTTGACCAGTAACCGGCGCCAGAAGAACTTGGCTTTGAGTAAATGCTGAGCAGCCCGTTGCTCGTCAGGTGTTGAACAGGCAACAAGGCAACGAGTCTTTACATCCTAGGGTCCCGCTCGGAGAGGTGTAGATGTTACCGTAGACGCTATTTCCATAAACTGCTAACATACCACATCCGTCGATCTGTTGAGCAAAGCAGGAGCACTCGACTGGACATGGTATGTGACATAATACATAGTACTAGTACTAGTACGTTCGTTCGTTCGTACGTAGGAGGATGGACAAGGACACGGCGACGCTTTACTGCTCGTTGCTGTTGATGCTGTTGCGCGTAGCACTTTTGACCTGCACAAGGATCAACTTTCCGCTTCAGCAGTTGTCAAGAAACAGCAACATGATGAGTGTCTGTGGAACCTTTGTTATCTGGTATTTTCTCATCGAGAGGATATTGTGGATATGGCTTGTACCAGGAGAGGGCAACCTTGGAGCTCGTGGCATTCGCTAGAATTGGCTTGCGGCCGTGGGATATGCCAGACTTCTAACCGATCCGGTGTCCCCATTGTTTGGAACGGAGATGTGTGAGTTTTACGGAGCCCCTGTCTCTTCAGTACATAAGACGGCAGGGAATGTCGGCCGGTGCTTCGGTGATGATTCAACGCCCCCTTCTCTTGATGTCGTGTCTGCACCGATCACCAGGAGTGTCTTCTGGAGTGGCTACTAGTTCACGACGAATGCTGCAGCATGCCGGCAGTGATGGGAGGTGAGAATCATCTGCTGCATCTCGTTGCACAGCAGGTTGAGCAGGCCGTAGGGTTATTGAGTAGCCCTCAGGCATGGATACGCACTATGCAAACTGTCCAAGGGTCAGCGGTAGGTACCAGGTAGGTACTACGTAGTAGCTGTACTTCGGAATGTCTCTCTCTGTAAGCATTGGCTGCATGGTACTGGTCGAGAACGGTCCTGTAGGCTGATGCATACCCTGAGGACGCCGCCGGAGTCGCTGTACGGGCTGATAGAGGTGGGCATGATGGTGAATCAAGGAAGGAGATTGTCACATCTTGGAAAGACGAGCATGACTGGCTCATCCTGCGCCGTTAAGGGGCCTGGTCAGGGCAGCTGAGAGAGGAACTTGAAGGTGGACAGAACTACAGGTACTCCTACCTTAGTACCAAGTGCTAACAGCAGTTGACATCAGGCACACATAAGGTACCTTAAAGTAGTAGTACCTCACACACCTAGATACGCACGTACCTGGCACAGCTGGTATCTACCTACTACCTTAAGGTACCTGGTAGAGCAATTGTAAATGCAAGTAGCTTCCTACCTCCTACTAGTAGTAGTGTACGGACTTGATCATGTCGCCCAAGTCGGGCACCGTCGCCTATATCGCACCCGAGACCCAGCAGCTTCGATGGTCCAACAAGCATTCACAAACACGTCCAGGGACCCTTGCAGGTTGCCAGCATCATACTATCAAGTGGCTTCTACCCTGTCAAAACACATGTGCCTCTGTGCCATATCAACCAAACACCATCCCTGGTCAGGCCGACGTTGATTCTGCTTCTTTGTTGACCATGCGCTGCCAGGTCTGTATCCTGACAAGAGCCGCCCTGCCTCCCATAATGAGCTCAGCCACCAGTGTTCCCAGAGGAGAAGCCATTGTTCGCTAGGACTGTCTGATCATCAATCATGCTTGCAATCATTCGTGCCTTGTGAAGAAGCAAGCAGCAAACAAGACTTTCAATGTGGCCGATGGCTTACCGGCCTGGTGTGACATGGACCCCTGAGCACCCTTCCAGTGAGCACTCGACCAGTCCTGGCAGTATTTCAGCCAGGCTTCATGTTGTGCGACCCGTTGTATCGTCTTCTGCGCACACCCATGCTGTCCACGAGCTCGTTCTGTCTCGGCTGTATTGCAACCAGATAAAAGAATAACCGCTGTGCCACCTCGGTAATTTCGACCACGACTGGTCCAATCAAGCTCTGGGTGATGGTTTCCAGCATTCTCATCCCCGGCTGAGCGCCTCAGTTCATCCATGTGTCTCAAGACTACATAACAGAAGAACATGTTGACTTCAGAAATCCTGTCAAGCCCCATCATTTCCGTACTTCTGGAGCATTTGTTCCGCATATAAGCCAATCTTGTTACCTTTCTTCTCTTCCATCTCCGGCACCTCCTGCTTGCCAACGCTGTCCTCGTAAGATGGCGGCTGGTCAGTAAACATGGGGCTACGGCCATCCTCTCTGGCTCGTTTCGGCGAGGGTTGTCCGTCCTCGTCACGCCCCGGAGTCGAGGTTGACATTGGGGTGAATTCCCGGGCGGAGCTGCTGGAACGCGTCTGGTCGATCAAAGGTACGTCTTCGAACTCGGCGTCAGCCTCGCTTACTGGGTTCTGTATGGTGCCTGCTTCCTGTTGCAATTCTTCGGCGAATGCTTGGTTGTCACGGTCCACAAAAAACCTGAGTGGGCGGCTCAAGTCCGTGCCTTTGAAACGCAATGCTTCTTCACTCGCATAGACAAGAAGCACAGAGTTGTGCTCTTTCTTCACAGCTTCGAGCACTTCGCTCTCGGTGACCTTGCTGACAGAGTAAGGTTTCGAGACGCTGGAATTTTGGTCGTTGTCCGCGAAAGATGTTTGTCCCTTTATGGCCGCATCAGCCTGTGCCTGCGTTACGGGTCCCATGACCGGCACCGATGTAGCGAGGGTTTGACTTCCATCTTGCAGCCATGAGCATCTCCACCATTGATACTCCAAGACTTCGGAGCTGTCTTGCTCCTCATCCAGTTGAAGAAGATCCTTGTTGAGCAGACGTAGATAGGTGATCTCAGGTTTGGTCGAAAGTCCTTGCAATAAATATTTGCGACGCGGAATGTCGGGGGTCTCCGGGGAAGGTCTGGTCAAATGCAAGGCGACTTCTCGACATTTCCGGCGAAGGTCGGCCTTCCTTTGCTCCAAGCTTTGTAGCTTCCGCGCAATCCTTTGAACGACGGCGTCAAGCTCTGACTTGAGATGTTCGACATCAACTTGGCTCATGTCATCTTCTGCCGAAGACGACGGAGTAGCATACAGTCCGTTTGAAACAGGTTTCTGACTGACCGCCACAGTCGAAACGTTAGCAGCAGCGTCAAGGACTTCGCGGATGTTGAGGATCCTGTTGTCAGGCAGCTTCAAGACTTCGCAACGACGCTGAAGGCTGGTGCACTGTTCGATGTCTCGACGTATCATCTGTAACTGTTTGCGCACCAGTTGCATGATTTCTCTGCATTGGTCCATATAGCGATCCGGGTACCATACGGGGTCAATGGTCAAGTCGAGTGGACTCTGACCGTTGCTTGGATCACGTACTCGGATAGTGAAGACTTCGGCGCAACGATCGATCCAGACATCGTCGAGGTTGCCCATGTCGTCGTTCCACACAGTCTGGTCGAGCAAATCCACTAGAGTCTCGCCAGGAATGCGATTGATGGGCGCTTGAACGTACGACAGCGTCCTTTCCTCCGGCGGATTGTCACCAGGCCCGGCATTCTTCATGGCAACAGTCGTAAAAGCCTGCGTCAATTGCTCTTGCGGGGCTTGGCGCATTGCGGCGTTATTCCAGGCTGTTAACCATCGGATAAAGGTGAACTCTTCGTTGGTGCTTCGAATGGCCTGCAAGTCTGCAAGGGCGTCGACACTGCCATACGCACGATTGGTCTTGTCCAGGAAAGCCATCAGACATTGGACTTCTGCGAGAAGATTGCACTCATCGCCGTTGATCTGCAGGGAAATGTCCGTGGACAAGGCTTTGGTGTTTTCGTTGGTTGACCCCGACCACCAGCTCCCGTCGTAGCCATAGTTGTGGACTTTCATACTGGGCATGAGCAGGGCTTCTCGTGCAAGAGGGATGCTGTGGTATACTGTGAGCAAAGGCGCCAGGTAGTCGGTCTCCTTGCTGCCACGTAGGAAGGCAGGCTCGTCGCCCACTCTCCTTCGTTTGGAAGGCGGCGGGTGATCGACGACCTCGCGGGACGTGGCAAACGTGGTCAAGGCCCAGTTAGAAGGATCATAATAGTCTCGAACCGCCGGGCCGAAGTGTGCGCCGGCGCCAGTCACCCCATTCTCTTGTGCTGGGAGATTTTGTCGCAATGACTCTTCCATTGCACGCTGAAGCGCTGGATCGTTCATTTCCTCCTGTTCTTTGAGCGTCTTCGCCGTGCTTGCCGAAGCTGCCACACTGTCAATCTCTTTGAATCGCCGAGCATATCCTGGTCAGGTAGGTACCTTGAGCATGGTCGGTAGACAGATCCAGTAAAGGTCGGTTGTTGTCAGCTCTTGAAGGCGGACGGGACATGGCAGGCACTCCGCTGACGCTCGCATCATCGGCGACTATGTGTAAAGCTCAGGTCAACATCAGTTTCTCGAGAGCATAGCGCATTGCAATGCATCAACAACGCCTTACATGGGAGATTGTCCTGAAACTGCTGCCAACCATTTGCCGGGACCTAAGGGTTCTGAGCAAATTTCTTGATAGACAGGTGCATATAACTGACTGCATCTTTGACCGATCCTACTGGATCTTCGTAGAAAGCGTTTACAGCCGTATTGACATCGTTGTTGCTTTTCTGTATGATGGACCTCAACATTGTATCCAAAACTATTGTCCTAACATCTTACCCTGAGCAACACTCTTGCGCTGAGCTCGTCCACTTGTGTCAACTCGCAGACTTGCAGGATCTGGTCGGCAGCGGGTTCTATGCCGGCCATGTTGAATCGCGAGACGTGGAAAGAGATGGGTTGACGAACATCAGACCGCGATCATGTCGATTCACGAGGGTGTATCGGTTCGGAGGGAGGGTCGGGAGGCTGCGAAGTTGACGAATTGAAGCGCAAGTCTCTCTATGCGCTTTGCATAAATGACTTGAGCTGAAGAGCACGTTTTTGAGGCGTGTGAAGAGATGTTACGACTCCGAGAAAGAAAGAGAGTAATAAGGTAGTGACGCTGTGAGCAAACAGCAGTCGGTTGCTGCCTCCACTGCCTTCCCCAAATTCTGTCAAAGAGACATCTCTCTCCACCCAGATGGGTAGACGCTCCGACGGCAATCACCACCACGACTGAGAGCTTTTCGGATGGTCCTCGTCTTGAAGCCATGGTCGACAATACTTATTTTTCAGTATCGGAGTGTACAACCTTCCTGAAAGTCGAATACACAGGCTATACGTGATTGTACAAGGCAGCGCAGCCTGTCGGCATCTCCAGGTACTATCATTCAAGCGACATGGGATTCTTCGACAAGGCTGTACTAGGGTCTTTGGTAACAGTAACTTATGATTTCAATAGGTAGTCCAACAGTACGTTTCTCATGCCTCAAAAGTGGTATCTCTGGCCATAATGGCAAATCCAAGACCTATCATCCGCACGGATATTGATAACGCCCGCTTCATCGTCCTCACTCATGCAGCCACAACTCCCAGATGCAATCCAAAACACACCTTGACAGCTATCCACGCGATCTCTGATCTGCTGGAAGGGCTGGAGTATTAGATGGTCTAGAAGTCCTTGAATGCCTCCTCCCATTCCGCCCTTAGATCGTCGGTATACCTCCCTCTTCCCCCCTCACTTTCTTCGCCCTCGATAGGATCCGGATACTCGTCAAAGTTGCCCGCATCCCCAGCCCATTCCACTCTCGGAATAATGGGACCTCTTTTCCTCCTATAGTAGATGTCGTCCCAGTTCACCCCATCGAAGAAGGGATGCTCCATGACTCGTTTGCTTCCTCCAGCGATGTGGCCTAAGCGCTGGGTGGGATCTGTCTTGCACAACGCGAGAATGAAATCGCGGGCGGCTCTGGGAACATGAAGACTGGGGCGGTGGCCCTGCGAGGAAGGCTGGGAAGTCGGAAAGCGGATGTGGCCAGCAACAATCTGCTCATATATGCGCATTGGATTCTGATCCCAGAAGGGTGGCTGCCCGATCAGCATTTCGTATACCAGAATGCCGAGCGCCCACCAATCCACAGCTGTGCCGTGACCGGTGTTACGTATCACTTCTGGTGCAAGATATTCCGGTGTACCGCAAAGAGTATAGGTGACTCCCGCTCCACTCGCTTGCGGCTCCGGATGCTCCCCGCTGGGTTTTGCGTGAGTAATTGGATGATTATCGGCGGATGTCTGTTGTTGGATGGGCGGCAGGTATTTAGCGAATCCAAAGTCGACTAATTTGAGGTGGCCATCCACGTCCAGCAAGATGTTTTCCGGCTTGAGGTCGCGATAGGCCACAAACTGAACCTCGTGGAGATAAGCCAGGATGAGAGTGATCTCGGCGGCGTAGAATTGGACGGTTGCGACTGGAAAGCGGCGAGCTCGCCTCAGATAAGAGAAGATCTCGCCGCCGGGAGTATAGTCGAGAAGCATGTACAAGGAGGTTTCGTCCGAGAAAGAGGTAATTAGAGTGGTAATGAAAGGGTGACCAGCGACCGCAGCAAGAACGTCTCGCTCATTGCGAACGTGTTCGACCTGTTTCAGTTTGATAACATCCACCTTCTTCAGAACCTTCAGGGCGAAAACTTTGTCTCGATCCTGGGGGGCGGGATTGGCGAAGCGACAGAGCCATACTCGAGCAAAGGTACCTGTAAAGAAGTAAGTCAATCAAAAATCCCCGAACTCGTTGCGCAGGGCACGCCATACCCGTTCCAAGTGTTCGCATCAATTCAAAGTCAGTGATCCTCAGATGACGAGACGAGTGGCCCAGCTGCTTCTTCTCTGGATTTTTCGAGATCTCCTCTGGGGGCATCGTCTCTCTTGCTCTGGCCGCCTCGACATGTTGAAGAACAAGGTCTTTTTCATGTTGGCGGCTTGGATGAGGGTGCGAAGCGCTTCGCGAATTGTGCGGGTTGCTCGATCGTAGAAGCGGTCTATGACCTTGCGCAGAGGCAGCGCGCTGCGGCGGCTCTTGCTGCGACGGCTGAAGCGTCGCTGTGCTCATCGGAGCAGCCAGCTTGCATCTTCCTCAATCTAAGAGCCGTGGAGGCTTGGGCTCATAACGATGCGCGAACAGGGCTCATGCGAAGCACAATGCACAGGGCAAGCAGCCACGCAAAGGTTGTTCAGCGACGACGGTGGGCGGACGAGACGAGGCTTTGCTGAAGTAGATGAAACAAGCGAAAAATGTTTCAGCTCGTGGGATCCAGGCGGCGGTGACAGAATAGAGTGTGTACCTAAGTTCAAGTTGTAGCAATGGGTAGATACAGCCAAAAACGCAGTCAGCCACCACCACTGGTAGCAGTGCGCAGGGTCTCTAACCGCCGGACAAGATCTTGAAGGCGCCTGATGTGAAAGTTGAAGGCATGACGACAGAAAGGACTGAGGAAGAGAACTCTCCCACCGCAGTGTGGCCAGGTCCCCGTACGTACTAGAAAAATGAAAAGCCCAAGCCTGCTAAGCCCGAGAGCAAGGCAACAAAAGAGGGCCGTTGGGGGTGGGACCAAGCCGACAAGGCACGCCAGCCGCTAAATGCTGAATGAAGGCTCGCCTAAAGGCAGCCATCGAGGTCTCGGACTGTTCCTTGAGCAATGACAGCCAGTAACGGGAGCGGGGGTTAGATGGAGGGCCGGCATTGGCTGCACAGGCCATCTCTACCGTTACACAGCCCGTACCCAGCATCTAGAAATGGAGTAATAGGTGACCCCAGGCTCTATTGTGGTATACTTATAGGGTCCAGGTACCTGGGTACCTAGGCACACAGATACCTAAAGATCCAGAGTGAGGGATCCTTAGGACGGCAAGGCACCCCGGGACAGAGTTACGGAGCAGCGCCTGATGAAATCTCAGCCATTGCACCCCGACCAGTGGCAACCGAGCCTCGTGAACTTGCCCGGTTGGGAAGAGACTGAAACTGCAACAAAAAAAAAACCACGCTTGGGAGTGTGGAACTATTGTGGTGGATGCAGCTCTTCCTTTTTGGTCGCCTGTTGAGTCCTTGCTCAAAGAACGAGACCGGTCGGTTCTGCTTCAACAATGCTGTAGGACGTCTCGCCTCTCAGTGAACCCTGGCTATTGTGGCATGGAGGCGCCATCTACCACAGATAGTAGCAGGACGTGCGGAGGCTCGAGCCGTGTTTCACCAATATCAACCATCTCAAGGACCCATTTGGAAGAGACCATCTTTCTGCCTTCTGCCTTGTGCGCCACAGTAAACACCTTCCAAGGTGGCCAGCGTGTCCTGATTGTCTATGTGCATTTTACAGTACATACCCAAAGTCGTAATCATAAATAGAAGGCCTCCATTTTCGAAGGAGGCGGATCGTGATCAAAGTGGCTTTTGTCGGATTGGCTTGAATGGAATATTTTGTGAACTTCAGTCCCCTTTCATGCGCTCATTTTCGGGCTTCCAGGACCCTGCAATCTCATTTAGTTGGGTCCGTACGAGCAGAGAACGTTTGGGGTGCATACCATCAAACTCATGTTTCACAAAGGCCATGGGATCCTCTGGCCCTTCGGCGCCCATTTGCCCGACCCCTGGACTGAAACTGGTGATGGGCAACACAACGACATCACCAATCTTTTTGTGCTCTCGGATGCCAAAAAAGTCGGAGTAAGTGACGTTGGTGGTGCGCGAGCTGAAATCGAAGTACTCTTTGTTATTGAAGTAAGAGAAGATGGCATCCGTCCACACGCCGGGACCCGTGTATTCCATAATGCTCTTGGCCGGCTCTTTGCCCTTGGGCAGTTTGCCAGCCTTTTTCATCTTCAGCGTGTCCTCCGTGATTGTGGCCACGATGTCTCTGAGAACAGGATGGCCGGGCTTTGACTGGATTGTCCATTGACAGAATTGTATCCGCCGAGCATACCATTTTGCCCAATCCTCTCTGTCCGGGTCAGCCTCAATGCCAATCACCAGGCCTACGGTAGACTTGTCGAGGCTCTGCGGCAGCCAGTCTGGCGCCGATCTCAGAGCTTGCGTGTCAATGTCACTGTAGATACCTCCGCGAGCGAGTAGAATCAGATATCGGAAAAAGTCGGCTTTGAGGACCGGGAGAGGCATGGCTTCGTATGCCTGCACCACCTCCGGCACCGATGCGTATAGATACCTGATGAGGTGTACTGCAGCGTCGTCGGTAATGACTTCGTGCACAAACCCGGGGTGTAACGCGGACCATGATGCCTCGAACGGTCGCAGTCTTTCTTCAAAGTTGCCCGAACCCGGCCCTCTCTTCCACGTCTGCCATATAAAGGCAGGAAACTTGGCCTCAATGTCATATGGAAAATGGTATCGTAATCTTTCCCGTAACGGCCAGCCGGTAACGTCTTGCACTGCTTTCTGATCGCGTTGAGGCTTGACCGGGGATCTCGGAGGAGGATACGGTCTCGATGGTAGTCCTGTCTGTTCCGACACCGATTTCGCCGAAGGAGGCTCTTGCGAAGACGGGGAGGAAGGCCGGAGCAGGAGGAATAGTGTAATGAGCACTGCTGCGATGAGGGCTGCTCGCCTGACGGTGTTCGACACTGCCATCATGAAGTTCGTCTGGAAGGCATAACCCCCAAGTCCTGGGCTTTGCTGTGACTCCTGCGCAGCTTTTTAGGTGGACTGAACGCGGTCTAGAACCAAGTTTTGCAGGCCAATTCACTATGCCGTAGGCATGAAAGGGGACCGTCGCAGGAACGGTGGATTCAATCGATTGCAGCGCCTGGTTCGAATTTGGTCGTGAGGGAACAAGTGTGATATTCAAGACCGGAGTGTGTCGTACATTTATCACAGAGCATGTCTCAGTGCCACAGCCTCGAGATCCCAGTCGGCGCCCGGCCAAGAGAAGAATGAATTGATTGTTGGAGCAGCGGTGGATCGCTTGAGAACTTCCCACGCTTGTGGCTGGCAAGACGAGAGCTGCAGTGGGCCGGATGTCAACAAGCTGATGCGACACGTTGGGATAAGGAGGAGCTGCGCAGGGAAATGCTAGGTGCTTACGAGGCCACAATAAATACAAGCAAAAACCATGACGAGCATCATGTCTCAGGATCTTAGGTTGTGGGCTGATGGTCCCCGGAAACCCTTCGCTACCACTGTTGCGGCGAACTCCCAGGTAAATCTGTACGCGTGTTGGCTAACAGCTGTTCCTTATTATTATTATTTACGGATCAGCACACTGACCAAGCGCCCCTGGCTGGATGATTCCGAGATCTTCAGTGTCACCTCCAAGTTGAAGTTGTCAACATCTTACTAAGGTACTGCGCGTAACCGCACCGTTGGGAGCACAACGACGGTCAGGATGGTAAGGTGTCGACAAGGGCTCCTTGTTGCAATTGTTGTAGCAATCTCTAGATTATCCGCACCATGAGATTCCTTGCGTATCCGACAACGGCTGATTACCACAGTATTCGGGCACCCTCCCGACGGAGAGATTTGTCGCAGTCCGTAGGCACACAAGAAGGTCTCCAATGGTTTTGCTAGGTAGGTGTGTAAGGTACCTTGATCAGATCGTGAGGGGCCTGATGAGTGTGAAACCGCAATTGATGCACAGGATGCAATTATTGACGATTATATAATCGTGGATCTGATCAACGAGAAATGGCAAGGAAGGTGAAGCGAGAACATTTCCTTCACTTCGACTTCAACTCCTGATTGGTGGTCGATGATGTGATGTTACTACCGGCCGCAGGCCATTTCACGATGCTGGCTTTATGTCAGCGACATGGCTTTTGTGACCTTTTATTCTTCAAAACTGCGACCGTAATACGCCCCGCCGGCTCTTCGTCCATTGTCCATGCTTGGACTCACCCAATCTACACCATGGCAGCTTCTCGAGGGGCTCAAATAGCTGCTCGCCTTCTCAGTCGAGGCTCCAAGTCTTTCAGTTCAGACGTCTCCCTGCTGGTCGACCGCAAATTTTATCCGCGTCCAGGTCATAAGGCATCGAAGACGACTACTCAGTGTCTCCATACTAGGGCAAGGCACCATGCTCAAGCTGCTGCTGCTGCTGTTCCTCGAGAGGAGCCATGGGAGCCTTCCGAACCAAGCAACCCTGCCATGGCTTTCCCATGTCTAGATGCGCAAGAGATGAAAACGGCTGCACTTCAGACTCGATCCCTAGAATCCGGTCCCGAGCCCTCGTATACCACTGGAAAGCATCTGGTCTTTCACAGCTCCGATCCGTTTCTTCTCGATTGGGGCGGCATTCTACCAGAGTTTGATATCGCATATGAAACGTGGGGGGCGCTGAACTCAGACAAGAGCAATGCAGTTCTGTTACACACTGGTCTGTCGGCCTCGAGCCATGCACATAGCACCGAAGCAAACCCCAAAGCTGGCTGGTGGGAAAAGTTCATTGGGCCTGGTGCCCCGGTCGACACCAACAAATATTTTGTGATATGTACCAACGTCATTGGAGGATGCTTTGGATCAACAGGGCCTTCCTCCATTGACCCCTCCGACGGACAGAGATATGCGACAAGATTCCCCATACTGACTATGGATGACATGGTGCGTGCACAAACCAGGTTGCTGGACCACCTTGGAATTGAAAAGCTTTTTGCCAGTGTGGGAGCAAGCATGGGCGGAATGCAAAGCCTGGCCTTTGGCGTGCATTTTCCGGAAAAGGTGCAGAAGATTGTCAGCATTTCTGGTTGCGCAAGGAGTCACCCTTACAGCATCGCAATGAGGCATACTCAACGCCAAGTTTTGATGATGGATCCGAAATGGAACAGAGGCTTCTACTACGACAGCATCCCCCCTCACACTGGGATGAAACTGGCAAGAGAGATTGCGACCGTGACTTATCGGAGTGGGCCTGAATGGGAGATGAGATTCGGTCGTCGTCGAGCCGATCCCAGGAAACAACCCGCATTGTGCCCGGATTTCCTCATCGAGACCTACTTGGATCATGCGGGAGAAAAGTTCTCCCTAGAATACGACCCCAATTCCCTGCTTTATGTTTCCAAAGCAATGGACCTCTTTGATTTGGGTCACGATCATCAAGAGAGCGTCAAGAGCCGACGTCAACAGAATGTGGGGAAATTGACCCAGCACCGAGGCCAACAGATACAAAGTGACCCATCCTGCAGTCTCACGTTGCCGTCCAAGAAATATGAGGAGCAGGAGCAGACAGCTCCAATGGATGAGGCGCTGGTCTCCGAGTCCGCAGGTGGACCGCCAAAGGACCTCGTCAAGGGAATGGGATCGCTTAGCTCGCATCCGGTGCTGGTAATGGGTGTAGCCAGCGACATTCTGTTCCCGGCATGGCAACAGCGTGAAATTGCCGAGACATTACGGGCGGCAGGAAACGGGCGTGTCACCCACATCGAGTTGGGCGAAGACATCAGTCTGTTCGGGCACGATACATTCCTGCTAGATCTGGAACATGTTGGAGGCCCGCTCGGGAAGTTTCTGCAGCAATAGTCAGTCGACCACCAACGGACAAGATCATGATTCCACGAAGAAAAGCCACAATCATCTGTGAATAGATCTTATTATTTTAGACCCTAGTAATCGTCACCATGGCTTCGGTACCACAGCGGGTGCTCTCAATTCATCACACAGCACTAATTCATCTTCCGTCGAATAGGTATATTCGCTTCAACTCTTAGAGTGCAGAATCAAGCCCACAATGAGGCCATAGAGCCCCAATACCTCGCCAAAGATCAGAATGAGAACCATGCCAACAAAGATTCTCGACTGTTGCATGTAAGACCGCACACCCATATCACCCACAATGCCAATGGCGTAACCAGCAGCCAAACCTGCCAGTCCAACGCTCAAGCCGCTGGCGAGGTGCATGAAGCCGGTGAACAAGCTGTAGTTCTGTTGAGGCGGTGGACCCATGTCCCCAGCGATGAGGACGGCGATGACCAGGGCATAGACTGCAATGATACCAGACATGACCACTGGAATAAGAGACTAAGACCAATTGTCAGACGCACATGAGCTGCCAGTATGAAGTGATCGTTCCCAGACCTTCATGATCAGATCAGGCCGATATTGTCCAACGCCGGCGATGCCAATGCCCGATTTAGCGGTGCCATAGGCTGCTCCCAAACCTGTATGTATCTTAGTGCCTGCTCAAAAGTGTCCTTCAACATCGACGTAGATGCGTACAGCCAAAGATCATCTATACAGCGGTCGTTAGCGATGTGCGTCTCCGTGAGAAGGTCGGTTCGAACGTACAGCAGAAGCAATACCAGCCTGCTTGGTCGTCAGCATTATTCCGCAAGGAAGACAAGAGGGAAATTACCATGCCAAAGAAGGGTGCGAACTTGGGCGAGTACTCGCTGCCCAGCCCTTCCATGGTCGTTGCCATCGTGCGAGGTCGGGATATAAGAGATGGACGTCACCAGGGAGGTGGTAAGAGTAATTCAGCGCGTCCGAAGCAGCTGCTCCTGAGGTGAAAATGAGAAAGAGAGGAGGGTAGCTGTGAGGCGGGCGATGCGATGATGTGCAGTGTAGTGTAGTGCCTGTCCAAGAGACTCGAAAAGCGGCCACTGGTCATTTCTACAGAGTGGTAGGAACAGGAAGCTGGCGCGGGTAAGAGCAACCCCCCGTCAACCAATCACAGCCAATCCCTCCTAGCGTAGTCCGTCCCGTGAAGATGCAGTAACAGCAGCAAGCAACAGCAGTGTGAAGGTTGGATCCTCAATCCAAGTTCCCAGCGCCATAATAGCCAAACCCATTCCCATACTAGGTACTACTACTACTACTACTACTACTACTACTACTACTACTACTACTACAACACATACACATACTCATACCCATAACTCATAGCCTACCTTATGGCATAACCTCTACTTCCATAACCACCATCTGCCTGTGGCATTATTCGTCCAATATCTTCAGAGCACATCTCTCCATCTTCTGCTCTGTTCCTGCTGGCATGAAGAGAGTATGAATCTGCGCGGTATCATCTGTAATCGCAACCGACCCGGGCACCTCCTCCATGCACAAGAAATAACCCAATTTTAACGAATCAGCCACTTTCGTCCTCCACCGCCGTCCACCCCTTCATCCGTCTGTCTCGAGACAAAGAGATCTCCAGCGCCTGGTGCCCTGCGGGAGGACGGCAACCTCTACTGACACCGACGGACGGCGCAACACCAACACCGTACCTGCGACCTTCCCAACTCCTTACCGATCGTCTCCCGCGTTGCTCGATGCACGTCCAGTGACATTTACCCTCCGCAAGGCTGTTCATCAATTGCTATCTCTTGACTGAGCATGGCAGACTATGGTGCGCCGGACGCTCGCTACCAGGGTGCTAGGGCCGCAAACTATGGCGGCTCAGCCGACCGTCAAAGAGATGCCGCGTTCCATAACATATTCGGGGGTGCGCCGCCTCCAGGGAGGTCGCAGACAATGACAAGCCAGTCCGCAAACATGATGTATGATCGGCTCCCCAGCATGAGCTCGGCAACACAGTCTCCACATACCATGTCGATGAGACAGGGCCCTCCACCACCGATGCGGCAGATGCCCCAGGGCTACGATCGAACAAATGGCATAGCACCAGGACAGCCGTACATGAACGGAATGAATGGGACAAGAGCACCACCACATAACCCAGCACCGATGTTTCCAGATCGGAGACCATATCCTCCACCTCAGCGTATTGATCTTCGGCCAGGCGGCCCGCCCTCCATGCCAATAGGCCCGTATGATCGCAAACCAGTCCCGAACCGTATGCCACCTCCAGCCTTGAACAATGATGCTTTCCGGTCACGATCTATGGTGCGACCAGGCGAACCCACGCTAAGCTACAGACCTCCTCCCGGCAGTTACCAGCAGGGAACCGCCGGTTCGTTCAGACAACAGCCATATACTTCAATGGGTGCTTCAAGGACGACTGCACAAGGAAGGCACATACCTGAACGACCAGACGACAATAGGGCAATGTCCATGGGGTCGTATTCGTTGGATCGCGATCACGCACAGCAATTGACAAGTGGAAGGGTTGTACCTGGACGTCCACGGGAACAAGAGTCGGATCCTTTTGCGGATCGTAACTCCATCAGCGGCTCTTTTGTCTCGGCCAACTCTCCATCGTATGGTCAACTACCGCATTCTCGGCGCCCTAGTGAAGCAAGTGTTCCTCCACGTACCGTCTCAGCAGCCTCTGCCACCTCAACTTCATCTGACCTGACAACGACGACCTTGAACGGATCTCGTAGTGACAGTATGAAGACCAGACCTACTCCTACCTCCCAGTCATCTGGGCAAAGCCAGGCATCAACAGTTGTTCAAAGAAAGTCACCTCTCGTCTATCCTGCTCTTCTTTCACGAGTGGCAAGCGTTTTCCAGGAAAGAATCGGTGTAGGCGACAGAACCAAGAACGACCTCTCTTACAAGAACGCCTTTACGGGTGCAGAAGCTGTTGACTTGATTGCATACATCATCAAGACCACCGACCGCAATCTGGCACTCCTTCTCGGGCGAGCCCTCGATGCTCAGAAGTTCTTCCACGACGTCACTTATGAGCACCGCCTGAGAGATGCCCCTGGGGAAGTGTACCAATTCCGTGAGACCATGGGAGAAGAAGCCTCATCCAAAGATGTGAATGGTGTGTTCACATTGCTTACAGAATGCTACTCACCGACCTGCACCAAAGACCAGCTCTGCTACTCAATTGCATGCCCAAGACGGCTCGAACAGCAAGCGCGGCTCAACCTCCGACCACAACCAGGACTACGACACCACAATTCAAGAGGCAGTCTACATGGGGATGATGACCAGGAACAGAAACTTTGGATCAATAGCGTGCCCAAGGAGGTGGCCGATAAACTCGATGACCGAGAGAAGAAGAGACAGGAAGTCATCTCCGAGATCATGTACACCGAACGCGACTTTGTCAAAGACTTGGAATACCTCCGCGATTTCTGGATAAGACCACTGCGCGGCTCAGGTCCTGGCCCATCCCCGATCAAAGAAGAGAGACGAGAAAAGTTTGTGCGCACGGTGTTTGGCAACTGCCTGGAAGTGCTGGCCGTCAACGGAAGATTTGCCGAGGAACTCTCCAAGCGACAGAAGGAGCAACATGTCGTCCACTCCATTGGTGATGTGTTTTTGAAATGGGTGCCTCAGTTTGATCCCTTTATCAAGTACGGCGCGAATCAAATGTACGGTAAGTACGAGTTTGAGAAGGAAAAGGGCGCGAACCCGGCCTTCGCGCGCTTCGTCGACGAAACCGAACGTCTCAAAGAATCAAGGAAGCTCGAACTGAACGGTTACCTGACCAAGCCGACCACGCGGTTGGCCCGATATCCACTTCTTCTGGACAATGTTTTGAAGTACACCAAAGACGACAACCCGGACAAGAAAGACATACCCAAGGCTATCGGCCTCATCAAGGATTTCCTGGCTCGTGTGAACGCCGAAAGTGGCAAGGCGGAGAATCATTTCAATCTCCTCCAACTCAATCAACAGTTGAAGTGGAATGCCGGAGAATACACGGATCTCAAGCTCACGGAGGAGAATCGCGTGATCCTGACCAAGATGAGTTTCAAGAAGAGTCCCACCGACACAGCCGAGGTCCAAGTGTATCTGTTCGACCACGCTGTGCTGATGTGCCGAGTCAAGAATGTGAACAAGAGAGAGGAACTTCGCGTGTATCGAAAGCCGATCCCATTGGAGCTTCTGGTGATTGCCGAAATGGACCAGGTCATTCCCCGTCTCGGCATCGCCAAACGTCCGTCGTCAAGCTTGATTCCTGGCGCGAAGTCGTCCATGTCCAGCGCCCCGGGTCAGAAAGAGGTGTATCCAATAACATTTCGACACCTTGGAAAAGGAGCTTATGAACTTCAATTGTACGCCACCTCGATCACGCAACGTAAGAAGTTCATCGAGCTGGTTGAGGAACAACAGCGAAAGCTCCGCGAGAGAAGTAGCAATTTCTACACCAAGACCATTCTTTGTCAAGGCTTCTTCAACGCTCAGAATCGGGTTAATTGTCTGGTACCAACCGATGGAGGTCGCAAGTTGATCTATGGGACCGACAATGGGATCTATATCGCTGATCGTTGGCCCAAAGACAAATCCACCAAGCCAAAACGCATTCTGGACGCCACCCAGGTTTCGCAGATTGACACTCTGGAGGAGTATCGACTTCTCCTGGTCCTCTCCAACAAGACACTCACCTCTTATCCGTTTGAGGCTCTCGACGCAAACAATCAGAATCCTCTAGCCACGAGACCGCGCAAGATTCAAGGACATGCCAACTTCTTCAAGGCCGGAATTGGCTTGGGAAGACATTTGGTGTGTTCTGTCAAGACCTCGGCGCTATCCACCACCATCAAGGTGTATGAGCCAATGGATGACCTTACTAAGGGTAAGAAGAAGCCAACAATCAGCAAAATGTTTGCCAGCGGTCAAGATGCTCTCAAGCCTTTCAAGGTAATGTCATTGTCCTCGGATTGCCGAGAGTTGGTGCTAATTGTTCATTCAGGAATTCTATATCCCGGCTGAATCCACTTCGGTGCACTATCTACGATCAACCTTGTGTGTCGGATGCGCCAGAGGCTTTGAGGTCGTTTCCTTGGAGACCACCGAACGGCAGTCTCTACTTGACCAGGCCGACACGTCTCTGGATTTTGTGACAAGAAAGGAAAACGTCAAGCCCATCCACATAGAACGTTTGAACGGCGAGTTTCTACTCAACTATTCCGACTTTAGTTTCTTTGTCAACCGGAACGGCTGGCGTGCTCGGCCCGATTGGAAGATCACCTGGGAAGGCACACCGCAGGCGTTTGCATTGAACTACCCATACATTCTCGCGTTCGAGCCCAGCTTTATCGAGATCAGACACATTGAGACCAGCGAATTGATTCACGTCATGACTGGCAAGAATGTCAGGATGCTTCATTCTAGCACACGAGAGGTAAGGCAGCCCACCTTTTTGGGGTTGCTTATTGCTGACTGACGATTGGTCTAGATCTTGTACGCATACGAAGACGAGAACGGCGAGGATGTGATTGCCAGCCTTGACTTCTGGACCCAGGCACAAGTTTGAGCATGATCCGGGGTTTGGAAAAAGCACTTGCACGTCCGGAAACGGTTGCCTTTCCTCTTCCCTTTCTTTTTGCTTGCTTGCCCTTGCAGCCACCGGGATTGGAGAAATCAAAGGATTGAATGGTTGTTTTGAGGGTCGATCATCTCAAGATGGTAATTTCGAATGGGGAGAACATGGCATGATGTCTGCAAAGCGCGGTGTGATGGGGAGAAACGAGAACGACATGAAGGATGGGAATGTCATGGAGTGTGTTTCATTTCATTTTTTTTTTTTTGCTAGGAGCACACACATTGCAGATACGTCGAGTCGTCGACCCGGGTTAGCTGAAAGGCAGGCAGAGCTCTGAGACAGAGTGTGAGAGACACAGAGAATACGATGATCGGTCACCTCACTAGTGTTTCGTCGTCCCACTCCAGCCTTGTGCTTCGCTCCTGATTGAACCAGTAAGGCACTGGATGAAATCAGGTAAAGCGCCTCTACGCCCTTCTGGACTTGCATCCCCTTTCGAAAAACATGGTGTGCTGTGACAGCAACCGAAGACGAACCATATCGAACGAAAGTCGGTGAGATATATTTCAAAGTGACTAACAGGCCATCTACTAGTAAGGCAAAACTAGCCAGGTTTGTATTGGATTGTGGGTTCGATTCCTCAGATGTTATAGTGTCTAGTTGAGGTATCCAAGAGAAGTTGCCTAGTCCTCGCTCAGGTGTAATACCTCCAGAGTCCAGTCTGCCGTCTGCCGTCACTGTCTAGCATCCAGAAAGGCTTCCAACACTCGTCGTTTCCGCGCATCCAGAGTCTTCTTATCTCTGCCTTTGACGGTCCCATCGTTCTCGGACCGAATGACGACCGGTGCGAAGACGTCAACATACGCGCTGAGCAGTTTCTTCCGGCGTTCGCCCTCAACCAGGTCCGGACCGGTCGTCGCCGTTGCCGTTGCCGACGAGGTGGAAATGCTCCGCGTGCGCCGGCGTCGTAACGCGGGAAAGAGACTTCTTTTGCCGGTGGCGTCGGACGCGGCCGGCGACGGCGCATACCCGGAATCACTGGACAAGGTTGAGGCTCTGGACCGGCGGGACGGATTAGGAGAGGAAGCGGGTGCTAGGTCGGGAGGATGGAGTGACGAGGCTTCACCGCAAGGGGTCAGTTCGTTGACGACCCGGGTCAATAGAAAAGTGATGAAGGTCAACGACACGCTGTGCACGGGATACCGCGAAATCGAGTCCATGACCATATCCTGGATCTCGTCCGACGTGGCTTGCACCTTGGCCTTTTCCGAAACGCTCAGTCGGCGTTCCACCTCGGACCACGTGTCGGCCGAGATGATGCCGTCTCTGAGGGAGCGCAGGAACGCGAGGAGCGTCTCGGACAGCACTTCCAGCCGCACCAGACCAGGGACATGCGGCTCGAAATTGCGGTCGAGCGGGCTCGCCGTGTCTAGTGCTTCCCTGACGCCGGCCAACAGCTCCGCCCGTTCTTCGCCGTCGTGGAACGTCCAACTGGCGGGACTGAAGGGCCAGGAAAGACCGCCGGTCTCGTACTGCCAGGGCGGAGTGGCCTGGCCGTGAATCATCTCCCATTCCGCCATCGACCGTTCGATGTACTTGGGGATAATCTCTGTCAGGGAATACAGCTCTTTCGGCGCCGAGTGGTGGGTCACGGTGCTGCGCAGATTGCCCGTCCCCGTGGAGTCTCGGTTGGTGTGCGATTTCGGGAGTGCCCGCACGCCGCCTTCGGGCGCCAGAACCAGTTCGTCCAGTGTACGATAGAAGGAAGACTGGAGCCATGTTCCTCGGACTGGAAGGAAATGATCGCGGCCGCCGTCGATCCGGAGGACCAGGATGTCGTCCAGCTGGACGTTTCCCTCGTTCAGATCATACACCAGTCCACCGTCGGCGATGTTGACCATCAATTCCACCGTCGTGGTTTCACCGGGAGACAGCCGGACCGAGGTCCCAGGGTTCGTTGCCGGTTTGGCTTGGTCCGTCTGGTCGTTGGTGTTTGGGTCCAGATGGACCTCCAGCCATCGTGGAGCAACACCGGCATCCTCTGACGAGTCGGTGGGACGTTCGACAAAGGAGAAGGACGCGGTGATTTGGCCGGTATTGGCTACGGTCACGACTCTCGATTTCCTCACGCGGTAACGTACCTCTCCGAAGTCGACAATGTTCATGTCTGCCGCACCGTCAGCGTTGGGGATCGGGTCGGAGTGATGGTCCACTACCACCGTGACCGCCGGACGCCCTTCATTCTCCGCCTTGTCCAGCTCTCGAGCAACCTCTTGGTGCACTTTGGCCTTGAGTTCCGGAATGACCGCGTCGTATGTGAGCCTGAAGACGGCAGCGAGGGGTTTGTGGTCCGATGATAAGATCCTTTGGTGGGAGTGGTAGCTGAGGAGTTCGATGGCATCCTCGTAGTCTTCGCGGGTTCGAACCAGCTCGGCATCGTGTGCCGCGTCTTGCCGCTCGTCGTAGTCTTCATAGTCGTCGCCATCGGCCGTCCCGTCCGTCTCAGGATCGTAGTCGAACAGTACATCATTCTCCGCCGTGGCTTGATCGATGCCACGCGCCTTCATTGATTCGTCCTTTTTGCGTGCTTCCTCCAGCTGCTTGGCTCCCTCTTCGTATCTCTGTTTATCACGTCGTGTCCGGAAGAGGATCCGGTCACACCAGCTGGGACTTCTCTTCTTGTCCCCGGAGTCGAACATTCCCACACTCCCGACGTCGTATTTGTACGTGGGTAAGAAGTTGATATCTCCTTCTCGCCAACCTTCATAGAATGCTTTTCGCAGCTTCTGCTGATTGCGCAGTTGATCATGCGCTAGCAGAGATTGAAGAGTCGTGTGCAGGGAAGCAGGATCGGATTCGGGATCCAGCGGTGGCTCGGCCGTACTCTCGTTGGCAGGTCTCTCTGCATCATTATATTCGTAACGCTGAGATGAAGCGGGCAATGAGTCGTTCGGCGGTGGGTCGACGTACCCCAGCTCGCTGTCGATTCGACGCTTGGATTTGTTGGCCATGTCGTACTCGTTGCGAGTATGCAATAACAGCAACCGCCGCACGTCCTCGCCCGGAATGTCGTCGAGTCGATAGTTGAGATCTCCAAACCAGAAAGAAAAGTCTTCGTCTCCGATTTTCTCCTCCCCTAGCTCAACTACTTCGCCATCAGGACTGACGGCCGCAAACCGCGTTCGACTCAATATCTGGTTGGTGTCCCAGATGCGACGATTCAAAGCCGTTTGATCGGCTCCAGCCGCGAGATGACAATTGACGAAACAAAGTCGGGTCGTCTCGGCGACCATGATTCTGGCCGCGACGGCGCCTTTGTTGCCCAAATATCCCATCAATCCTGTGCCTACCGAGGTTGTGCTGACCGAGCCAATACTTGGAGCCAGTGCTGGAGAGGCGTATATCAAGAGGAGGAGGCCCAACAGCTGTTGCTCGGCGATCTTCTTGTAGCCCGGCGGCAGAGCACGTTTCAGCGCCTTTTTCCATTTCTTGCCGGGGTTCGGGTCCGTATAAGGCCTCACAGCCTCGGTCATGGACGTCACATCCACGACCTCTTGGAGTCCTAGGACGTACAGGTCGATCTGATCTCCGCTTGCTTCCGCGGCACTGTCGCCATGGGGGACTGTCGTCTTTTTCTTTGCCATTCGAGCTTCTTGCGATTCGACCGACTCGATGTTCTCGTCAGTATCGGAGTCGTCATCATCATCGTCATCGTCTTGAGAAATTCCAGACAAGTTCTGAGCAAGCCCTTTGGCACCATACCCATCAACGAACCAGGCACCCAAATCCTTTTCGGTGCCGTTGATAGCAGCGACATTCCAGGTGCCAATCTTGATTTTCATGGACTTCTTCCGAACATACTCATCCTTTCGAGCTCTTACCGCTGCCGATAGTGAATGCGGCGCCGAAACGTGGATTTCCCGCGAAGCCGGCGACCTTGAAAATCTACCTCGACGTTTGGCTTCTCCTGTAGCCCAAGGATCGGTTGATCTCCACGGGGCTGGGGAGAGCTGTCTATCCCCGGATCCGCCTGTGTAGTTCGAGGACATGGCTGCTACAGAATCGCAACTGGAGTAGCTTGGAATTATGACCGTCTTGTTGTGTTAACGCATTGTGGAAAGCATGGTAAGCAGCAAAAAGACTGCCAGTCCTGGAATGCAGTCGGAGGAGGAGTAGCTCCCAGAGCGTGGAAATGATGATGATGACAGCGCCTCAGGCAAGAAGATTGATAGGTCTCCAGGACCAGGTGTTGAAAGGAGTATTTTACGAGCGCAAACGAAGACTGGGGCGTGTCTGGGCCCTTGCTCTCTTATGACATCGTTCAGACCAGATACTGGCCCAGCAGGCATAAAGTACTAGGTAGTAAGTGGGAGGAATGAATGTTGAATGGATCGATCAAATGTCGTCGGTTTGCACAGCCCACCAATTGCGGATTGGTGCAGGTGGTCGGATCGCAGCGCTTCGTTAAGGTACGTAGCAAGTTAGGTGGGTAGGTGAGATAGACAGGATGCGAACATGGAGCAGATGTTGATGGCGGAGGATAGATCGATCCCTTGTACCACTGATCAGCAGTGATTCTATAGAGCAACGATGTAAACAGGGATCCTGGAGGAAAACGCAGTCTGGTCTTGACTATCGAGTCTCGTCGACGTCCATGTTCGATGCCGATGGCTGCCTCCGCAGCGTCATGCCTCGTGCTACTACAACGTCCATCCTGATCATTCATCAAACAAACACACACACACACACACACACACACACACCATGGAATAAAACATCCAGCCAACTCTCAAAGTGCATATCTTCCATTCATCATCCGCATCCCACCGATCCCTCACGACTCCTAGCCATCCTAGGACACATCATGGTCGGAGTCGCATGGACAACTCAAGATGAACACTCGCCCTGTTATCGATGACTCCTCCGGGCCGATTGCTCTGTCGGCCTCGTTCAATAGCGATGCCAGCTGCTTCGCGGTCGGTCTTGACACGGGTTTCTGCGGTACGTCTGAGCTGATCAGGCTGCCATTTGCGCATCCATCCATCCATCCATGTTGCCGTTACTGACTCGCTGCGCAGTGTTCAACTCGGACCCATGCGAACTCAAAGCCTCCAGAGGTAGACTCCCGTCCGCGCCCTCGAATCCACCTAGATGCTAAGAGATACTGCAGATCTAAATGCCGGCATCGGAGCGGCTGAAATGCTCGGTCGATACAACTACCTTGCTCTCGTAGGAGGCGGAAAGAATCCACGATGGCCGCAGACAAAGGTACCGTCGAAGCAGGGGAAGGACCAAACACAAACACAATCTGATGTAGGGCTCTAGGTGATCATCTGGGACGACGCCAAACAGAAAGTTGCCATTACTCTCGAACTCAAGACCGCCGTCCTCCGCGTCTGTCTTACCAAGTCATGGATCGCCATTGCGATTCAGAACAGCATCCACCTCTACAAATTCTCGTCTCCGCCCGAGAAGACCGCCATCTTCGAGACGGCAGACAATCCATTAGGACTGTGCTGTTTGGGCGACCGCCTGGTGGCCTTTCCAGGTCGGTCACCAGGAAAAGTCCAGCTCGTGGAATTGGGGTCGGGCAATGTTAGTATCATCCCAGCACACACCTCCGCCCTGCGCGCCATGGACCTCAGCGCCGATGGACAGTTCTTAGCGACGGCGAGCGAAACAGGGACTTTGATCCGCGTCTTCTCGACCGCCAACTGTACCAAGGTCGCCGAACTTCGGCGAGGAGTTGATCCCGCCTATATCTTCAGCATCGCAATCTCTCCGAACTCCAGCATGCTTGCCGTCACCTCGGACAAGTCTACTCTGCACGTCTTCGACCTTCTTGGTTCGCACGCCTCCCAACCTACTAGCCCTGGCAATCCAGCCCGGCGCTCTCAATCGCCCAACGTGGCCGGTGACGAAGAGGCGTCCACGAACCAGAAATGGGGCTTTCTCTCCAAGATACCCTTGTTGCCTCGCGTGTTTTCTGACACATATTCTTTCGCCTCGGCGCATTTTGAGATGGGCGATGAAACCACAGGAATCAACGGCTCTTCGCTGGCATATCTCCCGGCTCTGGGCTCTCTACCAAATCGGCCGCAGAAGGGGACTTTGGGGTGGACAGACAATTCCACCATCATCTGTATCGGCACAGGCCGCGATGCCCGGTGGGAGCGATTCCGGATTGGTGAACGGCCCGGTTTGACCGACGAAGGTCAACGGGCGATCTGGAGAGACGGATGGAGAAAATATCTGGGAAGCTGAGACGATGATCATCTTGAAACTTGCGGCACAGCACAATCCACTTCTGCGGTGTCCCCGCAACCCGCATGGAAACAATAGGCCATGGCCCGGCCACGTCTGAAGACCCGACCTCAGCCTTGTGAGCACGACGTCCAGCAATGTCCCAGAGCCGCTGGTATTGGGTCTGAGGAAGACGGATTCTGCCCAATGACGGGCTCAGTCGAATGCGAGATCAGCATGCACAGCCGAACAGTGTCTCCCAGGCCATGATGCCGCACTGCAGCAGCTGGAGAGCCTTTACCAGATTTGTTATTAGGGATACCCCGACGGCTTCGTATGGCGCAGCAGGCAAGCATTTTGACGGAAGTCGGCAAAGAGCAAGTCGACCGGCGAAATTGCTCCCGGGAAAGAGCAGCCTCGGTCAATGGTGGATGGTCTCCATACCAGACAAGGACTGAGGCACGAAAGAGTGAATCGCGCAAACTATTGAACGCACCTAATCAATAATAACACCTTGTCTCATCGATTACAGTGGCTGTTACAATACCAACGCACTGCAGAGGATGAAAGATTATGCTTGGCTAGTCAATAAACATGGTTGCTTGCGCTCTTGAAACTACCTACAGGAGAACATGAACACTGTGCAAGATCAAACACGCGCGCGTTGTATGTGTGTGGCCCAAAACCCATCCCATTCCACGAGCCGACCTCACCACTTGGACGCCAGCCTCCATCATTTTTATGGCTCTGATGCGAAAAGCCTCCAAACACTCTCTACCATGCTGTTTCCCTTCCTTCGCAACGCCCCTCCGCACCGTAACCCGACACTGGACTTTTCTTGCTCTCGCCCCCGAATCAAGACGGCAGCTTCCCACAGATGCGACACCGTGGCTACTCCAGGGATTTTCGCTCATCCCGCCCAGTCGCAGGCCAAAATCCTCAAGTCCGATCAGAGGCAAAGCGAGTCATCTTGCGGGAAGACATTGCACGCCTGCCGCTGGCACTCCCACGTGCTCTGAACCAAAAACGCCTCTAACTCATCGCCTTTTGGTACTGGAAGTTCCCAAACCCGCCCGGCGTCATACTTCCCATCATGCCATGGTTGGGGATCGGAGTATGGGATGCACCGCCTGCCATGCCGATGTTTCCGGTCAGTGGCGTCGTGGGCGTGCCGTTGTGGTTGTAGAAGGTTGCGCCGTTCATGCTTGGCGTGCTGTTGAAGTCGCGACCGCCGGTTGGCATCTGGGCGTTCAATCCCCAGACCTGAGAGCGGTATTTGTCCTCTTCGATGGTGCCGTTGAAGATCTTCTCCTTCATTTTGAAGTACACCTGCCCAGTAAGCAAGGAGTCCGAGCCAGCCTGGTGTGCTTGGCCGTGACGGGCCACGGCCAGTTCCTCGGCGACATCTTGAAGACCGGATTTCGTCATCAGTCGTTGGACTATGAGCGCCGCTTCCTGGGTCAGTGGTTGACCGCTATTGACTTGCCCCTTGACGCCGACGTGCTTGAGGATGAATTTGATGTCAAAGAGAGATGGGAAGAATTTCTCCAGATACTTGTGGAATTGCACCTCGTCTTCTGGCAGCGGCTTGCACACCATAAGCTTCATGAGGTAGCCGAAGTCATAGCCCGAATGAAACGAAATCCAGTGCACGTCCGGATCTAGGACCAGGCCTGAGCTGATCAGTAACGCGCCGAATTCCTCTGGATCAATGCCATGCTTGGCATGTCGGTCGAAATCGATGCCGGCCTTTGCGAGCATCGTGGTCGAATCTCGAGCATACATATCTGACTCAAGGGAAAAGCGGAAATTGAACTGCCATGTGCAGGGAGTTGGAAGCAGGGTTGACTGGAATTGTGACTTGGCTTTGCTTGTGTGTGTGGGATCAGGTGGAGGAAGTGTTCCGTCGGGCTTGAACAGGGTGATTCCAAGCTGGATCATTTTGAGGAGGTCGACATTGCACCGTAACGTCTGATAGTGGTAGTCTGCTTTGGTAGTGAATTGGCCGATCGGACGGGCAACGATGCCAGGGAATTCTGTGTCCTGTAGAAACTGTGGTCAGCGAAGTCGCAAAACAGAGGGCAATGTGAATACCATTGCAATGTATGGGTATGTGTCGACCAGCTGCCTCAAGGTAGCCATCTCTTCTTTCAGGTTGTGCTTCCAGACATTCCGAATTCTTGTATCATCTTTATTCTCCAGCGGACCAGCTAGACCGTCATAGGTGTGATGTGCTTGTACTGGACCTCCCCTCGGGAAACCCATCTGTTGCATCTGACCGGGAAGCACCCCGGCATCGAGCATACTCCGGTCGAAGCCATTGTTCAGATTTCCGGCCAAGGCGAAGGGACTCGCGTTCGAAGAGCCGCCTGCGCCGAAGGAAGGTGTGCCAAGGTGGGTTGGAGGTGGCAGAGCACCATGTTGATGCGACTGCAGGTGATTTTGTTGGATGTGATAGGGCCCGTTGAGGGACTGATTCCCATAACGAGGAGGAGCCATTATGTGTATGGGTTAATGCGATGAGGTTGGAAGAGACAGACGTTCATGTGTGTTCATCTCGGAGCAGCAGTGATAGATTTCAACGGCGCAATGGTGGCTGCGACATGGTTACTGGATTCATAGATTCATCAAGGAGATAGGAGGTTTGGGTGAATTCATGTTCAACGTTAAGTTAATGAATCAAAAGTACATGGCGAGTTGAAGAAAGACAGTGAGTTCGCGGACTGTCTGTTAGTCCGTCAGTCGGTCGGTCATTCCGCAGCGGAGGCCAATTGCAGTGACTGACTGTGTGACGCGAGATGAAGTGCTGCGCCGTAAATAACTACAGTGGGGGACTTAGAGCTCCAAGCGTAGTCTTGGCACGAGCTGCATCTCGGATGGTCATTCAGTCATGAACTACAGCGCTCAGGTTGTTACATAGTTACTGACAACTCGCACACGATCTTTCAGGAACTTGAACTCAGTTGGGCCCCTGTCTCCGACTTGCCTGGTGTGCTGCCGCCGATTCCTCGCTCGAACCGACCACAACATAGTCAAGAGCACCCGCCAATCCCGCAACGCCCCGCGATGGCTTCCCCGAACAACCCAACCGGGTTTAACATGAAAACCTTCACGGACGCCGCCACAAGCAGAGAATGGAGAGCAAGAGATCCATGGGCTAAGAAGTAAGAAAGCGATCACCACCTCGGTTCAGTTGAAGCGCATGCTGACCACGGACTAGTGAGACCTGGCGGCACACGGGACCCTTTACTCGATGGAATCGATTGAAGGGAGCGTTTCCCGGACTCGGCATTGCTACCGCTGCGTTTGCAGGCTATGTTATCTTTGAAGCACTCTTCCTGAAGGACTCGCACGGCCATGGGGACGGTCACGGAGGGCAACACCATTGAGGGCGCCATGAAACCCTAAGGCACAAAATGACCGCGACTTGCTCACCACCAAGTGCTGGAGTGAGCCAGGCAGGACTCCTCAAGCGAGACGAGGCCAATACAATTGAGACTGTACATATGGAGAATGGATGACTTGGTGTTTAAGCCAACAAAGCAAAAAGAAGGTGGCAATAGCAAGCATGGAGTATTTGCTAAGTTACTAGTAGTTGCATGACAACCTGCTCCCAGCTTGACGAGGCTGCAGCCTTATCGACCCTGCGGTATAGCGTGTTACAGAGTGATCTGCAAGGCTCTGTTTGACCATCGTGCTCAGCATCATAGAATGTGGTCCCGTTAGCTGTCAATAATAGAGGCTCTCATTATTGGTGAGCCACCAGCAAGGCAGATACGAAGCAGACAACGAGAACTTTGGAAGGTTGTTTCCGAGGTTGTTATCTCTCGCATCCAATGCTCTGTAGATCCGAATGTCAATTAAATCGCACTGTCACCATGTGACCCGCAAATCCGGGCGTATTCCATTTGAAAGCCAATGCGTACTGGACTGTTATCAGCGCCCCTTCAGGAATAGCTGAGCCTCGCACAACAGAGAAAGACGCAGAGACGCAGGGCGGACTCAACAAGGCTTCAGCACTCTCAGCAGAGCTCGTGGTCACCTTCTGTTCCGAGAGCAACCTCAACAACCCAGACCCTTCGTTGCCAGGACCACTATTCCAGCCTCAACCCGTGTCGCCGTGAAGGGGCCCATGTCCGAACGACGCCGCATCGAAACCCGAAAGATATTGCAGAGGATCCGAAGGCGTGGAGTGCCGCTAAACCGCAAGAGGCCAAAATTGCCATGACATGGATCTTCAAGCCCAAAAGAGGAAAGCGACCACGACGGCAGAACGAGGGCGAACAGGCGAACAGGCTCGACAGGGCTCAACAGGGCTCTTATCTGCCCGCTTTCCTTATCGTCTATACATCCATGGTGTCCACGAGCTGTTGTCGAGCAAATCGAGCAGCTTGCTCCATGGGCCAAGGGTCCTCTCTGCTCGCGGTTGATGTCCCGGCCAGGGTTTGGCATCGCATTGCCGGATTCGCTTGTGAGGAGTCGAGGCCATCGCCTTACATATTAATGTAGGTCTGCTGCCCTCCTAGACTCTGTTCTCTTCCTGCTTCGTTACAAGGCGCGTCCCCTGAATTCTTCCCCTCATCACTCTTGGGCATTCTGGTCACCGGCACCGGCAACGGTAACAGCAACAATGGTCCTCGAGCGTGTGAAGCAGTTGGCACAGCAGGTGTCCAACACTGTTGCCCCCGCACACCCCTTCGATCCCCTGTCCTCGCTGGAGATTGAGGCGGCCGTGTCTATCCTTCGCGCCAAACATGGCAAACTATACTACAACGCCGTGACGCTGCTGGAGCCTCCCAAGGCGGAGATGTTGAAATGGCTGGCCGACCCAGAGACCACTCCCAGACCTCGCCGGGTGGCCGATATCGTGGTCATCACCACCGACGGCAAAGTGTTCGACGGCAATGTCGATCTGACCGAGGGCAAGGTCATCAGCTGGAAGGAGACGCCGAACGTGCAACCGTTGATCACGATGGAAGATCTGAACGCCGTCGAGGAAGTGATGCGCAAAGACCCCAAGGTCATCGAGCAATGTGGCTTGGTCGGGATTCCGGCCGAGGAGATGCACAAGGTGTACTGCGATCCCTGGACGATTGGCTATGACGAGAGATTTGGAAACGGCGTCAGACTCCAGCAGGCGCTGATGTACTACCGGCCTCATGTGGACGACTCGCAATACACGTTCCCGCTCGATTTCTGCCCCATTTACGACGCGAACAAGAGAGAAATCATCCACATTGACGTGCCCAAGGTGCGACGGCCCCTCAGCAAATTGCCGGCCAACAATTACCACGTCCAATCGATCGAGGAGATGGGCGGCTACCGAACGGACATCAAGCCCATCAACATCACGCAGCCCGAAGGCGTCAGCTTCAAGATCCAAAACCGCATCCTCGAATGGCAAAACTTCTCCGTGCACATCGGCTTCAACTACCGCGAGGGCATCGTGCTCAACAACATTACATATTTCGACAAGAACGAGAACAAAACCCGACCGCTCTTCTACCGACTCTCTCTGGCCGAGATGGTCGTCCCCTACGGCAACCCGGAACACCCGCATCAGCGCAAACACGCCTTCGACCTGGGCGAGTACGGCGCCGGGTACATGACCAACTCGCTCAGTCTGGGCTGTGACTGCAAGGGCAGCATCCACTACATGGACGCCGAGTTCGTCAACCGGGCGGGCGCCGCGCAGACGATCAAGAACGCCATCTGCATCCACGAGGAAGACAACGGCATCTTGTTCAAGCACACCGACTTCCGCGACGACTCGATCATCGTCACCCGTGCCCGCAAGCTGATCATCAGCCAGATCTTCACCGCCGCCAACTACGAGTACTGCGTCTACTGGATCTTCCACCAGGACGGCACCATCCAGCTGGAGATCAAGCTGACCGGCATCCTCAACACCTACGCCATGAATCCCGGCGAGGACACCAAGGGCTGGGGCACTGAGGTCTACCCGGGCGTCAACGCCCACAACCACCAACATCTCTTCTGTCTGCGCATCGACCCGAACATTGACGGACCGAAAAACACAATCTTCCAGGTCGACGCCGCCCAGGGGCCCGGCGAAGTGGGCTCGGCCGAGAACTTCTACGGCAACGCCTTCTACGCGAAGAAGACCAAATACACCAACCCGATCGAGGCCATGGCCGACTACGAAGGCTCGACGTCCCGCTCGTGGGACATTGCCAACGAGAGCAAAATCAACCCCTACTCCCACAAGCCCGTGGCTTACAAGCTGGTCAGCCGTGAAGTGCCGCCCTTACTGCCCAAGAAGGACTCGTTGGTGTGGAAGCGTGCTGGTTTTGCGCGCCATGCTGTTCATGTCACAAAATGTGAGTTTTGCTTTTCCTTTCCTACCTGCCCTCCTTGATCTCTCCCTCTGCCTGTCCGCCTTGATCACATCTTCCTTCCTTTTCTCCCTTCGCAAAGAGAACTACTTGATTATATCAGTCACTAACAATCCCAATCACAGACTCCGACGAACAACTCCACCCAGCAGGCCGCCACGTGCCCCAAACCTCCGGCGAACCCTCCATGGGTCTCCCGCAATGGATCAACGCCAACCCACAAGCAAAGATCGACAACGAAGACATCGTGCTATGGCACACCTTCGGCCTCACCCACTTCCCCGCCCCCGAAGACTACCCCATCATGCCCGCCGAGCCCATGAGCCTGCTGCTGCGGCCGCGCCACTTCTTCCTGCGCAACCCGGCCCTCGACGTCCCGCCCAGCTATGCCCGCACGCCCAGCCAGATCGCTGCTGGCAAGAATGGGTGCAATTGCAAGGATAAGGCGAGCGTGCAGGTTTAGGTTTGGGTGTACATTTAGCTCTGCGTGGATGTCGACGAGTCTATTTGTTCATGATGGTCCTAGCATGAAAGCTCTCTCAAAAGATTAATTTGGATCGAATCTGATATGTGTTGCACACTTCAAGTATGAGTTTCTCGGCGCGGGTCTTCCCAGCGTGTCGTAGGCTAAGCTCCTTAGGTATTTTCGATATAATGGTTCAATGAACTGTTTTGTGTTCTCCGTATAAAACAATATTGTGTGTCAGATCTCGTCTCGGATCTGGGTTGGTCTTAATGAGAAAGGGAGGGCTGGTGGTTCTGAAATGACGGGTAGTATGGTGACTCTGTTGGGTATCTTCCATATATACATTACCATCGGTGGGTATATATATTAATATCTGCGAGCCAACTCCGCCTCCCTGCGACAAGTGAATCGATTTGCACAAGATGATTTCTTTTTAATCGCCTCGAATAATAATCATCCAAGCCGCCTTTGTAGTATCAAGTAGATTGCCCTTTTCATGACCATGTCTCCTGCTTATATCGTCCCACCTTTTCCAGTCTGGCGAGATAGGATTCCGCATCAGCTTCGGTCTGGATTGGTCCCTCGTCGTCCTCGTCCCCGCCATCGTCAGGCTGCTCGCGCGCAGAATTTACCGCGGAGAAGGAGGAGGTCGCAGAGTCATGCAATGCTGTCTTAGCCTCCGATCTCAGCCGACTTTGATGGACAAGCGCATCGACAATAGCCTGCCGTACTGCCTTGGGCATGCCGCCGGAGGAGCCACATACGATGATAGTTGCGGATTGGTCGCGCAGGTATTTCCATACCAGGTCGCTCCGTTCGCGGATCTGGTCTTGCACGTAGACCTTGGACTTGTGGTCGCGCGAGAATGCCGGGATGACTTCAAATCCGACGTCAGCTGTGGCGTTAGTCTCTGATATTTGTTCCCGTGTCTGACTTTGAGCCTGCAACTGTTGCTGTATAGCAGCCCACTCATCGCGGAAGAAATAGTCGGCCTTCTCGTTGCGGCAGCCGAAGAACAGCGCGGTTCTACCACAGAGCTGACCATGTTGTATCTTCTCGTGAATCAGCGCACGCAGCGGCGCAATACCCGTACCGGCGCCGACAAGGATATGAGTTGAATCCTCCAGACCAGAGGTTTTGGAGAAGCGACCTTCTGTCTTCAAAGAGACCTGCAGCGTCGTTCCTACCGGCAGCTGTGCGAGGTATTTCGTACACACGCCCTCACGGATGCGCTTGATGACGGTCCTATACTTAACGATGGCCACCAACAGCTCGAAAATGGTTGCCCTGCCGTCTTGGGTGTATTTCAACGCGCCGCCGCTCGCGATGCTGAACTGGCGTAGCCGCAGAGGCGGGAAGATGTTCGTCACTTCCTGCCATGGAATCTGGACGGAGTCGAACTCCTGCAGGATTTCAATCATGCTTCGTCTCGGCCGAGTGGCATAGTCGTAGTACTCGTCTAGATACTGTGGATCGGTGAATTCCAAAAGTCGCTCTTTATGCATCTCATTGCTGGTGTAGTTCGCGATGGCACCGAAGAAGGATCGTCGAGGGATGGCGTTGATGTCTGGGTATTCGGTCAAGAGGGTGCGGAGGGTGAGATCTGTACGGGTGAATATGGGATGGAGGGTCGAGAGATTGTTTTTATTTGAGCGAGTTGAGATGAGACGTATCGGTATATCGGCAGCTGCATGCCAATTCATGCGTTCAATCAGAAACGATACATCTGTGGGCATGTTTCGAGGGGAGATGGCCAGAGCGTCGCCCGGCATGTATTCGATCCTTCCGCTGGCTTTCAGTCTCATGAACCTGACATCTTGCCAATGGTCGGATGGCGTTACTCGCTCTTTCACCTCTAACACGGCAGCGAAAGAGTTGGCAGAAGTGTTCGTGGCGTTGAGATCTACTCCGTCGGCGCTCGATGGTGTCTCGACGGATTGAGATCCTGTTAGGACACCCTCCAAGCGGTATTTGCTGGGTAAGAGGACTTCGTTTGATAAGGTAGTAACACCTTCTGGTAGTGGGAAAGTATCCAACACAGTCTTGCGGAAAAGGTCCAGCCATGCCAGGAAAGAGCCGTCTGTCCCTTCATCCCCTTGCTCATCAGCTTCACATGGGTCAATGACCGGAGTGGCCCCGAGTTGTCGCAGTCGTTTGTCCAATTTCCTCGCAGCCCAGTTGAACTTGGGATAAGAGCTGTCCCCGAGTCCAACTAGGGCATATCTGATACCCGCTAGGGTGGTGGGAAGAAGCTTCTTGCGAAGGAGACTGGTCCAGAATTTCCGAGCATTGTCGGGGAAGTCACCCTGGCCAGTTGTGGAAATGACGAAGACGGTGAAGGTATAGGCGCTCAGATGATTGTATTTGACATCATCCAGGCCTGCGACGTCTGTGTTGAATCGAAGTCGCTCGAGACAGCGGCTGATCTCTTCAGCAAAATCCTGCGAGGTGCCGGTTTCTGTGCCGTAGAGGATGAGAGCAGACCGTCCCTGGACATGTTCGGTTGTTGCACCCATCGCGAAGTATACGTCGCAAACCGAGCATCATGTCGGCTGGACCATTAGCCAACTCATTATAGGTGGTTTGTCACTGTCCTTGCGATGATTCTAACTCGGCGCTGTACCAACATCGGATGGTGATCTGTTACGACAGAACAGACATTGGCATATCGGGTGTGTTGTACTTTGCCGTAGCAATGCCCTCATCTTGGCACTATTCCTCGGGCGAAGCATTCAGCTCCAGACGTGGTTTAGATGCGCAGGGACATCACAGGTATATCACTCCCTCATCTTTGACAGCCGCAGCTTGACTTCATCCTTACAGATACCATCTTCCACGGCCAGCATCGCTGATACTCTGCAGTCTGGCAAGCTGCTCAACGTCATGCATCCCGCCCGACGCCGTCGAAGAAGACAACATGACCCCCTCCATCGTGATTGGACTACTATATCATGCAACCCCTGGCTTGATCACCAGGCGCAATGTTTCGAGCAAGGGTAGAAATACGAGTGACAACTCACGGCCTCAGACTCAGCCACCTTAGATTCACCATGTCTATAGTCATACGCATGTCAACACCATATCTGAGTTCTATCGACTTTGACAGTCGTTTGGCCGCGGCGTATTATGTTTGTGAGTCAACTGCTAGTTTGGAACTGTTTGAATCCGTGATGGCACCGAATCGACTGGATGTCTCATGTCTTGTGAAGAAAGGTTCTGGCCACGACTGGGATGATTTTTCGAGTGATAGTCTCGTCTCATGCCTGGCAAAATTCATGGGTGAGGCCGAGTCCCGCACTGATTTGACAGACGCCCGAGCCTTTCTTCGGTCTGTGGTGGGATTAGGCGGCATGGGTCTTCTGTTTGAGCATAGATGTTGGTCGCCCATGCTAGACTATCTGGGTTTCACGGGTTACGACGACGCCTTTTTCTTCGCTGATACTAGTATATCTGACTCAGCCAGAGTCTCCATATCTGGTCGTCTGACAAAGTCGGTTCGTCGGTGGGCACAAGAGGTAGCTATGGCTGGTCAAGACTTGAGACAGTACGGCGAGTGGGAGCGTCAACTTTTCGTCGAACGGGACTTGGAATCTCCATTTGGGGTAGTACTAGGGAGCTTTTCTGAAGATATATCTGTTTCCATTGTGGACTTCGCTTTTGGAGACAGTCCGGACGATTGGCATATTAAGGTGGAGGAGTCGCCAAACAAAGACCCTTGGAACAAGATTGTGGATTCACCGCATGATGTCGAAGATGGTGAGCCTGTGCTACACGTTCCTGGAGCCTGGCCGGACGAGTCTTCCTGACGAGATCGGCCATTGAGAAGTCAGCAGGGAGGGCCTTTCATGAAAGGGAGGCCAGGGACCCATCACTGTCTGGCCGTTTCCGTCTCTCAGCCTCGTCAATGGTGGAACAGGCGCCGGACGATATGGGATCCTTCTGACTATGGTCAGGGTGAAGCGAAGGGTGCAATATAGAGCTCTGGAGGAAACAATCAAACATGCGAGATCGAAATGAGCCATTCCAGTATTTAGATTCTGCACTGTGCCACAAAGTCTCTCAGCATTGCTGTTAGACTCACAAACCCCCAGTCTGTAGGATCAGAAGTATGCACCATCATCATCACCGCCACGCCCACCACCATAGGCAAAGCCATCGTCATCATCGCCGTCCCCGCCATCGAAGTAATTCTCGGCATTGTAATCGTCGCCGCCTCCATCGTCCGATTCCTCAAACTCCGAATCGACAGGCTCGTCGTCGGCGGACCCGTCATCATCATCATCGTCGTCGTCATCATCCGCATCGTCATTGTCGTCCCCGGCATTATCGTCGTCCTCGTCATCGTCCTCATCGTCGGACCCTTTATTCTTGTCCTTCCGATTCCGCCGCGGTTTCGGCTGGATCTCTTCCTCAGAGAACTCGTCTTCGGCATCGAGGCCGCGTTTCTCGCCCGCCTTGTGCGTCGTCAGGTCGTCGCGCCGCCGTTTTGCGGCCCGAGTGGAATTGCGCGACCGCCGCGCGCCGGACAGCAGCGGGTCCGAGCCGTCCGTGTCGTTGTTCGCGTCGTCGTCGTTATTCTCGTCGTCTTCATTTATCGCTTCTTCAGCTGCCAGGTCGCGCTTCCGCTTCTTACGCGGCGCGTTGGTCTCGACGTCGAAGTCGATGTCTGTCGATTTCCAGAGCGGATGTCTCCGGCGCGGGTCGAGGAGTGGCCATAGTTCGGGTGGGAAGTATCTCAGTTCTGTGGAAATCAATCAATCAGTCAATTTCGGCTCAGTCAAAGGAACTCTTGTTTTCCCTCTCTTTCTTCCTTTCTCTTTCTTCCTCTAGTTTCTCAGGGGGGGTTGTATTGTGTTGTGTTGGGTACATACCGTAATCTCTCCCACTCAGATCCGGCACCGTCCGTTTCTTCTTGTAGTATTTCGCCGTGTATTTCTCTTGGTCGTTGAACGGGTCGAAGCCCGCGCGCTTGATCACTTTCCCGGTCTTAGGGTCGGCGAGGCTGCTGGGGTCCAGGACGGAGTAGTATGGCCCGTTGCGTGCTCGGTCGCGGAACCGGAGGTAGCTCTTCACGCAGGATAGTTCGAACGCGGATATGGGTCGCGGGACGGGTAGTTCGATATCCTATATCACAATGCAACGATCAAGGTCAGTTCTCTTTTTCTTGCTCTTGCTCTTCTTGGTTGATATGTATGTAGATGTGGTCGTGATTTGTGCCTTTTCCTTGGGAAAGGTCTCTGAATACATCTCCCTTGCACAGGTTCGAGGCCAAAGGCCGGAGCGTCGAAGGCATGCCAGACGGGAAGGGACAAGCAAAAGTGTTTTTGTGCCGGCTTGACTTACAGGAAACTGCGGCGCGGGTCTGTTGGGAGCATTGTATGTCGACGGATCATCTTCCTCGTCGTCCCAGGACAGGTCGGGCCCGCGTTTTCCACCGCCTCTCCCGCGGCGCGCCATTGCGAACGAGTGGGCTTGATTGCAGGAGTAGGACGTTCAGGGATCGGAAGCGCTGTCTCTGGCAAATACCGTTGGAGAACGCCGGGGGTGTCACCGGGTCGCATGTAGCATTGTGGAGGTTGGTTTGCTATTGACGAGGAGAGGATCGGGGAATCTTGTAGTCTTGGACGTGAATGAGAACAACGAATGAGTAGGTGAATGTAGACGACTTTGCTGGGATTCCGTTCAAGTTGTTCAAGTTGTTGCGTTCAAACCAGAAAATCGGCGGCAGAATTTTGGAGCGTTGGTGGAGCAATCGAATTCAGCTTCACCGCCTTGCGGGTGTTGACGAGGCTGAAGGGACGAGGCTGAACGGCTTCTTTATCTACCTACCAGTAGTACGTTTGATACTCTATGGTAAACAGGTCTCTAGGTATCCTATGAGCTTGACCATTTGGTTTGTACGCCAATATCCATATCCTTAATGCTGTGTCTACGCCAAAGGCTGCGAAATCATATCGTAGGTATATTCCTCCGGTCCCAACCCTAGCGCCTTCAGCTTCTTCACGAACGGATGGTCTGCCCTCTCGGACATCATGCCTCGCATATGCTCCTTGCCGATCTGTCTCTGCTTGTCTTTCGTGTCTTCCGACTGGATAGAAACCATAGGACGAATAGTGGCGGTGGGACTAGGCGAGAAGAAGAAAGGAAGCGATGTCCTTTCCGTATTGTCCTAGACAGTCGAGTCAGCACCTTGATCATTGGGAAACGATGGGCAATCTACCTTGGCGCAAACACGATGGACAGTGGAGCGGAAGCGTCCACCCGACATCAACTCGAGGTAGCTGCCGGTGTTGACGACAAAGGCGTACTCCTTGACTGGAACGGGCACCCAGGTTGCGTTAGCATTGAGGACTTGTAAGCCACCAACCTCACCTAGATGATCATGTCAGTAAAGATACAAGCTGTGAAAGGATGTCCTCGATCGTACGTTGGGCGAGCAGCGTAAAAGCTATAGTCTCAAGTCAGTTCAGATTCTGACACAGAAGGAGAGAGACCGCAACAGAGGGACTACTGACCGCCGTAATCAGCGTGAGGAAGGAGGACTTGTTTGGACTCGGTTTCCTCAGGCTGTGGAAGGTAGTGCTGGACAGTGATGTCGGTAAAAGGCGTCTCGAAGAACTCATCTAGAGCAGTCTCCTCCAGGTCCAGTGCGAGCGAAAATATGCGAACCAAAGCCTTGGAAAAGATGTAGACGTCTTGGACTATCGATTTCGTTAGTCAATCGGGGGGATCATCTCGTCGCGGAGCTCCAGGTGGCATACAGTAACTGTACAGTTTCTTGCGAAACTCCGGCAATTCTTCATCCGGCCACTGGTTCAACGGCACCGTGCCGGGAGGCGCAGTCTTGATGGCATGTTGCTCTGGATCGGTGTAGTCGTTGCCCATGCCAAAGGTTTCTCGAGCTCCCGCAAAGCCTGGCCTCTTGTCGCTCGGGTTACAAGGAGTGAAGCCTTTGGCCGCCGGGCTGTTGTTGACGTGGTATTTCATCTTTGAATGGATTGTCAATGATCACTGTCCTGGCATCGAGCACTCAATACCCACCTTGACTTCGTCGGGGAGCGCAAAGAAGGATTTCAAGGCGTCAAAGGCTTCGTCTATTCGAGACAGACAATGTCATCAGAATTGACCTCCTCATATTTCAACAGGATTGTGGCAAGTCCCTACCCATCTTCTCTGGCTTCACCGGTGGATTGACCAGGTACATGAATCCTACTTCTTCTGCAGCTTGGCCGATTTGTTTCGCAATCCTTCTGCGCACTTCGAGGTCGGGAGAGAATATGTCGGCCACATCGATCGTTGGGATGGAATCGAACGTCTTCTTCGCATTGGCACCGGTCAGGATAGGACGGTACAGAAGCCTGTCTCCGCTCTTGAAGTAGACGCCATCGGCGCTCTCGGGGATTTGCATTGTCGTCGAGTCCAGCTAGCGACAAGAAGACTGCAGAGCGTGATCGGAGTATGTCCGTTGCTATACAAGAAATGGTAGTAACGATTCTCCCAACACCACACGCACACGCGCAGACGATATCACACACGGCGAACAAGAGCAAAGAATAGCTGGCAAAGGATATTGCAGCGACTTTGAATTCTTCAACAAACAAAACACGCAACCCGTCTACTTGGTACCCACCAGACGCGAGACTGAGGGCGAGGCCGTGAGATGAGGGGCATCGGCATCGGCATCAGCATCAAGACGCACGTATTGAACTGATAGGGATGCAGTCGCAGTCCAACATTGCATGAGTCAACCAAGGCAAATCGATCGGGAAGCGCCATGAACCGGCGAGATAACGTCTGGCCATTCTTCTCTCGCTATTGCCCTCGGCAGCCTCGTGGAGTGGAGCTCATATGTCTCTCTCTGGTCCAGGAGTCTTCGGCAACGGCCATCACTCCACATCAGGTACGCTTGAATGGAGTTACAAGCGGACGTTCCTCCCTATGAGCGCTTGAAGGGCACCAAAAGGCAGAATACTAGCCTCGCCAGGTTGTTGAATACAATAGCAATACCAATGCTCGACAAACTGCCTTCGCCATGCTCTGACTCCAGGCCGTTCCCGTACGACACGCCGGGAATCGAGGCAAGCTCATGGAACAACAGGACAGCATGTTAGGTCCACATCAGCAGGATTCAGCAAACCACCTTCCTGGTCCCATTCGATCGGTGACCACCGTGGCGAGCTCGACCAGCTGGTATCGTTCCTGACAGAAAAGATCACCTACGGGATATTCAGATCTGTGCAGAGAGAGTATCTTGAAGCTTACACCAACGACAAGTCGAACTAGGCTCAAAAAGGCTGCAATGTGCGTCTCCCAGGGGGCTCCAGCACTGGCCTCGTAAGCCTAAGGAGCCCTCTAGCCACTGAGACATCCCCATCCCACGTCAAATCAGCGGTGGCTTCTATATGCTATATCCCTCGACCCCTACGACCTGTGACGATAAGCAATCGTCCGCTTCGTCAGCACAGCGGCCAAGCCTTGAACGGGATGTTGGTAAGACACGAACACTACTACTCTGTACGTCTCTCCGTACGTCTCTCCGCTCACAAGCTGGGAGACGCTATCTGAGGCACATCAGGGAAGAAGAGGGTCCACGACGGGGTCTTTTTGCACACTATCGGAACGGACATACACGCCTTTCAAGCCCCCTCGAGTCCCGTTGAGCCCTGGAAGATGGAACACCCTATTACCGAGTATCCTGTCTGTGCCATCTCGCCTTCAAGCCGACGACCATTCTTCCGGTCTTATCGCGCTCCCTTGGCCTGCCGGTATCGCCTACCACCTACCTTACCTCATACATGGTACGTGTAGGTACATTAGGTACCTTACGGGGTACCTAAACACTTACTGTGAGAAGGCTTGGGCCAGGCCGTGGTCCCCATATGGCGGGGCAAAGAGGATAAGATGACTACAGCCTTTGGCCTGTCGCAGAAGTCTCCTCTCTTTCAGCAGCGTCCCTTACTTTCCTCTTTCATGATCCATCCATTGTCTTGCTACCAACCCGTTCGTGTTCACGTCCACGTTCATGCTACAGCTTCCACCTGCCACCCGCCCGGCGATTCACCCCACTGCCTGCCGGAACTGCCGACGGAGGGGGCGACGATGCGATAAGACCTTGCCGACCTGTCTGAGCTGCAAGAACAGGTTGGTGGCATGCGAAGGCTACGTGACTCGCTGGACCGGGGTGGCAGCACGCGGAAAGTTGGCTGGCAAGTCGAAACCCGTGCTAGACGATGAGGAGGAAGGGAGGACCAGTCCCGAGCAACCTCGCTGCTCCCGGGCCACAACATCAACGACCTCGGTGTCGCCACGCCAGCGACAACGACATCAGAAGCAGCTTGCCGCAAGCCAAAGGCTCGGCAGCCTCAAGACCATAGGCCAACCCGACTCGCTGCGTGCTGACGGCCTGGACGTCTTCATCGACTATTGTGAGTGACGGATCGCCCGATTGTTTACTGCTGTCTATAAGGGCTCCAAGCATATCAACCCGAGGAGGTCTTCAATGGGGGTAAAAGCTGACCGATGCGATCCAGTTGTACATGAACTGAGCTACATTCCATACCTGGGATCAAACCCGGGCGAAGGACCATATCTACGCTATGTGCGACCCCTCACCAACACCGTCCTGCCTCTGCGCTACGTCGTAGCAGCATCAGCATCACTCCATCTAGCATCACGACTATGTGACGAGCCACTGCGAAACCGCAGCCGCGAACTACAGCTGAAGGCGTCGGTACTGTTGCGGCAGAGGCTCACTTCAAAGACCTTTTCGATGGATCATGGAACTGTGTTGACGATGCTTATGATGGCTCAATTGGATGTATGTGCTGCTGTTTCTGCTGCCCAACCTCTAAGCCTACAACGGGTGTGTGTCTAACATATCTTTTCGCCCTCAGATGTGCACAGGTGATCTCGCCGAGTTCGACATCCACGTCCCGGCCGCAAAAGCGTTTGTCCGCGCCTATGGAACAGTCATGCCCGACAGGAGCTACTGCGAACAGCGGCTAGCATGGTTCGTACACCCTGAAGCGAGGCGAGGAAACAACTACGTAGTCATTCTGACTTTTCATTCAGGTGGGATATCATGCGAGCCACGACCTCGACCCGACTCTTGACCTTCACCTCGACCGACCTGAAGAAGACCATCAGTCGATACCAGTCGCCACACGGCGGCCGCGAATGGGGCTGCGACGCGTTTGCCTGCCCTGTCGATCTGGCCGAATACATTGCCGACGTGACCATGCTGTACAAGCTGCAGCCTGCCGACCGACCGTTTGCCGCGGACGTCATGCAGAGGGCCGCGCTGCTCGCCTCGAGCGTCAGGGCCTGGACACCCACGCAGTCATACTCCGAGCCCATGTCGCACGTCGTCGGTGCCTGGCACGCCAGCATCCTCCTCTACATCATCCGGCTGTTCCGACTGCACGAGCATGAGAACGAGCACGACGAGGCGCACATGTTCGACGACACCGCCGCTCTGCGTGATAGTGTCTTTGTGCATGCGCGGAGCGTGCCCACTCCCAGCGCCTGGAGTATCGCCATCCACTGGCCGCTGCTGCAGGCGGGCCTGTGGCTCGAGCAGCCCGACGTCGATGCCGAGCAGCGAGACTGGCTGCGGACACATTTCACGCGCATGATGCGCCATGTCGGCTGTAGGCAGTTCACCACGGTCACGCAATTGCTGGAGTCGGTCTGGGCCAGCAACGAGTATCATAATTCCATCACGGCCGCATCGTTGGCAGGTCCTTTGGTCATAGCCTGAGAAGAAAGGACGACGAATGGCTTTTGGCCTCCCTACCCAAAAAGATCTCAAAAAGCCGGATACCCTGATATCAATAGAAATTGAGATCTCTTCACTCACACATAATCACGAATTCCTCATTTTCCTGCCGATTGTGGCTGTCTCCAATTGGCACCTTTTTCTAAGCTCGGTTTCTTACGCGGTTCCCTAAACCTGGGTCTCCTCTATCCGTCTGGCGGCTACAGCTTGGTCGTGCGATTTTGAAAGACGGAATCGATCTCCTCGACAATGGCCTCTTTGACCGGCTCAGGCGCCCAAGACATATCCACCGCATTCTTGGCCAATTTCACCATGTCGTGGTCACTGAAGCCGCAGCGACTCTGCACCAACAGCATATTGTTGACCTGCCAGTTGTCGTCCATGTAGGCCGGGTCGTCGCTACCGATCATGATCTTGACCCCTTGATCGTACAGCAGCCTGATCTTCGCATACATCGGCTCGGCCGGCTGGTGGCGCAGATACGCACATGGACACAGGGTCAGGCCCAGATTGCGCGACTTGACCAGCTCGATCAGCTCAGGCACATCGGCGGTGTTGATGCCGTGGTCGATGCGGTCCGCCCCGGTGCCTCCCATGGAGCAGCAGGCCTCGCGGATATGGTCGTGGACGTCCTCCTTGGCGCCGTCGTCGCAGTGCGCCGTCAACTTGAAGAAGCCGTCGGCGCGGGCGCGCGACCAGACGTTCTCGAAAAGCGACGGGGGCAGTTTGTACGATTCCGAATCCAGCCCCAGGCCGACAATCATGTCGCGGTAGTTCAGCGCGGCCTCGTAATGCTCCATCGCGGACTCGGGAGACATGTCGCGCAGGATACACATGATCCATTTCGACTTCACGTTGAGCTCTTTCTCGGCGCGCTCCGACGCCTGTTGGAATCCAGTCATGAACGTGTCCCAGCCGACGCCGCGGCGCGTGTGGCCTTGCGGGTCGAAGAAGACCTCGACATACCGCACGTTCATGGCCGATGCGCGCCGGAAGTAGTTCATGGCCAGGTCGTAGTAGTCTTGCGTCGTGTGCAGCACGTCGAAGCCGTCGTAGTATGCTTCGAAGAAGCTGAATGTTTCGACTTCGGATCGCAGATGTTCCAGGTCTCGGTACACTTGGCCGGTCCGTGGGCTCTTCAGGGTCAGGCCGTTGCGTTGGGCGAATTCCCACCGGAGCTCCGGCACGAGCGTGCCTTCGATGTGCAGATGGAGTTCGACTTTGGGGAGAGCCACCACGAACGGATAGTACTCGCTGGCCAGGAGCTCGTCGCGGATGCGTTTACGCTCGTCCATTGGCGTGTGATCCTCGTAGGATCCCATTTTGGTTTGTTTGGGGGCTCGGCGTTGGGAGTGGATGGATTCGAAGCTTGTACCGGGCAGTGATTGCAGTGAAAGGCGACCAGAGAAGGAAGAAAGAAGAAGAAGAAGAAGAAGAAGAAGAAGAAATAGTAGCAGCGTAGAAATACAAAAGGAAAAAGATGGGGAGGAAGTGGGCAGACGATGAGAAAGCGAAGCAATTACCATCAACCGAGTCTTTGGGTGCCGTTCCTTCGATGGCGCCCTCGCCCTCACTCTTCCCGACGTAGTGGGCGGTGGAGTCCGACGAAAAAGGCCCGTGTTCGATTCACGCAAGGCTCCGGAGTCGCACGCCACATGCCACATGGGCAGACTGATGATACTGATAGCGATAGCGACAGCGACAGCTCGGAAGCGAACTCGGTGCTGGCGTTCAGAGTTCATAGCATGTTCCACCCTTTGCTGACGCCCGTGGCAAGGAGTACCCAGAACAACATCCACGGTTATCAAGGATCACGGTCGTAGTCAAAGGACTGACATCCGAGAGAGCTAGCGTGGTTGTCGACGCAGATATCAACCATTTGCGGTTTAGCTGCCGGGACGACTTCATCTCCATTTCCATCCTCCAGCATGAGACTGTGGCCTGGGGTCTGGCATGCATTCCTCTCTATCTTTGTAGTCTGTCACGCTCAGGTATCGACGGTGTCTTGGCCGATCCCTTGCGCAGGTACTAGCAGGGAGATGTTGATACGATGGCTGGGATCTGCCTGGCCAAGATGGTCGGTCGGCGGCGCTGGCAGCTGCATATATCTTGGATGATGCCCTGAGTGGTGAAAGAAATATATGACCAAGTTTCCCGGGAAGGAAGAACATCTTCTATCCATACTGATTGTCCGCCGTGTTGGACTCTTTCACCTTTCTCTTCTTTCCAAGCTATCATACGACACTCGACATCGCAAGACCGATACTTTGCCCCTGGGCCTGATACGCACATTTGCCGCCATGGCCGAAAAACACTCTGGCGAAACGGCACCACCCTCGAAAGCCGGACTCCTGGTCCAAGATGGTCCTGCTTCATCGCTCGAAAGCGGTGTGGCAGAGCCGTCCGTCCATCTCGGCAAAGGAGAGCTGGAAGTCATTCGCATTCGTGAGGGGAATGTGGTCCTGCGAAAGCTTCGTGGGGCTGAAGAGTGGATGGACAAGAAGCTGCATGTCGAGGGTACGGGTGCGCAGAGGATTCTCGAGAGCGAGCGCCACCCTCCTCGTCTTGCCAATGTATGTTTAGGACAAGATGCCACAGAACATCTTCCTCCCTGGTTGGTCTCTCTCGATGAACCATTGTGATGCTGACTGCTTGTCTTCAAGATGATCTTCTTTTGGCTTTCAATGCTCACGTCCCCGTCGTATGTCAGTATGGGCATTTTAGGTCCCAGGTTTGGCCTCTCCGTCAACGAGTCAATCTGGGTGACAGTGCTGGCCGTTGCGTTTGGGTCCATCATCCCAGCATTCACCGCCACGCTGTGCCCGCAGTTGGGTCTCAGGCAGATCGCTGCCTCACGTTTCGCCTTCGGCATCTGGGGCTCCAAGTTCTGCGGGTTCCTCAACATCATTGTCAACATCGGCTTTGGCACCATCAACTGTATCATTGCCGGCCAGCTGTTGCGCGGTGTCAGTGGGGACACTCTCAGCGACGCTGTCGGGATCATCATCGTCCTTCTGGGCTCCTATGTCATCTCCTTCTTCGGCTTCCGTGTCATCCACATGTACGAGTCGGTCGCCTGGATTTTGATCTTTGTGCTTATCTGTGTCCAATATGGCCAAGCTGCCAGATACTACTCACCCACACCAGGCCTGTCGTATGTGAGCGCACTGGACAGAAGTGGAGCCGCTCTTTCATACTTTGCCATCCTCTTTGGTTCCTCGGCCGCCTGGTGCAGCATGTCGGGCGACTACTACGTCCACTACCCGCCCAAGACCAACAAATGGCTACTCTTCGGACTGACCTGGATTGGCTTGACCCTTCCAACCGCATTCATTGCCATTCTCGGAAACCTATATGGGGGCATGGTCAATACCAACTCAGAGCTGAGTACCGTCTACAAAACCGGCGGCCTCGGCGGATTGATGATGGCAACGATGCGTCCTCTGGGCTACTCCAGATTCGTGGCCGTAATGTACGCTCTGTCCTTCAGTAAGTGACCAACCATTCCGTCCCTGCCTTGTTGCATGACTGACATACCTTGCCAACTTGAAGTGGGCAACGAGATCGCCATCCTCTACTCGTCTTCGCTGTCGATCCAACTATGGGGCCGTCATTTCATGGCCGTGCCGCGTTTCGTCTGGAATACCCTCCTTGCAGCCATCAGTCTGGGCCTCGGCTGGGGTGGCCGACATTCGCTCGAGAGCATCATCAGCAATTTCCTTTCTCTGCTGGGGTACTGGACCATTTGCTTTGGAGTCGTTCTGGCCATCGAAGCGTTCTGGTTCCGCCCTCGGCTCGGTGGCTACGACATTGAAGGCTGGCAGGACCAGAGCCGCATGCCCTTGGGTCTGGCAGGCTGTGTCACGCTGGCGATTGCCATTGGGATAAGTTTTCTAGGCATGGACCAAACTTGGGTAAGTTCAAAGCCAACATAGCCATGCGCTCTTTACGCCACTTTGCACGGAAGATGCTAACTGCCTGGATACAGTTCATCGGCCCAGTTGCAAAACCGATTGGATCGTCTGGAGGAGATGTCGGAAATTACTTTGTCTTGGTGGTCGTCCTTTTCAGCTATCCTGTCCTTCGACATCTGGAGATCAAGCATTTCGGCCGTTAAAGAGTCCCAGGGGAGCTGCTGTGGCAAAGGAGGGGAGAAGCTTACAACTGTCAAGGAACATGTGTCGTGTCGCCTTGCTATGTCATGCCGATAGCGTACCTATACCAAATGTATGATGGCTTGGATGACCACGATCTCAACCAAAGACCACACATAAATGCTAAGAGAAATCTGTCGGGAGGCGCCACGCACGACCGGCTGGTACTTACTCTTAGCTAATGATGATGTGTCGTTCATGATCTTGATCTCATATAGCCTTGGTCGCCATATCTGATGGTAAATTGATGGAGTCCTCTATGGACAGGGACATTGGCCACGGATACCTCTCTATTCGAAGACAGTAACGATGGATTAGGTAAGTCACACTTGACGTCACGTGACCGGGACAGTCTTTTCTCCAAAGTCACGTGCATGGCCTCATCATCGTGTTCCGCGTCATTTTCGACGACGCCATTGACTCATCTTGCTGGCCAAAGATCAACACCACCTACTATTTAAGAGAAGGCCAACTTCCTTGCTAATCAGAAACTAACTGACAGCACTGCAACAGTATCTCAAGAGGCGTCAAACTGAGATTGGGTAGGCAGCTTCACTAACAAGGGAAGCCTGGACTGGACCACTGAAAATCCTGGTCTTCACATATCCTGTTGAACAGTTCAGTATGCCTAGTCGTTCAGAAATCGCCTACTTCGGCGCAGGACCCGCTCCCCTCCCAACCGCAGCTATAGAGCAGAGCGCTCAAGCTTTTGTGAATTTCCAAGATACCGGGCTGTCATTAGCGGAGATTTCGCATCGTTCACCTACAGCAAACAAGATTCTTTCGGATGCGAAAGATGCACTGGCAACGCTGTACGACATCCCTACGGACGAATACGATGTCCTATTCATGCAAGCGGGAGGGACGGGCGAGTTCAGTGCCACGGTCCAGAACTTGGTGGGATACTGGATCGAGAAACGCCGGAGGAAGGCCATCGCCGAACTGGGCGAGGGAAAGGATGCGGAAGTCCTGGACCGCGTCAAGAGAGAAGTCGAGGCTGAGCTGAAGGTCGATTACCTCGTCACGGGGTCTTGGTCGCTCAAGGCTAGCCAGGAGGCCAGCCGACTACTCGGTGCCAAGTATGTCAATGTCGCCGTGGATGCCAGGAAGAGCAACAACGGCAAGTTCGGGAAGATTCCGGACGAGAAGGAGTGGAAGTTGACTCCGAAGGGGAGCGCCTTCACATACTATTGCGACAATGAGACAGTCGATGGCGTCGAGTTCCCGGGCTTTCCCAAATCTCTGGAGAGCACGACCGGAGCAGGAGAAGACGACGACGAGAGGATCGTTGTGGCTGATATGTCGAGCAATTTCCTGAGCCGGAAGATCGATGTGAGGAAGTTTGGTGTGATCTTTGTGAGTCGGACTCAGTCCTAGACCCGCGGCATCCTGTTCTTCTTCCTCTCGCCTCAGCAATGCTAACATCCACCCAAGGGCGGTGCACAAAAGAACCTCGGCATTACTGGCATCACTGTTGTCATTATTCGAAAGTCCCTCCTCAGCCTAGTCCCACCGCCCACATTCCTTCATGCCTTGTCGCCAGTGCTCCCGACGTCCGGGGCTCTTCCTCCGATCATCTTCTCCTTCTCCACCATTGCCTCGAACAACAGTCTGTACAACACCCTGCCCATTTTCAACCTGTACGTGGCGACGGTCGTGCTACAAATGCTGGTGTCGACATTCGGCCAAAAGAAAGTTTCCGGCCAGGAAGAGGTTGCCGACCGGAAAGCAGCGCTGATCTACGGCGCTCTGGACGCTCATCCGGACACGTACCATGTCGTACCGGACAAAAGCGTGCGCAGCCGAATGAACATCTGCTTCCGCATCATATCTGGCACCCCATCCGACGGTCAAGTGGTGGCCGACGAGGCGAAAGAGAAGGCTTTCCTGGCCGGGGCCGAGAAACGAGGACTGCTCGGCCTGAAAGGCCATCGGTCTGTAGGTGGAATGAGAGCGAGCAATTACAACGCCGTGTTGTTGGAAAGTGCTCAAAAACTGGCGGATTACCTGGTTGAATTTGCAAAGTCATGATGGATTGGAAAAGTTGGGTTTGATAATTCGTATCATCGAGGTTCAACCTCCAAAAGCTGGACAAACGGCACAGACATTCGACTCAAGTACCTAAATGCCAGGGACGTAGACAAAAGAATCAATGCTTATCCCAACCTTCACACCCTCAATTCCCGGTACCATTACAAAGCCAAAAGTCGGTCCCCAGCGGTCGGTCTTGTAAGTAGAAGCCAACGAAGCACGATCCCCTGTCACCAGTGCACTGGCGCACACTGTAGTGAAAGGAAAGTCATATGTCTGGTGTCAGTCGCAGCGTCACATGCCCAATACCGAACACTTGGCGGCCGTGGATTATAGCCCATATATGTGTAAGTCACGGATTTTCCTCCGACAATCCACCGAGCCCAACCCTGGCCTCGATGGCGCAGTGGTTAGTCGAGGTGGTGCGTTACCAAACCAAACAAGCAAACCAAACCCAAAGTAGAAGGAGCTCTCACGAAAGAACCCCTGGGCATAATCCCTGGTCGTGCAAGGTAGAAGAGCGTGTGATCTCGGGTTCTCCGAGGACACCGTTGGCCGGGCGGATCAGTGGAATATGACAGCAACAACCGGGGGTTTCACTTGGTTCGAACGTCCCGCATAGAAGACCTTAAGAACGAGGAAATGGCTATCGGGGGTTTCGGGCAAAAGTTTTTGTCATTTTGATCTAAAGTCTTGCAGAATCGTGGGTGGCTTGTTCAATTCACAGGCGGGACGGCAGACCTTTTTGGTCTTTTTGGTTTTTGTTTCATGGCCACGTGAGGCTCGAGAGGCGTTTGCCCGTGGGCTTTCTCACGCGTAGGTAGGTGAGGCAGAATATCCAGCTTGACAAGGCCTGTGTGCAGGCATTGCCAGTGTATGTATCTACTTACTTTCATCATCTCAGGTCAAGTCACCTGTTTCGGCTTTTTTCTCAGTCGAACTGCCGCGCAAGATAGGCTGGCAGGCGTTGCTGTTTGGGCGGCGCCTGCGCATCCTCTTCCAAGTATCCATAACTGCCCTATGCTCTTCACAGCGTCGTCCGAGTAGCCAGTGTTCGTCAGATCCAGGTGCGAGGACTCAAGGTCAATCTCAACATTATAGGTTACAACCTATTTATTGAATACCCTGTTGCGCTGGACAGCGTGCGAGGGTGATATTGCGCAAGTCTGAATATATGTCTGGGATGGTTTGTTATCAACCACAAACAGGATGCAAGTTGCAAGTTTGTCGTCCGCCCGTGCCAAGACATATCACGTGCATTTGGTGTAAAGTGGTTGCATGCAGTGGAGCCAAGAATCGATGACGGCACGCGTCCTCCATTTCAACCACTACACGCGTTAAAGAGGGTTCTGCCACTGTACTATATCAGCATTAACTTCAACCCTACCTCGTCCTCCATGCTAGTCCGAACAAGAGCAGTGGTCAACACATTCGAACATGGGACCACCAGCATCTCTTTCAGGCTTGGTTAAGATAGAATCGATACACGTCGATCCGCCGCATACGATATGACCAGCAGTTTCGGCTGAGCCTGGCTGGCCCAGAAGTCATCACCACTGACGAGCAGCAGCGTCGAACCAGCGAAGGATATCCTCCTTGCAGTGACGGTCTGGCACATGAACAAGCGGTCCTGGAGGGGACAAATCCATCGCAATGTCGTCGTCACAGCCCTTCCACCTGTCGTCCCCCATTACAGGCCCCAGCAGGAAGAAGTCGCGCTTCACATACCGACACCTGCAGCTGCTAAGCCAGTCGTCGACGAGCTGTCCGCTGCGGGTGATCGCGCTGATCGACTACGACGCATTCTACGCGCAATGCGAGATGGTGCGGCTCGGGGTCGCCGAGACGCAGCCTCTCGCGGTGCAGCAGTGGCAGGGCCTGATCGCCATCAACTACCCGGCCCGGGCATTCGGGCTCAGCCGCCACGTGACAGTGACCGACGCCAAGACCAAATGTCCCGAGCTGGTGGTACAGCATGTCGCGACGTGGCGCGAGGGCGACGACCGATGGGCCTACCGCGACGATGCGGCCCGCCATATTCAGACCGACAAAGTGTCGCTGGACCCGTACCGGCTCGAGTCGCGCAAGACGCTGGCGCTGCTGAAGGAGATCCTGCCCGCACCGCCGGTGCAGAAGGTCGAAAGGGCCAGTATTGACGAAGTGTTTCTCGATCTGTCCGCGCAGATTCATGGCGTTTTGTTGCAGAGATACCCGGAGCTGCGGTATGCCCCGTACGATGATCCTACTGAAAGGCTGCCGCTGCCGCCGTCGACCGCGCTGGATTGGCACGCTGACGCGCTCGTCGATCTCGATTCCGCAGAGACGGAGGACGATGACCCCGATTGGGATGATGTGGTGATGAACATCGGTGCGGAGATCGTCAGGGGCGTGCGTCAATCTCTCTATGAGAAACTGAAATATACTTGCTCAGCGGGGATTGCGCGCAACAAGATGATGGCCAAGCTGGGCGCTGGGTACAGGAAGCCGAATCAGCAGACCATTGTGCGCAATCGCGCGGTGCAGCATTTCCTGTCCGGGTTCAAGTTCACCAAGATTCGCAATCTGGGCGGGAAATTGGGTGATCATGTCGTCGAGACGTTCGGCACGGAGGAGATCACGGACCTGCTCGCCACTCCTGTCGAACAGCTGAAGGCGAAGCTGGGTGACGATACGGGCACGTGGCTCTACGGCATCATTCGTGGCGAGGATAATAGTGAGGTCAGTTCACGAACGCAGATCAAGTCGATGTTATCGGCCAAATCGTTCCGGCCGAGCATCAACACCACAGAACAGGCGAATAAATGGTTACGTATCTTCGTGGCCGATATCTATTCCCGACTCGTTGAGGAGGGTGTGACCGAGAACAAGAGAAGACCCAAAACTATCACCCTACACCACCGACAAGGCGCGCAGACCCGATCTAAGCAATTGCCCATTCCTCAAGGCAGGAAGATTGACGAGACGATTCTGTTCGAGCTCGCAAAGACTCTGCTGGGCCAGATCATCGTGGATGGCAGAGCATGGCCGTGCGCGAATCTTTCCCTGAGCGTGGGTGGCTTCGAAGACGGCGTGTCTGGAAATAAAGGTATTGACATGTTTCTTCTCAAGGGTGACGAAGCCAGAGCTGCCATGGAGCCGCCACCTCGAAGCAACACCGCCACGCCAAACCCTGAGGACACGCGACCGGAGAAACGCCGCAAGCTGGTCGAAGCAACCAGCATTGCCCGATTCTTCTCCCGTGGCGACAGCGGAGAGGAGCCAGAGGAGGAACCAATAGACGATTTTGCCGACGAACCAAGTGCCCAGGATGAGGTCGATACCCACGAGGACCAAACCCACAAGTCTCCGGATTTGCAGCAGCAAGACATCGCTGCATATTTCTGCCAGAGTTGTCAAAAGTCCATTGCCGAAACCGACAGAGCTGAACATGAGGATTGGCACTTTGCCAGAGAACTTCAAGCTCAAGAGTCCCCTGCTGTCAAGAGCCCGGCAAACAGTCGTCCACCTGGCCAGATATCCACCAAACCCAAACGTGGTGGGATTGGTACACGAGGGCGAGGCTCAAAGCCCGAAAAGGGCCAGAGCCGCCTCGCCTTTGGTTGACAGCGGTGGCCAATGTTGGAGCTCGTGGTTTTCGGCCATACAGATGCTACGTCTGTTGTTGCACGCGCCTAGATACCCTGTTCTGCATATTCCTTGTTGAAGACTCTGCCTATAACCATTCTCCTGATCTCGCTCGTCCCAGCTCCGATCTCGTACAGCTTGGCATCCCTCAAGAGCCTCCCAGCCGGTATTTCGTTGACATAACCATTGCCACCCATCAGCTGAATAGCGTCAAGGCCGCATTCAGTGGCACGCTCGGCCGCATATAGGATCGCTCCAGCACAGTCTTGTGTTCGAATCTGACCTTCCTCGTCGACCTTCTTGGCAGTTGCGTAGGTGTATGCCCTTGCCGCTTGCAGCTTGGTATAAATGTCGGCCAATTTGCCTTGGATCAGCTGGTTGTGTGCGATGGGCAGACCGAATTGTTTCCGCTGGTGGGTGTACGGCAGCACGAGGTCAAGACAGGCTTGCATGATGCCCAGCGGACCGGCACTGAGAACCAGCCGCTCCAGGTCTAGGCCTTCCATCAGGACCTTGACGCCCCGGTTAACCTCTCCCAGGATGTTTTCCTTGGGAACAAAGACGTCGTCGAAGACCAGTTCACCAGTATTGGACCCTCGCATGCCGAATTTATCGAGTTTCCTGGCCACAGAGAATCCTTTGGATGTGCTTTCGACGATAAAAGCCGTGATGCCCTTGCTCTGCTTTTCGGGCTCGGTCTTTGCATATACTACAATGTAGTCGGCGTCCGGGCCATTGGTGATCCACATCTTTGTACCGTTCAGTCGATAGCCCCCATCGGCGGCCTTTGCCGTTGTTTTCATGCTCACGACATCACTCCCTGCCGAGTGTTCTGACATGGCCAGAGCGCCGATTTTGTCTCCGGAAATGAGACCGGGCAAGAACCGTTCTTTCTGCTCCTTGGTCCCGTTTAGATTCAGTTGATTCACGCAGAGCTGGGAATGGGCCGCATAGGATAGACCAATAGAACCAGAAGCCCGGCTGATCTCCTCGTTGATGACACAGTGTGCTTGGTATCCCATGGCCAACCCGCCGTACTCTTCATCGGCAGTCGGGCCGAGGAACCCTGCCTCCCCCATTTTCTTCCACATCTCATTGGGGAACTCATTCCACTGGTCAGTCTTTGCGGCAACCTCTTCGGGGATCTCTCTTCTTGTGAACTCCTGTACTCTTTCGCGAAGTTCGTATAGGTCTTCTGTAGTGGGAGGTGTGAAGCCACTGGGGTGCTTGGATGTGGAAGCTGCCCGGGTGGTTGTCTTCAAGAAATCAGAGGAGGGGAGGAGAGGAGTGTTTCTAGCGAGACGTATGCCAGGTCGGACAAGGCGTGGGACTATCGACGCTGCCATGATCAGCACCAAGAGACCACAACCAGCAATAGCGGGCGTGACTGAGGTGCTAGGTGCAGTACAGATACAACGAAGGAGAATGTAGATGGGGGAAGTCAGCGTTAAAGATGCAACTCCTTGTACCCCTCGTACCCCAGAGCGGAGCAATGCCGTTGGTAACCGCGCTACCGAGGAACTGCGGATGATCATGTGGGGTTCCCCAGAATTAGATTCCAGGTCTTCAACTGCGATTGCTGGCCTGACTCTGGTACTCTATTATCACATCGGACTGTAAACCTCCTATGCATCTGTCATTGACGAACAAACTGTCACGAGTTGGGGGAACCGCCTTGCATGGCATGAGGTAGCCTGTCGCTCATTCAAGAGACACGCCAGCAAGAAAGGCACAATGCACGATAGTAACGTTCTGCCGGGATTACATACAGCCGCAGCAGTCCCCCTTCGTCCTCAGGTGCAGCAGCTGATGCGTCCTACTTTGCAAGCCCTTATCAAGCTACTTTCGAATTTCCATAAGCTGGAGGCTGCAGGTATTGCTGTGAAGCCTTGTTGGGTGTTGTCGAACTCGTGGAATGCCTGCGAAGCGACGCAGAATTGGGACTGAAGAGTCAGTTGCGGCCTGCCAATGAATGTGTGGAACCTGAACTCCCATACTTTCGTTGGCACAACATTCCACAACAGGTGCAGAAGTGTCCTCCACTCGATATTTTCTCAATGATTGCACGTCTGTAACCCTCCCCATCCGCCTTCATAATGTCTCCTGCTGGTCCTTTGCTTATGACACCGAGGAATCTCCTTGCCAACAATGTCAGGGAATTCGACGAAAGGACAGTGTCCCTTTACCACTCATCATTTGTGGAGATAAGAGCCATGATCTTGGACACCTCATCTATTACCGCAGGACGGCAATGAGCTGGTCGGACGAAAGCGAGCTCATCGACGTTGTCGTAAAAAGGTAAGCCCGGAGGATTGGTTAGGCGCCACATCTGCTTGCTAGAGCCTTGGGCATGGTACGATTCGAGCATGAGGAGCCGTCGTTCATTCATGGTTCTTTGCAACAAAGATGCTTGTGGAGGGATGCAACTGTGCCACACAGAAGAACTGGCTAAAGGTACAAAGCGTGAGCATATCGTCATTAATTGTCATGGCGAATGACTGCGAGAGGGAGAGCTTGTTGGCCTTGACAACAGTCTGGCGCAGGAGACGACTGCTGCTGAACATGAACAAGGAAGGTGCGTTGCTGCCACTGCGGTCAAGCTGCGCGGCAAGCACCACCCGCTGGATCTGACTGAGAAGGACACCCTGTGCAGTCAGTTTGCTTGAAGTGCCACCATCTCAGAGATTCATCCTCAAGATAACACTGGCATAGATGGAAATCCCAAGGATCCTTCTGCAAGACTCGACAGGAGTTGCAGTGATCGGGCTGATCGGTGCACGATCGAAGGGCAAGGAACAGGAATCGAATCAACCGAGTCTGTCATTTTCAGCCGCTGACGATCCCCAAGGTCGCACCTGCCGAGCCGGAACAACACATTTTCCGACCCGGTCACCGTCGACTATCCCACATTCGGAATTCGTCCCTTTTCGGAAAACCTCGATCCATCTTTTTTATCCCTCACCCACATCATCATATCATCCACTATCCCACCCCTTCAAGTTCCTTATCTCTTCCAAGCGCACCACATTCCTCTTGGCTCTCAACGCTCCTGATCAGCTCAGAAATTGCGAGAACAATGTCATACCTACTCTGTTTTGTTTCTTGTTTCCACCCTACTCAGGAACATCCTGCATTTGACTTATCTCAACAGAGTATACTGTGGGAAATATGATATCGATTTCAACTTTTGTCTGCCTTGGACTACTGACCGCCTCGTGGTCCGCCCGCAGATTAAGATGTCCACATTTTGGACTACGCCGCCAATACTTACATGATCTATAGCGTCATCATACAGCGCTACACACCAGAAAGTCATTCTCACTGGAATCACACGAGGCCCACACGGCTCAACATGTGCAATTTCAGACCTCTTGTGCATCGGGGTCGTTGGCAAGGCAAAGCTAGAAAGTACACCAGTGACCACGATACCTGTCGACCGCTTCGCCACCCGCTTGCGTCAATATCGTCCCGCATCTGGATCCATCTCGGTACCCACAGAAGGCTGTTAATCAGTGGCAGTCAGCCTGTCCCCTTGGCCGATTCTCTCGAATGGCGTCGACGTGCGTTATTCATGTCTGTCGAGCCAATCACTCCAGCGCTTTTCTGTTGGTCTCGATGGTAAATGCATCGATCAAGATGGGTGATTTAGTGGCTGTGACGATATATCCAGACCATTCTATCCACGCCTGGGCATACTCTATGGCACCCCTATCATCCCTGGTGGATACACTAATGCAAGCCTCGTCGCCTCCTACGTATATTTTGTCATATCTTCCATTGCTCTGGGACATATCTTCCCGGTATACATAGAACACGAAAACATTGAACCATCGATTTTCCTTCGGACTGTTCAACACCTTTTTGCAGAAGATTGCTCAATAATAAACTCAACCATGGCTCCAATGGCAACCACTCCTCCGCACGTCGAGTCTAAACAGATGGAGGGACCTCCTGTTCGACGTGGTATCCAACGTGCCAATAGTGCCAATATGGGCACTAAACGGAAGATTGTCATCTTCTCAGGTATGGACCACATGACTTACTCGATTGCCAAAAGACGTAACCTCTAACCGTTGAGTAGATTTTGATGGCACCATCTTCAAGCAAGACACCGGTCACACATTATTCGATAACTTCGGCTGCGGCCCGGAACGAAGAGAAGAGCTTGCCAGACAAATGGAAACTGGAGAACGAACGTTCCGTGAAGTCTCGGACGAGCTGTACTCCTCCTTAAATGTACCCCTCGAAGATGGGTTCGAGGTCATGAAGACGGCTCTCGAAATTGATCCCGACTTCAAAACCTTCCACGAATTCTGCGTCAACAACGACATTCCATTCCATGTCATTTCGGCTGGACTCAAACCAGTCCTGAGAAGAGTCCTAGACCATTTCATCGGCGAAGACATGAGCAAGCACATTGGCATTGTGGCCAACGATGTCAAGATCGCCGATGACGGCAGCAAATGGGAAGCCGTGTGGAGACATGACAACGATCTCGGTCACGACAAGGCACAGTCGATCAACGAGTACAGGGAGATGCAGAGCGAAAACGGCACTATTCCATTGATCATTTTCATCGGTGATGGTCTCTCTGATCTCCCTGCTGCCCGCGAAGCCGACGTCCTCTTCGCCCGTCGGGGATTGAAACTTGAAGAGTACTGTCAAGAACATGGAATACCTTATATCCCGTTCGACACATTCGCCGACGTCCAGAGAGAAGTCATCAAGATCGCCAAACTCGACGAAGAACAAACCCATGGCAGAGGTCTACCGGCCAATTTCAACCCCCGCGCCAACATGTGGCGACGGCTCAGCAACAAAGCCGGCAGACCCAACTTCTCTTCCGTCTTCACCCCATCCAAAGAGGAAGTGGTCTTTGAATGGCCAGAAGACGGCACAGACGCCCCGACCGTCCAGGACTCGGAACAAGGCAAAACTGCTTTTGCAGCACCAATGGCGTAGGCTCGCCCGGCCTATTTTGCTTTCTTGTCTCACCTTTGATTTTGGACAGATATACTACGAATTTATGAATCTCATGTGATCCGCTGGATGTTTTTGGAGTTTGATGAACGGCATGGATGAAGGGAGCTGGCGTTGGGGTCTGCATCAGACAAGACAGCACGGCACGACTATGATAGCCTAGAAGGCTTTTTGATCTTTTAGAACGGCGTCCCATAGATTATCCTATAGATTGATACCCTTCCTCGATAGGAAATGATTACATTGAGACACATCTGAGGAGTGAATATCAATGCTCATACCATTTCTTCCCTTATCTCCATGTTCCGTCTCGGAAAGAGTATCATACAAATTCAACCAGCGAATCAGATGCTCGGTTTCGAAAATCCCTTACTAAGAACTCAACCACCATTTCGCCTTTTGCCAATGTTTACTACACCTCGTCGAAAGAAATCACAAGCAAGCCAAGGTCTGAACAACTCAGATTCCTGATTGGAAGGTTTTCGTTGTTGCGGTACATGGGCAAGTATCAAATGTATATGTAACGGGGTTACCTCGATTTCGGACTCATTGTCGACAGACATTCCTCCAGCCTTGTCCACCTTGATGCCTCGCCCTCCGGCACGGCCAGCGATCCCGGCCTCATTCGTGGCCAAGAAGGCCGAGATCCTCGCCCTCCTGGAACGCTCGGAGGAAGCATACACGGACAATTCCCCCAAAGGCACAGTCGACGTGCAGATCCAAGACCTGATCGCCGAAATCAATGCATACGACGGTCTCGTGACGACGAGCAGCTGCGCAGGCAGAGTTGCGGTGTTTGTTGAAGGACCGAAACCAATGGTGCAAACCACTGCCGGGGAGAAGTTGTCAGTCCCAAAGACCTCGCCGGGCGGGAAAGGTGGTGGACGGTGGCTCTATGTCTCGCATGATCCTGTCCCTCTTCTCCCGACAGAGGATGGAGCAACAAGTATAGGGTCGCAAGAGGGTACAGAGAGGTATTTTACGGATTTGTTCAGCCTCTCGTCGTCGTCGTCGTTGCCCAGATCGCATCACCAGGATCCGTCAGCGGCCTACCAGTCGGAGGAGTCTTCAAGTCGAGGGAAGTTGGAGTCTCAGTCTCAGTCTCAGTCTCAAGCAGGCCAACGCGGCGTCCCACCGAGCCCTCGCCTGATTCATCTCTCCTTTTCCCCGCTCATTCTTCATATCCTCTGTGCAACACTCCATCACGCCCGGCCGCTGCTTGCAGCGGCCATCAATGCCGGGTTCCGCGAGAGTGGGCTGCAAAGCCTGCGCATCATGGACGACACCGAGCACGGGACGATGGTTGCAGTGCGTACGGCCGGGCTGGCGTTCGAGACTGTTGTCGGGGTCTTGGTTGAAGATGCCAACGCGGAGGAAGCCATTCACACCCTCGTGGGTGAGGAGTATCTCGCCTTGTGCGCCGGTGTTGTCAATGAACGGTTCGTATGGAACACGGAGCGACGAGAGCGGTTCAAAATGGAAGTAAGAAAAGCGATGGAACGCGAGGGGTTGGCGGGACCGCCATCATCGGCTAGCACGGTTGAGACTTCAGAGACAGGGACAGGGTCTGGTACATCTGCCATCCAGAACCGTGGGCGTGCGTCAGGCTGGGAAGACAAAGAAGAGCGACGGCGGAGGAAGCGCGAAGAAGGACTTCAGCGACAGAAGGAGAGGGACAAGACGTCATCATCGCCGGCTTCGAATGGAGCCTCGAATACAGCCTCAGCGCATGGTGCACAAGACGAGCTGGAAGACGGCCTTGTCGCACTAGGAATTGATTGAACCGGACTATCAGAACAGCAGCAACAACAATAACAACCCGAGAAGGTAACCAGTGCACATTCATCCACAGATAGATGACCTGACACTATGTCATTTTCCTACTATACCGGCTATGTGTCATCACAGCGCAATGGAGTCAGCCTATACGAATCTTGCTTCCTCTAGCCATAAATGGCTCTCTCTTCATCGTCCCGCGAAGCAACACCTCTTCGCCCATCCTGACGATTCCGAACTCCGAAAGCCCCGCTTCCTCAAAGTACCGCCGCAAGTCCTGCTCGCTGAACCCATGGTGCGCGACAGTGTTGACGGCCGGATTCGCATCTGGATTCTCCATGGCATGCGTGACGAAGTCAATGATCAGGAACACCCCACCGGGCCGCAGACGTTCGACCAGCCGTCGCGTGGCGAGAGGAATATCCGAGAAATGGTGGAACCCTAACCCGACCACGACAATATCAAAGTTGTAGAACTCCGGAGACGACAGGTTCGACGGAGCCGGGTCAGACGGTACAAGGAGGTTGCCGACCACTGCGTGCGCGTTGAACGACTCGGGTTCGAGCTCTGGCTCTGGCTCTGGCTCTGGCTCTGGCTCTAGATCCGGCAACACTGGCCCTGAGTCCGGTCCTTGTCTCGAGCTGGGTGCTGCGGCGGAATTGATCTGAGAAGCGGGTGCTGGTACTGCGAAGCGCAGGTTGTACGCTTGCACCATGTTCTCGCTCAGATCGATGCCGATATACTCGGTTGCCCGGGCGCCCAGGGCATGCGTCACACTGCCCGGTCCGCAGGCGTAATCAAGCACGCGCACTTGTTTGGCCGCGTGACTGTCAGTCTCTAGTCCCGCTTTCGTCTCGAAGACGGTGGACGGGTCGACAAAGTCCACACCGATCCAGTCGATGTGCTGCTGGATAAATGCGGTGATCTTGTTGAGGAAGTCCTTCTGCCATTGCTCTGCTGTGTACGATGCGGCGGATTTACTGTAGACACCAGGTTGGAGCCGAGTGTTAGTCTATGTCCAATGTACTAGTAGGTCGCGTTGAAATTGCTCGCGACAGGCGCGGCTGAGAATTGTGCATGTCTGAGACTCGGTGCTTGGGAGCCTTAGAAGGGACATCTGGGGGCACGCGCTGGTCGCCTGTAGAGAAATGAAGGTGATTGCGCGTAGTGGTGGGACGCGAGAAGCAAGCGTCCCACGAGGGCAGTATAGGAGTGTCAGTGGATGATCTGGATTGCTTACTTCCAATGCGTGCGATTCGCTTCCGTGAAAGCCTCGTCGTTTGGACGGGGCGACTGTTGGAAGTGTGATCCGCCATGCTCGTGGCCATGGGTATGGCTATTGCCGTGCTCATGATGGTAGGCCTGGTGCTTCTGATCTGCGTCCGCCATCGCAGGGTGAGACCCGTAGTCTGAGGCTCTCGGTGAGCTCAAGTACGGCCTCGAATCAAGTCGTCACAACAAGTTCAAGGAACTCGTCTATTCGATCTATATCTCAATATTTTGAGCGTGATAGGTTGTGGAAGAAGACTTCAACCAACACATATAAAGGATGCCTGAAGTAGCCAGGGTGTTTCTCGATGTGTGGAGGGAATTCGGAGACTTTTCCCACCACCGGCGACTTACCATGACACCATGCCTCCAGTACTGCCAGCATTCACATCAGTGGGATGTCGCCATGGCTGTGTTCATACTCTGTCGTCTCGCCGTACTTGAGGGAAGATCATGCATAAGGTATGCCGCAAACGATACACGCCACATCACACAGGATGTAGTCGAGAAGCATGAAGCAGGAAACTGAGATTCAGGTCCCGTGACTGCAACTTGAAGTCGGCCGAACATGATGACATCATCAACGTCACGTCACGTCACGTCCTTGTTGTGAGACGCGTTGAGTGGTTTTCGCCCTTTTCCGGGCACTGCATGTTACTACTAGCGAGATGCCGGTTGACAGCTAAACTCTGTAGCTACGACCAGACAGAACAGCCATCTAGAGGGATACTTGTCAATTACTAGGTACTAACTAAGGGAACTTCAATTGCAAGCCGACAGCCACACCACACCTTGGACGTCGAGCTGCTGAATTGGATCAACAGCTAGCTGCCCGAACATTGATTCCCCCATTTTCCCACTTCCCCCTCTTCCTTGGATATTCATACGCGAAACAGTGCTCATTAACCACTTCACTTCTGCTCTCAACCATGCCCGGTCGCAAATCAGGGTCGTCAACCAAGGCCACACCCACCCCTGCAAAGACACACAAACGCCAATTGTCCGGGAACCCCGCTACCGCTACAGAGACTCCAGGGAGTCGGAGTTCGAAAAGACTGAATGCCTCGGCCTCGGCCAGGAACTCGACAGGCTCCAAGATCACGCCTACCAAAAGCAAGTATTTCGAAGATCCTGACAGTGACGAGGGCGAGAAGCCGGAGACGGCCGACGAGGTCGACAACTCCGGGTACGAGGACGAAGATGCTTCAGAGACGGAAGAGCCGTCGTCGAGTGAAGAACTCGAGAGCGAGGATGACTACGACTCTGGAGACGCGGGCGCAAAAAAGCGACGAGGTGCCGGACGGAAGAAGGCCAGTGGTGGTGGTGCCAGGTCCAAGGCTGTCACCACAATGTCCAAACTCGACGCAGGCACAGAACTTTGGAGACCGGGTGTCAAAACAGGGCTGGGCCCTGGCAAGGAGGTATTCATCGAGAAGCCCAAGCCTAGGGGCGATGGAGGTGTCAGATACGTCCCCGACAAGATCCATCCCAATACCATGGCTTTTCTGAAAGACCTCAAGACAAACAACGACAGAGAATGGCTCAAGAGTAAGTCTGGTACATGGAGGAGTGTTGTTTGACCTGGACCTTTTTTAATTTTCATCACCAATTTGTTGTTGTTGTTGTTGTTGTTGTTTCCAAAAGACCTATCACGAACTGATCGACTAATTTTTTCGCCTAGTGCACGACCCTGACTATCGACAATCATGGAAAGATTGGGAAAGCTTTGTCGAAACGCTGACGGAGAAGATCTCCGAGCTTGACGAGACAGTTCCCGAACTCCCACCCAAGGACCTGGTGAGGCTGCAGGCTTCAGGCTTCCTAAAGCCATATGCCCTAGGCTGATGATCAACATGCTAGGTCTTCAGGATATACCGCGATATTCGGTTTTCATCCGACCCGACCCCTTACAAGGTATGTCTAATCCACCAGGCGCCATCCAATCATTGTATGATCCCGGTCAACTGACACTGCTTCCAGCCTCATTTTTCAGCTGCATGGTATGAAATGTGTCGAATCAAAAGGAGAAGAATGTGTTTAGTCTGACGGACGTCGTCAAGGTCTCGGACGGGGCGAAAAGGACCCTATGCACACTATTACGTTCAAATTCAGCCCGGAGGCAAAAGTTTCGTCGGTATGGACAAGCATCCCCACTTCTCCTCGACTTCTTAGCTGATTTGGTGTGTCCGAGGCGCTGGACTTTGGATGCCGGAAGCGCAGCCACTAGCGCTCATTAGAACTGCCATCGACAGACGGCCGAAGAAGTTGAGGCGGATCTTGACGGATCCTCGGATGCGGAAGCACATATTGGGTGGCATACCGAACGACGAGAAGAAGGCGATCGAGGCATTTGCCGCACAAAACTCTGAAAATGCCCTGAAAACGAAACCGAAGGTACGTGCCATCTCCTCCCGAAGTCCGCTCGCGTGTCTCCGCCACTGAACGGGTCCCTTGGATTCATGGGCTCGACGAAGTCCGTGCAGGCCGCTGCTATCCTCCTCCGGTCAGCAGTTCAGCTAGCTCCCGCTGCATGCACTTTGCTGGGATTTCCGTGAACGTGGAAGTGCCGTATCCCGTGCGACGTAACCGAAAGAGGGTCATTCGTCATTGCAGTTACGGTCGTCTGATGGATGGGGAGCACAGGAGGCCGGTTCGGCTCTCTCCTGTTCAAACCTGTGCAGCTTTCAATGGCTGTCGAGACATGCCACTCTTGGTGTGTTCGCAGCATGACGAATTGGTTCCATCGTCTTTGACCTGTCTCGCGTTGGGAGCCATGAAGCCAGTGCCACGTGCCAGCAAGGCAAGAGACCATCAATAATGTGGACAGCGCAAGACGAAAACGAAAATCCTTGCGGACGGGAAAATGGGCCATCCGGAGCGGGCAGTGTGCGAATGGGTCTTCGTTGAGCCAATCCTTCGGGTCGACCCTCTTTGCCCAAGCGAGGTGCCATGTGGGCAATTCCTATCAACAGCATGTTTGGTCGTTGCAAAAACGAAGAAAAGCCACGGCACTGGCCAATCCGGCCCATCCTGAATTGGAATCTCGCTTGTGTGTTGAGACCCCCTCTGACCATCATGTGTCTTGCAGGGATACGAGGCCGATAATCCCAACATCGAATTGCTTCGCTTGCGAAATATCACCCTAGGCAAGACCATAACAGACGAAGTGGTTGTGAGTGACCAGGGTTTGCAAGCAATACTGGAGTTGATTGGAGTGTTGGTACCATTTGTGAGTTCCACCTTTGCCCTCCTATTCGACTCTTGTAGCATACTATTGCAAACAATCCTTGCTTGCCAGCGTGACTCGTATTGGGACTACTGGATGGGCTCGTGGCTCTTAGTCTGCCACTGCTCTGTTGCCCCCATGTCTCATGTCCCAACCAAGGTCCAGCTCGTCAAGCGATTGACTCACCTTACTTGGTCCTCAACAAGAGCGCGGGCTGGTCTGGATCCAGGCTGGAATTCTGACTTTCCAAACCTTTCTCCCACCGTGAGAATCCGGATTGTCAAAACTCTGAAGTCGCCGTAGGATCGGAAATATGATTTACTCACTATCTGTCAATTAACAGGTCACATATCTCAATAGCGTCGTCATGCCGGACGAAGACGAATCCAGCGGTGGCGAGACATCTGATGACTGAGCTTGAAACGGGTAGCCTGAGGGGGAAAAATGTCGCAATGCAAGGCTCGCCACAATGCCAACCGCAGTCAAGCAGGCTTCGACATACTACTCGATCGAGCAAAAATGGACGGGGGACGTCCGAAGAGGTTTTGCCCCGAACACAAGGCGGCTCGTGCTTGTCTACCGTGGCAGTTAGTATATTGTCAAATCAATCTCGAAAAATTGAGCACGGAGCGCAAGCACTCAACCTCCCCACCCGTACCACACCTACCACCTACTTGATTATTGTGCCAGTGTAGCAATTGCAGTGGAGCATGATCTGGAGGTGTGTGTGCACCATCATGTGTACATGATACTGCTGTTTGCAGTTGTACAGAGTCCGGACGCAGCTGGGCGCCTCGAAGCAGATGTCAAGTCGGCGAGCGATGATGCCATGCTGGTACTGTGATAGGTAGCCAATAGTATGTACAAACGATGTTGCTTCTTCAAGCTCTGCTTGTGCTCCTTCCTTCCTCTGCCTTGCATTGCAATGCCATCTGCCAGCTGCCGTTCGCTGTCACTCTCGAAATCTACACTTGGCACCTTGAGTTTTGACAGGCAGTGGTTAGGTCCGCTGGGCCCACGACAGGTCATGACAGGCATTGACACAAGATCGGCAGAGGGAAGCGCGTCAAACTCAAACGCATTGGCTGGCGTGTTTTGAACTGGCCTTTTGCAGTGCACCTAGTAGTTTGTCATTTTAACGGACTCGAGTACGTAGTAGAAGTCAGGAGGGTACTGGTGCTTCTATCATACCATCGGCAAGATGTGGGGTCTTAGCCATCGACGTTGATATTGAACTTTGTATTACTCCATCGGCAACATCAAAGCTGTGTTCGACGTACTGGGTCCCGTGTCCTGAGAATGTCTTGTCCAACATCCGGGTGTGGCTCACGAGGCTGCGAAGTAGTACGTGAAATGATGGGTTGGTGATACATAGCTTGTTCGTACCGCCGAGAGCCGTTGTAATGCAGTCGTGGATTTGGGGGAATAGATGCAAAGGACAAATTGTGAACAGCTTACAGTACAGAGTAATCAGGCATGACGACCCAGCCAGACAATTGAAACAATCTCTGGGGTTGAGCATCATTCCATAGTAACAAGGAGTTTGGGGGAACTTTTTCAACTTCATTCGATTTCATAAGACTTGTAATCTTTCTCACCTAAGAATTGCTCGACAGTATACTTGGACGAAGGTTAGTATAGCTCGACGTAATGGACTCTGTATGCGAAGTTGCCTGTGAGAAACCTCCAGGGGTGAAGGCGTTGGATTGTCTTCTTCTAGCTGCTTCCTGCTCTGTCCTGGCACCGTACGGGGCTGGTGCTCATTGTTGGATCCCATTTTGCATTCCGCTTTCAAAGGCGTCAGGATCACCAGACTCTTCCGTGTCTGTGGTTTCGGAGGGGAAATAACGCCCATCGGCTGAATATCAACAGCTTGCTATACGACGTTGCATCGACTTGCGGACAAGTTGGCTTCAGAGGATTCGGAGGGCTGCCTTGGAGAGAGTTAGCCAACCAATTGAATTGGTGCCAACCTCCTGGGAGTTGGCCTAAGATGCCAGTGGAATCTGCCAAGGTCATATATTCATCTTCGGGTTGCTGGTCAACATCCATGAAAGCTGATCGGGTTGAGCAACGGTACGTACCTTAGTAGGTACCTAGGTAGGTAGAGACGAGCTGGATCAATGGGGACGAAGCGAAGAGGGGCAACTTGAAGGAAATTAAAATATTGCCGTGGCCAACACTGAAACTTCGGGGGACCCCACGCCTGGAACCCCGCCTTAAGAGTGTCGTAAGCCCCAGAGGTTCCGCCCCTGGCTACCTAGACATACTAGCACAGTAAGCAGATGCTACCGTGGGTGGGGAGTATCAGGAATGCGACATACCACTGTCTGACCGTTGCAAGATGGTTCTGGATGCCGAAATCCACGCCTGGCTGGGATGGCGCGGGGACGATGAGCATAAAGGTGGTGTGTGCGTGCTCAGGACAACGGGGAACGAGGCTCTGTGAAAGGCAGACGGCAAGGGGGAGGTTAACGACCTCCACGCAGGATCGGTGCTGCGCTATTGAGGTGTGCGGTGGTGTGTCCTCTGTGCTAGGTACGCTTCTCCTACCGCAGAGCATCTTGATCGACGAAACCTTTGGAAGCGTGCGGTAGTAGTACTGACCGCCAGATTTGGCGGGACGTTTCCCTGTCACCTGCGTTGAAGCGAACTGTGGAGGGTAACATTGTATGAGCGCTAATTTGTATTCTTCGTTCCCTGCTCTTTTGGCCTATGAGCCGTTAGTTAAGGTAGGTAGGTATACTAGGTAACTAGCAATGACAAGGGGATGTTTGTGGGTGTAGGTTGAGCTTCGCTTATTCGTCCCGTGTCTTTGCGAGGGGTGTGCCTCTCCACCTCAATTGCTCCTTTCGTTCTTCTCTTCTCTCGATGGCCTCCAAGAAAGGAAGACGAGGTGCTGTCAATGTCGGCCAAAAAATGGAATAGGATTTGTGGTGGGTTGTGAGAGGGAGCCCGGAAAGTTACAACTGGGGCTGAGAAAGAAGGGGCAGCCTAGGCCCATAGAAAACAATCTTGCCTGCGATGCGCTGCGCTGCACTTACTGAAGTTGGCTCATGGGACGAGCCGTCATCTGGCACTGCATGAAGCCCCGGTCATGTGATCATGTCATGACAAGAGAAGATCTGGCGGTGTGACAGAACGAAACCGAACAAAACCAAACACTGCATTACAGAACACCTACCTGTGCCTACCAGGGAAGGCTTAGGTACTAGCAGTCCCTAAGGTCCCTCCTTCTAGGCGCCAGAAGTAGGTACCAGGTAATTATCCCCCGCCTAGTAGGCATAGCATACCCCGGGCTTCTGCAGTTGTCCTGTTGTCTCCAAGAGCTCCCAGTCTTCCACCTCATCGCCGTCGATGCCTCCTCCAGTCCAGATTGCGTCAACCCTATGGCGAACTGTCAAGTACACGAGCTGGATTGTCAGTAAGACCTCAAGAACAGGCAACATCTGCTCCAAGGAACAAGGATCTGAGGCTGGCTGGAAAGGTCGGCTCATAGGTTGTCTCTCCATCCAGCGGGCTAGGGTAGGTAGGCCTCAAGTCATGCGGACATCCACCAAAGATTGCTCATTTTGGTAGAGCGTTCTTGTTGGCCTGGCAGAAATCCAGGCCAGAGCCGGGCCGCAGGGAGATGCATTCCGATTTGCACTACTACTGTCCCACCGACCGTTCGGCCTTCTGTTCTGCATCGATGCTATCGGCTGCAGCCTCCAATTCGCTTCCACGACGCTGGCTGTTCGTACGATGGGAGGGCCCGTAGTGGTGCGGCACCGCTGCAGGTTGTTCGCATCGAGGGCGGCGAGTCAATGTCACGAAGCCAGTTGCAGCTGCGTCAACCCGTCGAATCGCCATCATTGGCTCAACGCCAGCTCGTCGCTTTCATTTGCCGTGGCGACCGCCTCCAAACATGCGGTGAGCCGTGCCGCGTGATTCATGACATTCTGTCAAAATGGGATACACCCACAAGAAGGACTACTGGACAGTCGGCTACCTTTGCCAGCTAGCGCAGATAAACCTGGGGGCGAGACTTCTATCATTATTCTTGTGACCGGCGTGAGACGTACCATCAAGGGGCATCTTTCGAATGAGGCCGGGTGCCAGTTGGTGGTGACACGGATTGCGGCGTTGCGGTTAGAGCCGACCCTCCCTCGCCTTTGCTCGCTTTCTCTGCTTGGTCCCTATTTCGCGCCATTGGACCTCATGCTAACCGGACCAATTTCTGGGCCAACAAACTATACTCCGCCTGTTCAGATCCTGTCCTCCACGAAGCGGCCCAGGGTTTGGGGACGAATAACTGCGCACTGCATGGCTGGATAATGGGCCGGCTTC